CCTCCTCTAAGTTACGATTCTCATCGTTTTCGTGTATTGTTTTGCCGTATTGGGGATCAAGCTGCTGCAGCAAGACAGTTTCGAGCAACCGCATCACGATATTGAACTGAAGAACTTGCTATTTGGGGATGTCATGGATGGGATGCTGAGTATTTATGATGTTCGAGGAAATACTTTGTTTTTTCTCGCTTATTGGTGGACCCTCACCCTTCTTATGCCCCATTCATTTTGAGTTTCAAGTGGTCACCTTGGACGGGTTTTCTGACGGCATCGTCCGAAAAATCACTTTCAGTAACATCGACGGCTCTGGCGATTCCGACTTCCAGATACTCTACACTAGGTAAATATTTTCCATGCAGTTCTTTAGTACTGACTGTAGATGATCATGATGAATAGAAGTAGTACCTAGAAGGAGTAATAGTAGAGCTTTTAATATTTCTCGAAGTAGTAGGAGTGAGATCAGCTGCAACTCTTCGTCTTCATCATACTAGGCACAGCATCTTCCTCTTCCTCACCATCGTGATATTACATACAGTACCGAAAATCTATCAGGATATTTTTTGCCGTCTTTGTGGTTGTGGCGAACATGGTGGTTTTGAACACTATTATGGCGATGGTGGTCGAGAAAACGTTCTATCTGAGCAAAGTGGACGAAGAAGTCCAGGCACGCGAAGCACAGGAGAAGAAAGAAAGTTATGGAAAGTCTTTCGGTAGAAGAATCTAAAATGAAGTATTAATGGTAGGTTAAAGGTGCTTTTGTTACCGTTTGTTATGGCTCTCCTAAGGGGGACAGCCATAACAAGCGGAATAAACGAACACCAAAAACCTACCTCTAAAAATAGAAGTTAGTAGAGGAAGAGGATGCACTTACTTAGATGATATAAACGGAGGTTGAACGAAGAAGGTCCGCGTCAGAAGTCAACTACAGACATTACTCGTCTAAAATAAGGAGTTGATGATATTGACGGAAATGTTTCTCGATATCGATGTGGATCGAAGTGGAGACCTGACAAAACGAGAGTTCTACGCGGCACTCGATTTCAATGAGTACTTTCTTATGACTGTAGTTTCTCTTGCTTGAAGATGCAAACTTACAAAGCAGTAGCAAGAACTAGAACGAGCACCTCCTTCTGACCCAACAGAATTTCCTTACGTGACGCCTCCTAGGATGACTTACTTGGTCATTTTTCTCTCTTTATGATCAATAGGCACCCACCAGTTATTATCCCTCGTGTTATTCCTTCTACCATTTATACTAGCTTGGAGCGTCCGATAACATCCCCCCCACTAGGATCCCCCTCCTCCCCAAAATAAGAAACTAAGCAAGGCAAAGATGTAAGCGATATGCGTTTTCAAATTTCGAAAATTTTCCACGTTTTGCCATCGTTTGAGGATTGGATCTCGTGCGTTTGAAGTCAAGAACTAAGATCCTGAAACTTTTCGACTTTAAGCCGTTCCGCTGAAATTCAACCTCTATCTTGGATTTGCATTCTTCAAATTTCGAAAATTCTCCCCGTTTTATGGTCGTTTTGGGATTGAATTTTGTGCGTTCGAAGCGCTAAAGTCCCAAAGTTTTTGAATTTCAGCCCTTTCCCTGCGATTCAGTTTCTTGGATTTGCATTTTCCAAATTTCGAAAATTTTCCACATTTTGGCGCCGTTTTGGGGCTGAATTCTGTGCGTTTGAAGTGCTAAAGTCCCAAAATTTTTGATTTTGAGCCCTTTCCCTGAGATTCAACCTCTTGGCTTCGTGTTTTTCCGACTTCGTAATTTTCCACGTTTTTCGGCGTTTTGGGAGTGAGTCCCGTGAGTTTGAAGCGCTAAGATCCCAAAATTTTTGATTTTAAGCCTTTTCTCTGAAATTTAATGCCTTGGCTTCGCGTTCTTCAAATTTCGAAAATTCTCCACGTTTTTTCGTCGTTTTGAGATTGAGTCTCGTGAGTTTGAAGCGATGAGGCCCCAAGGCTTTTGACTTTAAGGCCTTTCCCTGAGATTCAATCTCTTGGCTCCGCGTTTTTCAAATTTCGAAAGTTTTCCACCATTTTCGCCATTTTGAGAGTGAACCCGTTGACTTTGAAAGGCTAAGACCCCAAAATTTTTGATTTTAGGCCCTTTCTCTGCAATTTAATTCCTTGGATTCGCGTTTTCAAATTTCGAAAATTTTCCACGTTTTGTCGTCGTTTTGTGGTTGAGTTTGAAGCGTTAAGATCCTAAAATTTTTGATTTTAAGCCCTTTCCCCCGAAGTTCAATTCCGTTGCTTCGTGGTTTCGTGGTTTCATGGTTTCGCTTCGTGGTTTCCTGGTTTCCTGGTTTGTTTCGTGGTTTCATGGGTTCATGGGTTCATGGGTTTGGGGTTTGTTTGTTTCTGTGTCGGAGGTTTTGGGTTCGGGTGTTGGAGGTTTTGGGTTTGGGTGTTGGAGGTTGAGGTTTCCGAAGGGAAGTGTTTGCAAAGTTTTACTGCTCTTAATATTATCAACGGCCTACAGTCTATTTTCTATCAACTTCAACCTCAAAACAAGGTACATTCGTGACCGGTTGTCAGAGCTGGATATGGCACCGGAGTATCTCAAAGAGACGTGGGATATACTAGACGATGGAGATGGAAAACTAACGGTTTTCGAGTTTACCTTTATGACAAGAAGAATCTTAAGTAATCAACAACCCATTATCAGAATCAGAGTCACTTCCTACTGTCGTCAAGAAAGGCCGGATCAAGGACACGCACATGACAAACTACAACGTCGTTACTCACGTCGACTATTGAGAGGACTGTTGTGAGCAACTATGCGTTTGAGTTGTTGCGTTGTAGGGGACAAATTATTGCGGAGAGTCATGTTATACTAGCATCGTACAGTGATCTTTATTATTACTCGGCTCGAGTCGGAGCCGATGCTATATGCACAAGATACAAAGAATTTTTTCAATTTTTTTATATGAAGAGTCGTTTCTTGAATTCTAAGGCCAATAAAGAGATTATTCCTCGACCACTTTTCTCACGCTTGTTGGTTACCACCAGTTCGAATTCCTTTTCTTCACCTATCTACTTATGTCTAATCTTTCCGGTATCCGTAACCTGAAGGGTGACGCGCGGAGTAAGGACGTGATGGATGCTCAGAAACGGCTAGAATCGTGCAAATCGTTTGTCGACGAAGTATTAGAGAGCAAGATAATAAAACTCGACCGCGTTTTCCACATCCTGACGAAAGACATGCGGGAGCTGCGTGACGACGTTGAATTAGTAGCGTTGAGCACGACGAATTTTATGCTGAAGAAAAGTCATTTTTTCTACTAGCTACGCCGTGATCGTTATCCATCTCTGTCTAGTAGAATCATTTTTCGAAAAAAATGATTGGTTTTTCTTAGGTACCTAAGAAGTAGAAGATGATTGGTGCATGATAGATAACGATTGAAGATCATATTGGTGAAAGATTGTCCATAAATGCTAGTATGAACAGCGCGAAGTAGATGACCTCCTTGAATTAGCTCGTCTAATTCCTTAGCGAAGATGGTTCGCGCATTCTACGACCAAGCCAGAGTGAAAGCGGCAGAAAGGCGACTTACCATTGAGGCGGAAGAAAGAGAGAGGAAGAAGCAGGAGGAAGAAGACCGAAAAGCGGCAGAAATGAAGGCCAAGGCCTTAGTGAACGTGAAAAAAGAACGCCAAGAGCATCTCCAGGATTTCGATCCGCGGCGAAAGCCACTGACTTAGAGATCATGCATGGAGTCTAGTGCTGTTGATCATGTTGCGCTTCTGGCGTGTGCTTATAGGGTTTTGGAAGTTTAGCACATATTAGTGTGGTACGAAGACGAAGGCGGTTATGAAATTTACCAATATTCCAAATCTTCGTTTGCATTTGTTAGATCATATAAATATACTCTCCTTACTTGTTAATTTTTCTGTTTGAATTTACAAATTTAGATGTTCTACCTGGTGTAGTTGGTGTTGGATAATAGACTGTATAAGAAATCGCTTTTGGTTTATATCGTTTTTATACTAGTGTGCGTGTTTTTGCCCTGGCTGATTACTTGCTCATTGAACGGAAATCACGGTTTCGTTGGATGAAATTAAAAACGAGGCTCTGCCTGAAGGTGGGAGTAGACTCAACATCTTGTAGAGATTTGAAGCAAATTGTAAAGTACTTCCTCGTCGAGTAGTTCAAAAACTCGTCTGTATTATTGGCTTCTTTGTTCCCTGTACTAAGTTGCTGACGTCGTCTGTCGTTGAAATTAAATCTTCCTGTTAGCGCAGGCTGCGCCTTCATCTGAGTAATCGAGTCCTTTTCCTTGATTCCTTTTGTATGTTTCGATAAGCATCTTGACTGAAAAGTCAATCGATCTACCCATTCAAAACGATCCATTGTTGCGAAGAAGTGCTGGGTTGATTATTGGTAGCACTAAATGTATTGCGCTTCTGCTGCCTTGGACTGATGTGCAACTACCTGTTTCGCAGTCGTCGAGCAATTTGGACTTTTTGCTCACATGAACGTGAAGGTGAATCATGCATGAAGGTCCAGGACGTGGTTGTGTTTTTTGTAGGACAATAAGAAAACTATACCATACAAGTACACCTCTGCGAGAGAAATCAGATCCTTGGAAAACGAAGGCTCTCGTCTCGCAGTGGATGCAATCCTGGCAAGGAATGATTGAAAAACTTGAGATTATCTACGTACACATACTAAAGTTCAAAGTTCTTGCCTTGTCCTTTTCAGCATGTGTTAATGCCCTTTTTCGGCTGAATCCTACATGTCCACCCAAATTTTCAACAGGCTTTGATCAATACAAAAATATCGTGGATGTCCTCTTGAGTTCGTTGACCTCAAAGGTGCGGCACTCGTTCTTGTGTAGATAGTGTGTTTAAAGACGTAGCGACCACAGCGTTAATTATAAGTACTTGCTTTGGAACAACGAAGATCAATATATTTTTTGGGACATCACTAGCTACAAGAACAACTACAAGTACAAGGTAGTTAGTATTATATAGTAAAAGGTCGCGATATCCTAGTAAAAATGTCTCATGGTCCAGGGAGCGGTGGCGCTGGAGGATATGCCACCTCTGCAAATGAACGTTCCCAACAACGTGGGAGCGGCAGTGGTCACTTCCCCCCGTCGATGCCGCTGCCTAGCCTCGTTGCGGGAGAGTGGTGGCGGGACTTCCTAACCAAGCGGGAGCATGATGTGAATCGCTTTCTTTCACGACAGATGTTAAGGCTAGTACTACCGCTGGAGCATCCTCAAGAACATCTTCATACTTGGTTCATCTTTTTCTCCTTGAAAAAGAAGCATCCAAGCCTGATGGTCTCGAGGAAGATGCGACCACGACGGGACGAAGTAACTCTAAAGCTGAAAGGTTTAGGTTCGTTTGGAGAACCGCCTTCGGTGAGTGGCGTTTCTGAGCAGGTGAAGGCCCGTTTGGAGCGCGAATTCGAAAAGGAATACGGACACGAAGTACACCACTTGCGTTCCTTCCAAAAAGTGTTCCGTACAGAACTGGAGAAAGAAATTCGAATTCAGCAGGAGTCCAAGATGAATACTAAGATGAACGAAGGACAACAACAACATCAACCTCATGATCAATATCAAGATCATTTTCTTGTTTCATCTTCATATGAGGATCATTATCATGGAAGTCCACTTCGGGCTTCTTCATCTACGGATGCCAGAAGTTGTACTAGCCCAAGTGGCCGTCGTAGTTCTAGGAGTAGTTGTCAATCGAGTGCGATGAAGATGAGTAATACACCGGATACTGCTGCCAGCACTGGCAGTGCAACACGTCCTGCAGGTTCGACGATTTCATCGCCAATTCTGTTGGAGGAGGACTCTGCGCAGGTAAGCAAAGAAGCAAGCGTAGGACGATACACGATGAAGACGTCGCCTCAAGAGGACAGTACAACAACTTCCGAGGGGGAGAGCAATGATTCATTATCCTTGGATGTTCTTGATGTATCTAAATTTCTCAGCCTGTTGAATATATCTGTTCTTGCTGCTGCGGAGCGACACTTCCAGGCACTGCCACCTAAGGAAACCAAAACAACTACAGCACGAAGTGGAGCTGGACGAACAACAGAAGATAGGAAAAAAGCACGAGATCATGGACAAGAAGAGGCCGAGCACTCCATCGACGTCTTGGATATGATGAGGAATGGTAGAGGGAAAGACACTAAAAAGATTGAACAACTGTGCAAGAGGGCACTGCGGTATATGGAATGTGCGCACCTAGCTTATAATGTGGATAAAACTACTACGAGAACTAGTACTACTGGGACGAGCAACGCTAAGAACAAGATGAAGTCTAAAAACACTGTTTCTGACAAGCAGTCGAAGAAGTCTGCGGCCTTTGACAAAGTTCTCTTCGCGAAAGATCGATCGACTAGTTGCGAACAACGAGCTTCGACTAAAAAGAAAAAGGTTTCCGCTCTTAATCCGTCGACGCAAGAAGCGACTGGTCGAAATGTTGAAGCCCCTACTTTGCAGGAAAATAAATGTCGTAATGTTGAAGCTACAACGAAAGGCAATAAAACCACGTCAGACTACTTCTGTGCTAACACTACTACTGGTCGTGATGAACATCATGGTCGTAAAACGGACTCCGACTCCGGTATTACTACTTCTACTACCAAAAGTTCAGCTCGCCCTGAGATTGTCGTTGGAACGGACGAATCCAGGCAAGCGATTATCGTGTCGATTCGCGGAACCGCTTCCATGGACGACGTGATAACGGACATGATGGTCGGAACTCGCACAGTTTACATACCGGAAATGGCTCAGCCCCTAACGTTTCATGAAGGCATGTTCAACAGCGCTGTGTACGTTTTGGCACAGGCCTACCGCACTGTCCACGACGCTTTGGAGATACTGATGGACGACGATTCTGAAAAAGAGGACAACTACGACGACCGAATCCACGTCTCTGCTTCATGTTTTCCGAGGCCTGACAATTGGAAATCATCAGCATCCTCTCGTGAAGCAGGGGACGAACATCAGTATCAGATTAGTTCTTCTGAGATCAGTAGTGATAATGGTAGCAGTGTTTCTGCTTGTACTAGTTCTAGTTGCAGCAGCTCCACCAGTGGTAATTTCACCACTGCAAAGGTGAATATGCCATCCATGGGTAAACCTCCTAGGGAGAAACCTCCAGTGACATTGACTTGCGCGCGTCTGCCCACGGTGGAAGTCCTCATTGAAGGGGTCAAAATACGGGAAGTGCTCGCCACACAAGAAGAAGCACGACGTAGAGAAAGGGAACAAGAATGGGAAATGAGTCAACGAAATAATAATCCTGCCCCGAGAGCTACCACTACTATAATTACAACTAGTCCACCATCAGCAAGTTCTACACCACCAGGACCACCATCTTACACGATGGGTGATACCACAAGTGGCTCGTCTAAGTCTGCATACAAGTCGAAGACTTCAAATGCAAAGGGTTTAAACAAAAAGGGCAAGGGAAACCACAAGGCTGCGGATGAGCTGATAAAGGCGAAGTATCAGCGTGTGATTTTTTGCGGTCATAGTCTTGGGGGAGGCGTTGCGCAGATCGCCGCTTTACTTTTCACTCAGCTCACTCGCAAAGATACTGAACATGAAGAAGTAAAAAATGGTGATGGTCGTCGTGCTCCTCGTCCTCGTCGCCCACTCGTTGAAGCTTGGTCCTTTGCTGGACCGCCATGTGTCCGGAAGCCGGCTTCCCTTGATTTTGAGGATACTAGTACGGAAGAAGGACAAGGAGAAGCACCGCCACCACCTCATTTCGAGATGCTTAGCGATGTCTTCGCGAACACGTGCATTTCCCACCTCGTACCCGTCGAAGACGTCGAAGTAGATAGAAGCACATCTTTCAACTCCGAGTCTGGATTCGCTTTCACCATTGGTTCCGCTTCAGACTGCTCCCTGGTGCCTACGGGGTATCCCTGCTGTAGTAGAGAGACAGAGTCAGTAGGATCTTCCTCTGTAGTCAACGAAAATGAAATAGATTCCTGCTCACGAAAACTGGAGTTTTCGTTCCAGATTCCGACGCTCTCCACCTACGTTTTTGTCCTAGAGAAGGACATGATCCCCTACCTCAGCGTTGGAAGCATTATGCGAATGTTACTGAGCTTGCGAAGCATTGAGGCATTAGGGTGGTCCTCTCTGGAAAAACTTCGATACATCGCACTAGCGGAAATGGCATCCCGCCAACAAACATCATCAACATCAAGAACAACTACTAGAGGTCCTCCTCGTGAAGATACTTCGATGATATGTTCTATGTTTAAGGATCTGGTGAAACAAGCAGTAGATGTTGATGCATCTTCTTGTTTTTCCATGGCCGCAGCTTTGAAAGGTGGCGCACCTGGACTAGATAGAGCTTTAGAGCAGCAAACCCGAAGCCTGACGCAAGGGGCACTGACCGATATCCGCCACGATTGCATGCAGCATGTGGTCGCGACGAGTACTTCAGTTAAGGCTACAATATTAGATCCATCTTCGCCATCAATATCTCTTTTTCGTTTCTCATAGGAGGGAGACAGAAAGTATCATGACATGACTTTCTCATAGGAAAACGGGGAGCAAGAAGATGCTCAACGAGATGGCTTTATTCTAGACTTCTAATTCAGACAACATGATTCTGACTCGACACCTCGGGAGCTGCTTTACACTGAGCCTTGACGGGACACTGGTCGCTCAGCCGGGACACGTTTTAGGGTGGGAAACCCTGCCTGTAGGATGGCGCCGTGAAAAAGGAGTACCCGCTTCGGAAGTTCAAGTGGCTTTTGGCGCAGTTTGCGAACATGTTGACACTCACCGAGCAACCTCCTACGAGCAAAGTTTTCAAAAACTTGTTGAGAACGCCAAGGCTATTCGCGATGAAAGTAAAGCCATTCACTATAAGAGTACTTAGATAAAAGAAAATACGGAATTTCCGGCGTGTGCTAATTTCAACATCATCTCTGCCCAGAAATTATACATAAGAACATAAATAGACTTCAATTATTGAAAAGATTTTATGACTCGTCTCGTCTATTTTTTACGATTCAGCTCCCGTACGTATTTGATTTCGATGCCTCTGAAGATCTGCCTTGTTACTTAGTATATTTATTGGGACACGATACGGTCGACACGATGGCCGCAGGCTACTACTAAAGCCGCAGGTTACTACCTATGGAGCCCTTGCCCGTGGAAACGGACTGCCTAGAACTGTGCGCCTGGTAGTGAAATCATGGCAAGGATGGGGCACCGTCGTCACAGGCTTGACGTCTTACGTCATCGCTTTTGCATGCAGTTGCGTGAGGGTCTCGCGTCTATGTGTTTGCAAGTCTTTCAAACAGGACTCGAGCGCTGGCGTTTCTAGTGGAAGTGATGCGTGACACCATTGAACTGGGCCAGTTGCTTGCCATTGATGACTGGTTGCCTCAGATCGTGAGCCCTCGACCAAACTCTTAGGCCCTCACAGCCTGAAGCGACACCAGAGACGAAGACCAAGAGCCCACCGGATCAGAGAGCGCGAGCGTTAGGACTCAGGCGGCCTGACAATATTAGCGCTATCCAAGTGCGCGCGCGTGTTCCAGTTCTTTCAAAAACTCGATGGCGCAAACTTTTGCGTCGCCTCTGCTTCAAGGCAAAGCCATTCATTACCACCCCGATTCACATAGTTTGGCCATTTTATTGAAGACTTGGGGCAAGGGGCAATAGAGTGGCAATGGCTAAAAGAATCTCGAGAGGGTTTTTGGATGGATTGTCGGGGGGAGAAGGGGGGTAGGGGGGCCTACCCCTTTGCGACCCCTGTCCAACCCTCTCCCCAACTTCCGTGCCAGACCAGACGCGGCGACGTTTGAGCGCCTCAATGAAAACTGCGGAAAAACCAGCACCACAGGAGGGGGATTGGCGTCTCGCAGCTCTCTCGTTGGGGTGTGCATTCGGAGGCTGCGAGCGGGGAGCTCTAACTGGGGCCAGCCCGCTGGCAACGCCTTCACGCCTTCCCGCTTGCCTGATGATTTTCGCGGAGGACGGCCGAAAAGGCGCTGAAAGTAAGAGCCAGCCACGCGGGCGCGAGGCGATAGCTGTAGGCGCGCAGCTGGCTCTTCGCGGATCCGGACACCCCTCGAGGAGAGAGAGACAGAGAGAGAAGGCCGCGGGCGGGTAATCTCGCCAAGATAGAAACGCGGCGCCCACCTTCCGCCCGGGCAACCCCTCAGGCCCCCCGCGCCCGGTCACAACCGACAGCGCGAGGAGGTAGCCGCAAAAAGAGCCAAAGTCTAGCTAGAGGCTGGCTCCGTGGGATCTCTCTAAGAAGAAAACCGCGGGGAACTGAAGCGTGGCGGGCAATGGGCAACGCCTCAGCAAGATGCCTGATACTAAGCCCCGCGCGGTCCTCTTTCTGTCCTTATTTTGAAGGCGCTGCCTGCATCCATATGAGAAACCACCCAACGCGCCGGGCTTCAGGGTTCGCGCCGTGCCCGTTTCTTCGGGGGGCCACGCTGCTCCCCACTTTTCTGGGGCGGTCGGTGGCGTATTTGTTTTGCCTTCGTGGGGCCATGCTGTAGCTTTAGGGCCTGCTCATACGGTGCCAGCCTCGGGGGCCAGGTCGTGCGGTGTTGGGGGGGGGGTGTGGTCATTCTGTGCCCGGGGGGTCTGGTCGTGTCTCTTTCGGGGGTTTGCTCGTGCTGTGTCTGGGGGGTTTGGCTTTGGTCAAGCTGCGCCCCGGGGGCGGCTAAGCTGTGGCGAGTCTGGGGGGCCGCGGTGTGTTTTGAGGTCGCGCCGCCTGTCTGTGTTCGGGGGTCCGTGGTGTCTTGGGGGGATGGATCTTTCAGCGTTTGGGAAGTCAATCGGCGTCTGATTGGTCATGGTGCCCTTGGTGGGTCCTGACATGCGTCGGGGGGCCGGGGTGCGTTTAGAGGTCGTGGCGTCGCTCTGTGTTCGGGGGGTCGTGGTGTGTCTGGGGAGATTGTTCGCGGTCTGGTTTGTTTGCGGGGGTCGCTCGGCGTTTAAGGAGGCGCGCGCCGTCTTATTGGTCATGTTCATGCTGTCGGTGGGACGGTCGCGGCATGTGCCGGGGGGCCGTGGTGTGTCTGGAGGGTCAGGGCGTGCCTGGCGGGTCGCCGGGTGTTCGGGGGTCGCCTCATGTTCGGCGTTCCCTCGGGGGGTTAGGCTGTGCTTGAAGGGCTACAATGCTTAGGGGTTCGGGCTGTGTTTGCCTTGGGGGTGAGGTTTCGCTTTTTGGACGGTGCAGCGCTTGGGGGGTTACGCTGCGGCGCTTTAGGAGGTCACGCTGCGCGTCTTGGGTTGTGTTGTGTCTTGGGTGCTGTCCGCGGTGTGTCGGGGGGGCCGTGACGGTTAGCGGACGCGGTGGCGTTCATTGGGCTGCGTTGTGCTTGTCTTGGGGGGCCGGGCTTTGTCTTAGGGGTAATGGGTTTGGTGCTTTAGACGGCCTCTCTTCATCCTTCGCGGGCTGTGTTTTTTCTTGCGGGAGGGTCTGAGGGGTCGCGGAGTGCGGGGCGGGGGTGTGTGTCTGGAGCGAGATCGCGGGGGGCTTGGGCAATTGGCCTTGGTGTGCGCTGGGGTCGCGCGGATCTTGGGCGGGGGGCCGCGTGATGTTTTAGAGGCAACGCAGTCGCAGCGCCTTCGGGGGGCCGTGTTTCTACTAAGGGGCCCCGCTGTATCTGAGACGAAGCGGCCACGGCGTGTCTGGTCGGTCGTGGTGTGTCCAGGGGAGCTTGGCGCGCTTTGGTGGTCGTCGTGGTGTATTTGGGGGGTCGTCATGTTTTGCCTTTGGGTTATGCTTTTTTTTAGTCACTTTGGGGGCACGCGGTGCGTGATTGTGAATGTATGGCCGCGGTGGTTTTCAAGGATCGCGGTGCGCCTTGGGGGTCGTCGAGGGCCTTGGCGTCCATGCTGGCGGCAGTGCTTGCTTGTGGGTCATGCTCATGCAGTGCCTCGAAGCCGCGCGCTGTTGGGGGGGTCATGGCATGCGTGGCATACTCTCGGGGTCATGTAGATGCTCTGGGCAAGTCATGCTGTGACGTGTTTCGGGGGGCGATGGTGATGCGCTGAAGGGTCGTTTTCTGTGTCTCTTGGGTCACTTTGTGCCTGAGGTCTCGCTTGGGTGGTGCTGGGGGGTGGTGGGTGCTGCTTGTGCAGGGAGGGCCAATTCGTTCCCCTGGCGTCGCGAAATGTTTTGGGAATCATGTTAGTGCCGCGGCTGGGGTGGTGGGGCAGGTTGTGTCTTGCAGGGAGTTTGGGGGGCCGTGCGCTGTCAGGGTGCGCGTGGTGTGTTCTGGGGGCCGTGGTCCTCTGTTTGGGGGGTCGTGGTGCTCTGGGGGCTGCGCGCTGCTTTTTGGGGGTCATGTTGTGGCTTTGTTTAGAATGGGGCCAGGCTCCTTCTCTTTTCGGCTTCGCGGCTTGGCTTTTTTCAATGTCGTCGCGTGCTGCGAACGCGTGGCCGCTATTACTTAGTTGGGGGGGGGGGTCGTGGTGAGGAGAGCCTTGTTAAGCTTGGCGCTGTGCTCCTGCGGTCGTGCTGCGTTTTGGTTGCCATGCGGCTGCGCTTTGGTGGTCATGCGGGGCATTATGATGTGGGGCTGAGGGGTCTGGGTGCGTTATGGTGGTCGCCAGGTGTTTGAGGGGTCATGGTGGTCCTTGGGGGTCGTGGTGTGTCTTAGTCGTCGCCGTGGCGTGTTCAGGGTGGTGGTGCCGTGCTCTTCGGGGTCTTGCGGTGTTTTGGGGTCCGTGCGGTGTTTGGGGTGCTGCGTTGTTTTGGGGGTTCGTGCGGAGTCTTTGGGCGCGTGCACGTGCTGGCGTGTCTTGGTGGTCGTGTTGTGTTTCTTTGGGGGTCTATGCTGTGCTCGGGGGTCGTGCTGGGTTTTGGGGGCTGTGCTGGGGTTTATGCTCTGTCATGCGGTGCTTTCGTGCGGGGTGGCTCGGGGGGATCGTGGTGCCCCTTACGGCCATGTCATACCCCAGGGACTGTGTGCTGTCTGCGGGGTTGTTTCTTTTTGTGTTTTGGGGACGATTGGCTGCCCGTAATTTGTGCGCGGGGTCTTGCTGTGCTTCCATCATGTTCGTGCCCGTGTTGTGTTCTGGGGGTGGGGGCTGTAGTGGGTCTGGCTGCCTGGAGGGTCGTGGCGTGTCTCCTTGGTGGTCGTGGTGTGTTATTGAGTTTTTGGGGCTGGGGTGTATTTGGTGCTTCGTGTATTGCTATTGCTTGGGGGGCGCGCTGTGTTTGTGTGGCCACGCTGTATTTCGGGGCCGTGCTGTGCTTAGGGGGTCGCGCACGCGCTGTGTTTGGGATTGGGGGGCCGTGCTGTGTTTGGGGAGGTCGTGGGGTATTTTGGGGGCCGCGGTGGGATCGGTGGGCAGTCCCCGCTCGTTGAGCCAAAGAACAAATCTGAGAACAGCTAGCCTCAGGTGAGAGCGTGGGCAGCTCAGGCTGGAGAGGCTTGAGCGGCTAAAGTTGGCCGGCCAAACTGTCTGGGCAAGCTTGGCGGCACCGCCCAGCGAGGACGCGCGGAACGCGCGGGCCTGGGAAGGCTCATCGACGTCGAGCGCCCCCTGCGGCATTGGCAACACCCCCGCCCCCGCGTGTGCATGTCTGCCCGGCTTGTCTCGTCATTGGCGAGGTGTGCCAAATTGATTCCGCGCGCTAGGGTTCTGGGCTGCGTGGACTGCTTCGGCCTTTTGTTCTTCTCCATCATCTCGACGGCGGCCGCCAAGGGGCGGGCGAGCGTTCCGCGCCTCAGTCGCTTTTTTTTGTCTTCTGCTTCTCTTAAGTTTCTGCTCTGTGCTTGTGGCTGTGCTGTTATCAAGGAGGGGCCGCGCGCCCAAGGGGCGACCCCGGTTTCTTGTACACATCAAGACGGCAAAACGCTCTTCGAGTCCCGTCCAGGGTCAATCACATAAAAAAGAGACCAAAATGACAACCACAACATTTTTGTCAGATCACTCATTAGAAGAACTGGAAGAGGACTCAGGGAAGTCGCAGACCAAACCTGAGTCCCGAGTCGACCAACTTCATCAATGATGCAGACTCCGCGGTCTTGTTGTGGTCGAGAATCCTATGTGAAGTTAGCTGGTCCCATATATTCTATATAAGTATGTGCAGTTTCCTACCCCTACATTTTCCTGTGCAGCTTGTGCTTTAAAAAGAGAAATAGCGTGCTTAAATTTTCCGTTTTCGTTTTTTGGTCCACTCGGTTTTTATGGACATTCACAGTGCTGCGTGAATTTTGGTAGCGACCATTACATCACTGACTCGGATACCCTTCATATATCTTGAAGTATTTTGCTATATGAAAACATCTTGAAGTATTTAGTTTCTTTCTAGCACGACACAGACAGTTCTTAGAAAAATACATATCTGCGTTTAGACGAGACGACCTGTTCTTACTCGAGGACTGAAACGCGGACAACTTCTAGAGCCCATAGATTAGGCATGTTTAGAACTATACCAGAGCGCTTCATGCAAATGAAGTTACGACGCAAGCAGCGTCCATGGTTTCAAGTGTTCTCCTCGTCGTCGCTGGTGGAAGAGAGTGAGTGGGGTAGTCCACTAACTCGCTGTTCGCCAGCTGACTTGGTCAACTAGCCAGGAATTCCGAAGAATTGTGAAAACGTGTTTCATGTCGATCGCAACTACACCCTCCGAATCAACGACATTCGTCGGGCGCTTCCCTTTCGAGTCTCTTCCGTCCCATCCGGAGGACATCAAGGAAGGGCTTGAATCTCCGTCCCATCCGGAGGACATCATTGAAGATCCAGCTGAAAGGGCTTGAATCTAACTTCATCGAAGTGCTTTACAACTTATACATCAAGCATACACTCATCAAGTATGCTCATGTGTATTGCAGTACACTAATAAGTCTTTTTATGCAATAGACAGACTTGTGAGAGCAGAGAGGGCCCTTGTAGTGTCGGACCCGCCCTTTTAGTCCTTCCTCGCTATGAAGCTTAATGTCCTCACCCCTAAAGCTCGTGGAGATCCGTATTTCAAGCAACCCTCGGACACAAAACACAAAAAACCGGTACTTTTTTGTTTCCCCCTGCGTGACGGAATCTTCAAACGATGTGTTTTTTGTGTTTTCTGGCCTCTGCCGCTGTCGCGTTGGTGAGAGTCGAGCGACCGGAAGAATCATAGAACACCTGAAAATCGGCGCGGAAGAATAATGTAGTTTCTTCATGAAGATGCGTGCGAGCAGCTAATCTGAGTGCTGTGTGACGCCGTCCGAGTTGCGGGTCGGAGCGTTTGAGAGAAGCCGATCTCCTGTGATGGCCTTTCCGTGCTTTCTCCTGCGACGGATGAACGAATCTCTGCTAATTGAAGTGCGCCACAAAATTGGATTAAGTACAAATTCTTGTACTACTTGAAAAAGTCAAAACATTTTCGTACATTAGACCGCAAAAAATGAAAAATGCATCTCCCGACGTCCTAGTACTTTGAAAAGTGCCAAAGAATGCTGCATTGCGACCATCAAGAAGAGCCACGAACGATACTGCGGTCGCGATCATGGCTGACGTTGAAGCTTCATTTTGGCGGGTTTTTCACAATGCTCGTGTGTGCTTTGGTTATTTGCAAAGCAGAAGAGGATCACCATCCAGATGTGACTGCAATCTTTTCGGAACGAACCCTAGTAAACTCATCTTCTTCATCTGTGGCCTGGCTCGATTGTTCTACAGAAGGGTTCGATAATGGATGGAGCGTCTTTCGAAAGCAAGTTTGGGAATTTTTTCGAAAGCAAGTAAACGGGAACAACTACAACAGAGTAGAGCTGCTACACCAAGGTAGTTCTCGCGAAGAAGACGTCCTCCCTGCGTCTCTGCCACCACTTTTACACGACCAAGAGTTGGTCGACTCTGCCACCTTTATTGTCGACAAATACTTGCCGCTCGTTTGCACTATGCCTTGTTCCAGCAGTGCTGACTTACGATGGGAGAGAACCCTTGCGCTGTTTGACCGTAACTGTGCCGAAAGAACTACCCGCAAAAATTTCGATCGATACCTACTACGAGGACACTTTCGGGGAGTGAAGATGAGTTTGACAAGGACTGTAGAGGCGCGAGAAGAAGCGCGAAACGACGAAGCCCGAAAAATTCTTGGGGAAGATGACGCAGGAGAGGTGCAGCTAGAAGATGACGAAGGAGAGGTTAATGATACGCAATCTTCAACTACAACTACTATCGCTGAAGAGCAGGAAGACTTTTGTCTCTACGGTTTGACCCATGCACTTGTAATTCAAGCGCATGCACTGTGGCACGTGCAGTTTCAGCTGGCTTTCCGAAATGTCTATGTCGCTTTTCTGCTTTATGTTATGGACTACAACAACTTGGAAGATCTTATAGCTCATGCCGCGTACTGCAAGTGGCAGTGGTGCTAGTATGAAATGAGTCTGGTACACTCACGTAGCGTACCAGACCACTATGCATAGCAGTCGAGCCAGGAAATAGAAATATAACATAAAGATGCTTGTTCATTTCCAGCTACGGAAATTGTTTCGAATGGAGCGGCAGTTCTGCGTGGCCCCTGAAGTTTTCTACGGTTGTGGCGAATCTGAATGCTCCCGCAGCCGATGGCTTCGATTTTTCCATAGGAATGACTTTTCCCGATGCAGACCCGTCTGCGGATGCGCAATACACGACAACAAGAACTCTAGTTGATGAACTTGGAGAGTCAAATTCGACGCCCAGAAGTGCTACGACGCAGCAGGAGGACAAGTCTGCGTCGCAGCAGGAGGACGGCGTAGAACTAGAGGAAAAGACATCTTCCTACTCTCGATTTCCTCCGTGCCACACAAAATGTTGTAAAGGAAAGGCGTTTGTGCTTTTCGATCTTCTACAAGAAGAGGACGGCATTTCTCTACAACGTGGTCCGACTTCACGAAAAAGTAAGAACAACCAAGCAGCTAGTAGTACATGCACATGCTCTGCATGGGAGTGCGAAAAAATTAGGATGTTGAAGCTTTACGAAGCGAAAATACAAAATATCTATATCAACGTTCTCTCTGGAGCAGACAATGGACGACCGAGCCTAGGATGTGGACTTTCAGGCGTCGACCACGTGGCACTCGAGAAGGAAACTCGTCTGGTCTCGGATAGCGGCGCCACGACCTCTGTATTAGTTCCGGAGCCCCGCACGGCTTGGCATGCTTACTGGAGGAAAATGTTGTCATATTCGCAAGAGCCTGAGGTATCGTCCACTGTACCTATTGCAGACCGTGGAAAGAGCCAGAAAACAGTGACTTTCTTTCAAGTGGACACACATACTGCCTGTGCTGGAGAGGTAAAGCGCATGCTGTCCGAGCACACGACTACATCTCTGAGTGAGACACGCAGTCGGAAAAATGCTGGATCATCGTTTGTTATGCAGGACTCCACTTGTTGCTTATGGTTTCGCCTCATTCTTAGGATCGATGCCGTTACAACGAAGATTATTTGAAATTACTTGCTTCATCTAAATATAACAACATCATTATTACAACGATCTTTGAAATTATAGATATATAATGTAGATCTAGATGCAAAAGCCAGCAAGTGTGAATTTTTCCTCTATTGACACGTTTCGCTGGATCGGATACAGCCTTGCTCGAAACGTCTGCCACAACTTTGATTTGTGTCCTCGGGACGTTTCTCTCCGGGACCGCCTCGGAAGTGTCTTCGAGGCACACAGACGTGGCGATTTACCCATCACCGAGGCCCGACAGTGGACGGAAGCGCTGTTGGAGGATATACTAGCAGTAGAACGAGAAATGGTTGTGATTACGGGTAGGCTAAAGGTGTTCCTGATAGCGTTTGTTATGTCTCTGCTAAGAGAGACAGGCATAACAAACGGGGTAAACGAACACCAAAAGCCTAGTGCCGCTAATGTGACACGAGGAAGACCGGAGAAGCTGGGAGTAACAGTGGACTTCATTGTTTGTACGCAGCCTGTAAACTTTTGCCGCTACTTTTTGGGAAAGCAAGGGAACATTTCTTTTCTTGTCTACACGGGGCTACCTTTACTGTGGATGGTGCCACATGAAGAGCGAGAAGTTTGGGCCGCTGAGGAATTCCCGCGACTGATTCAAGATAGCCGAAACGTCGTGCTAGCCAGCTCACTCTTCATCTTATGGCCAGCATGTCGTGGTCTGAGTGTTAAAAATAGATATTGTTATTTAAACGAGTGGGAGTGCTGTTATCATCATTTTTTTGATGCGAAGTAAGATGATCAGGTATGCGGTGAGCCAGTGTTGTTGCATAACTTGACTCTAAGCCTCGCAGAGACAATGAAGTATCAGTACGGTGTGATTCTTGGCTCAAACATTCCCTTTATACCGATGCTGGGCCTACATGCGCTCGACAAAGCTGTAGTTCCCGAGAAGGAAGGAAAGCAGGACGACCACCACGAGCAGAGTGACGATAAGAGTGTTCAGGAAACGGGTAAGAAGACAAAGATATTGATAGGTCGGTCTGGAATGAACGGATATCTCCTAGAATGCGTCCTAGGGTCTTTCATTCGTGACGTGCTGGAAGAACAGTGGCTCGATTTCCAGTTGCTTGAGGACGTGCTCGTAGAAGAGCGCGAAAAGCTTGCCAAGAAGAATAAGAACTTGCCGGAGGTGTCGCATGGAGGAGCGGAGGATATTAGTACCGTAAACAGGAGAGCACACGCACAGGCAGACGGGCAAGTTCTGGAAGCAAAGGGCGTTCAGAAGGAGGAAAAGCGCATAAAGTTAAAGCAAACCGAAAACGAAATGAAATCAGTGTCAACTGCTACTACCACTGAACCTGAAGAAGGCTCCTGGGTAGAGGTGCGCATTCCTTCCTTTCCCTATGCCCGATTGCGTGAGGAGTTTTCGGCGGCCGTCATTTTCCCCTACGATGCTGCGATTTTTTTGCTGCATGAACTTTACACATTGAGTGTGCCTTTACTAGTCCCAAGAGACGTTTGGCGTTTTATGCAGGGGCCACTGACGCACCCTGATATGGAATGGCGAGGAAACTGGGTTGATGACGAAAACGAGCGGTATCGTCTTAATCTGGGAAGTACTAGACACGGGGATAATAGTGTTGACCAAGAACATAGTGGAGAGCAACACAAGAGTCGTCTTGATCGACATACTGTGACTGTTTCACCTTTTCAAAGTGTGAAAATCGAGCTAATGAGACCACTAGAATTGGAAAGAGCGCTCTCTTGGATGCGCTATTCGAATTTCTTCTTTCTGCCGCATCTTTTCTTTAAGACACGACGAATTTTTAGGATAAAGATCTCAGAAACAGGGGTCATTTGTTGTAACATTTTGTGCGCAATAATGCCTAATTTGTAACTGCTAGCACATGTGGAACTGACACTTCTGAACAAGGAAGATCCTCTAATCCTTACTGGCGGAGTGTCGCTGATATTGCCCAGTTTGCGATAACCGAAAACCTTGAGGAAATACGAAGTGAAATGCGACAGTGGAATCTCCGCCATACTAAAATGGTACGAGCGCAGTGGAGATCCGTAGCAAGCCGAATTTCCGGAATCGTGAATTTAGGTGAAGCATGATGACCGACTGGATTACAGGCACATTCACTTTGTGAAGCCTTGTTGCAATGTGTCTATTCTTGTGTTTGCGTATCCATTTATTCGGAGTAATGTACTGACAGGAAGTAAATTGACTCGTTGAAGAAGAAGGTTGCTTTCTTCTTCTTGTCAACACCGTAAAGCATGAAGCGAGCATTTGCCCCCTTAAAAAGAATGTTTGTTAACCAGCCTTGTGCAGCAAATACTTTTATTCCAATGTGACCGAATTCCGATGTCAATTTTCGGCCAAGTCAAAACGGAGACAAATGACATGACAAGATTGGCATTCCCCTTGGTTTTGTGACCAATTGTGGAGTTCTCGAAGATTTTCACGAGATAGATGCTCTGGTTCTGGCTCTGGTTCGACCACTGACTCTGGCTCTGGTTCAAGGATCTTGCGATACTTCGTTGATGTGATGTAATGATGGACGGTCAGTTTTGAGCTGCGCAAAGTAGAAGACTGTTGGTTGGCTTTTGGACGTTGAATTCAAACGATTAGTCTAATAGGAATGGAAAAGTAACGGAATAGTGCCACAACGTACCGAAATGTATCAGGATATTGTTTCGTACCCTTATATCTTGCTTGATGCTAGATGGTGTAGGATGAATGAGAACGAAGCTGCTCTGCCAGGTGTATGTCAAAGCTCTCTTTTACAATTTTCCAGTAACGATCGGAGAAAGCACCACTTATCTAAAGAAAAGCGTCGAGAGGAGCATTACTTGCTGGGCTTTTGTGTTACGACTAGCGTTTGCCAATATTTAAGAGAAAAACTGGAAGAAGATTGTTTTGTCGTACGTCGTACCCCTCATAACTACTAACAGCATTCAAGTATTTCTACAGCATGTAAATTTATTGCGAAGAAGATATGTACAAGTAGTACTAGGAGAGCCAGCGAGAACATGACGATGTTCATGTAATTCTGTCTGTCTTCCGATAATCCGTTTGTCCGTTTAGGCAAACTAATCAAATTAACGGAATAAGAAGCATCAAAATGTCGGGACAGCGGAGTTTGGCTAACCTACGGCAAACGCCTTGGTACAGTCAAATAGTGGCCTTTCAGACAGATTTGGCCGTCCAAGAGCTTCCGCTGAGCCGCGAGCTGACTAGCACGGCGCGAGAGGATGTACGGCAGATATGCAAGCACTTGGGCCTCTCGTTTCGAACCGGGAATGAAGGCGCACACAAATTTGTACGGCCGAAATTGAATTCTCTGTGCTTTCATGATGATGTTGGTGACGTGCTGGCATTCTGTTTTCAAAACCTAGTCACATTTTCTGTTTCCTAGATCATCTAGAAATTTTTTTCGATACCCTCGCACTTTTTTTCAGATAACAGTCCTGAAACCTTATCATACCTTACCTTTCCTATCTCGACTCGCTCCCTTTCAGATAACAGTCCTGAAGCCACAGTTCGAGAAGATAGCACCTGACTTTTCTCAGATCGAATCTGTGAGTATGTCAGCTAGTAAGATCGTGCTCAAATTCCGCAAAGCCGCCGATATCGGCAAGCCTGAGGTCGAGGCCGAGAACAATGTCCGCTGGGTCGCTGAGAAAATAGTCGGCATGACCGGCAGAAATCCGGATGAACTGCCCATAGAGCGACTGGAAAAACTGGGGACAGCGATGCAGCGCTTCGAACAGATGCGATCGATGAAGATTAGAGAGCAGACCGAGCAAAGCAGAGCGCCTACAGAAGTCGTCGCACCTGCAGATCATGGGGGCTATGTGTTTGCGAACTCTATTGGAGAGTCGGGAGGGGAAGGTAGTTCATCCTCTAAACCTGCCAGTGCGGTAGTCGAAGAGGACAAGCAAAATGGTAACGACCGCAATGGAGCGAAGAAGAAAAAGGCCTCTTCACTCGCCGAAGAAGAAGAAGAAGAAGAGGCTGAAGAAGTTGTGAAAAGCAGCAACAAGAGGAAAAGTCGACGGACGAAAAAGAAGAGGCGCTCATCTTCTTCATCTTCGAGGTCATCATCCTCGTCGTCAAGCAGTAGCAGCAGCAGTAGCAGCTCCTCAAGCAGCGACGCTTCGTCCAAAAAGAAAAAAGGGAAAAAACGCAAAGCCCTTTTGGCGAAAAAAAAGAAGCGAGAAGTTGTATTGAAAGATAATGAAGGTACAAGGAGAACTCATGATGATACAAATACAGGAGCTAAGCAGAAGGCTGCAGCTTTGGGAGGAGCGCCTCCTGGCTCACCGCCCAGTCGCAGACCTGACGCCACCGTAAAAAGTCCATTCGATATCAAAGGCCAGCAAGTCGAAAACGCAGAAGATCTTCTTGCTGCTAAAAAAGCTAAAAAGGAGAAGAAGAAGCTAAAGAAAAACCAGATGTTGGAGCAGCAGGCTTTGATGAATAACGGGAACGGCCTTCAGGGATACACGATGCAGCCTGCTGGAGGGTACCAACAGCACCCTTACAATCAACAAGGTGGACCTGGAGGGCTCCAACAGCATCCCTCTATGATCGGTGGACCGCCTGCTTCGGGTGCGCCGTATCAACCGCCTGGAGGACCATTCGTACAACCACCACCTGGAGGTAAAAAAGGTCTACCGCCTCCTGGAGCTGCACCGTCTTTCCAGCCTCCACTTGGAGGAGTGCCTGGGAACAATTATACCGCACAGCAAATGCAAAATGTGCAGATGCAGCAGGTAAACCCCTATGCACCAACATCAGCTCCAGCAGTAGCCGCCAGCGCCGGCGATAATTCACCAGGAGGTGCGAAAATTGGAGCGCCGAATCAGATTGTAAACAAGGGCCATCAACATGTAGGGCCGGGATCGGGACCAGAAGCTGGAGCACCACTATCGATGTATATGGCAGCACCAGCGATGCGCGTTCCACCTGGAGGAGGACCTTCAGGTCATCAATTCGCTCCTCCACATGGCGGAATGTATGTCTTTCCACCGGGTCCTACTATACAGCCACCACCGGGACCCCATGGAGCAAAGATGAAGGGAGGAAAAACCAAGTTTATGGACGGAAAGCAACCGCATAAGGGGGACGTTAATCAAATTCGGCATCCGATCTATTCGGGAGGTGCGAGTCGATTCACGGACGACAAAGACAAAGCCAACGAAGTTGGGGCTGATGTTGAAGTCACTACCGGTACGACTACAACTGGTAAAGACATAACGAAAGATGGTACTTCTGCTACTGGTGGAGCAGGTGATGTTGATGACAAGACCGAAGCAGTAGCAGAGGCTGTTCCTCAAACGGAAACCCCAAATGTTAGCAGCGCGCAAGCAGAGAAGCAGGAACAGGATGCCGAAGCAGCAACCAAAGACGCAACCAAGAAAGAAGAAGATGAGGCGGATCTCTCGTCATCTGAAGAACTAGCTGCACCGACATCAAATACCCTCTCCCAAGAACCTACGCTTGAAAAATCATAATTTACACAGACTAGTAGGTTTCGAGAATACGAGAGTGAATATAAAGACCCTACCATTACCAGCATTTGCGTTGTTTTAGTCGTTGGTGACGTTTTCGCATTTTCAGGTTGTTTGAAGTTTAGGAATTTTAGGAATTTTAGAACACCTTCTATCAAGCCTTCAACTTTCCAAAAATTGAAAAATCGAGGAATTTCAGGCTCCTTGATTGCAAATTTGCGCGGTCCACCTCAGAGCTCGTTTTTTGTTTGCGCAAAGGCTAGATCATGAGCATGATGCTGCCTACTTCCTTGCGTCTCTTCTTGAGTTCATCATCGGTCTTCTTAAGTTGAATTGACAGCGCCAGCGTCGCAAGTATAGTTTGAACTTTGAAAAGATCCTTGTGAGTAAGCTCTGTGGATGCAACGTGTTTGAAGATCCATGAAGATTCGTTATGGAATTCATAGATTAAGTAGCATAGTGCTGTTGGTGCAGGTATCGAGTAGGGAAAGCAGTTCAGGTTAAGCCGTAAAGTTCCACGACCTCTTTGCATATTTTCATACTTGTGAGTCTAAAATCGGTGAGAGTTCTTGTGACACAGAAAAAACTTCGTTCACTTGACACCGGCGCTCTTGAGCTGGGTAAGAAACTCCTAATCCACCAAGAAGATAAGTTTTCCTTGAGGGTCCGTCAAAGACTTCGTCTGCTTGCCGGCGCTCAACTATGTTGGGCCTCCTCAATAGTACGAAGAAGAAGCTAAGTATCTATGAGCAGGTCGCCGTCTCGCGTCGAGCCGGCGGCTCCACCTCGTCGACGGATGAAGAAGAGCCACATGAAGAGGGGCGTGGACTTCTAGGTGGAGGACTTTTAGGCGGACAAAAATCCACAGCCAATGTCAATAATTCCGATACTAGTGATGAGGACGAACAAAGAGAAGGAAAGAACCAGAAACGGGGAACTGCACGAATCAGTGCGGCGAGTGTAGCCACTGGTCACTTTGCGCGGCTCTCGCAGCGCGCAGCGGCTTTACTGGGGCACGATTTGAGCGAGAAGGAGGACGACCTGGAGTCGTGGCATCAACAAGAGCTTTGTGATGATGATTCACCGCCTGCGTCAAGTATAAGTGCGCGTCACGAGCGCGATAATAGAGAGACATCTTCAAAAACCAAGAAAGGCCATAAGAAGAGCAATGGTGGAGGCAGAGATTCGAAGCGGGATGTTGCAAACACGCCGCCTGAAGAACCTAACCCAGACGGAGAAAAGAGTTCAACATGGTGGGACGGGTTTGCGCGTGGACGTCGACAGCTAGCAGTAAAGATCCCACAGCCTTCAATTTTCACAACGAACGTAACAGGTTGTTTTGGTGGTGAGCAAGGAGAATCTAGTAGGCCTACAGGCGCGGCGGAACCAGAACCACATGCCGGCGAAGGCAATGAAAAGACCCCGAAAGCAAAAACAAGAAGGAGCATAACCGATAAAAGTGGTGAATACATTTACAATGTGGTTAGCAAGTCGATTGACACAATCAAAGGAGCCGGGCAAAGCTTTCCGGGTAAGGCTACAACTGTCCTTGGAGGTACTTCGAAACAAGGACAACATCACAACCGTTCGTGTCCAGTGTTCTACAATGGAAACAAGGAAAGCAAAGTGCAGGAACGGCGTAGAAGCACTTTTACCATCATCACCTTTTGCATGCTGCTTTCCGTTGCTGCGAACGTTGCTTTTCTAGTCTACGTGATATCGCTGTGGAGTAGGCTAAAGAGGCTAGATCACTGAGGCTCGGCTAATATGATATCTCACACTATATCAATTTCATGATGTTGTAAACGCAAGAACGAGCAAAAAATGTATCACTTCTTCATGTTGATGTAAAGATGAAACAGAAAAAGTTAGCACATCAAAAAGGCTGCAGTACTAGGAGCACACTCACACGCATGACAAGAGTGACACAACTGAGTTGATAGGTCCTTGAGCCATATGCATATAAGGACAAGATAGAAGGTTATAACAAGTTTTACTCGTCTAGTAGAGATTGGAAATCAACAAGTTCAGCTTTTCTTCAAAATTGCAGTGTCTCTGTTCGTCCACAAACATCCTCTGATTCAGTATTCATATTTACTATATAAAAGTAACATAACCTCCCTGTTCTACTTCTAATCTGTCTTAGCGAACCCCTTAGGAGCCGTCGTAGATTATATCGACGTTTTGCTCTCCCCAGCAGCACAGACATTTTTAAGGCTACCGTTCAAGCATCCTCAGCGTCGTCCCTGGCTCTTTTTGTACTTGAAAAAGGGGCCAAGGATGCACTCACGGATGCTAGCGCGGTGGCTTTAAGAACAGCAGGTGGAGAGACGGAGCCACATTCGGGTGGAAAGATGAAGAAGGACAAAGAAACACTGAATCTCGAGCTGCTCGCACCCGCAACGCTACCATCGTGGGGCGAATTCGGGGTGCCTAAAAGCGTGCGTACCTTTGCAGAAGAAGGTTTCGGCACTGCCTACGACCCTCGGACTAAGTCTCCGATCTGGACGCTGGAGGTCCTGACAGCCGCATCCTTGGCAAATAACGTGAATTTTAATGTTATGTTTTGGGTTCAACATTAGCATTACGTATTCTTTCATAACAAAAAACGTATAAACTCAGAAGAGATTCAGGGAAGTCGTAGGACAATTCCGAGCCGACTAGCGTCATCATTCTTTCATAACAGGCCCCCGACGCCAGGGGGATGATATACGTTCATTTCTCATGATATCAAGGCGGCTGTTTGTTATCCTTTGTTTTTCATGAATCATGATGTTCTTGACGAGGTGAAGCAGAATTTGACTAAGTAAATGAATGTATGATGTTCTTGACGTGCACGTGAATGGTGTGAGTTTCATGCACGAATGGACTGAGAGTCCGACTTTCTTCTTTCATTGCATAAGCAGCTGACAAGGCCAAGTGTAAGGCTTGGTTTGCGGCACCCGGGTTAGATCTGAGGTTCCAGGACACGGAGTCGTTGTACAGCCATTCCCTGTATGACATTATGGCGCAAAAGAACCTGACTACTTTACCTCCGCGTGGTGCATCCCGTTACCGTACTGCGCTGGTATAATGTTGACTGGCAGAGTCTCGGACTGTACTGAGTCTGCTCCTCGAGTATTTTAACGGGATTCAATATCCACGGGCCAGGCACTAGTGGAGGGTAGATCTAATGACGAGGGACACTTGGCCGCGGCTGCGAATCACAAGGAATCACGAGAAAGTTATCTTGTGACGCATTCACATATCAACCGTACACCGCAGACCGCTCCCTTCAATCGTTAAGGTTGGTTGTTAGTTGTACTCTATCATTACCCTCTGAAGATGAAAAGTTTTCTCTGGTGTATGTGTTGGAAAGCGATAATCATAATTTTTCTATCTGTAAGCTAAGGTGCGCCGCATAATTGTCTTGTGCTGTTGTGAGCTAATATTCTGAGTGATGAACTACAATTTGAGCCAAGATCAAGAAGTACAATTCTGAGAAATTATGTTATTTACTTAATCAGTACTTGTTCTTTAACTTTTCCCTTACAGTCAGAATCTCATTTTGGGTTTGTTTTTTCAGGAATTACTGATCAGTTGTTCAGGAATAATGGGTCGATAATGAAACAAATCCAGGTCGTGGCCCAGCTTCTCTGCCTCTAACGTGAGGGCTACTGGGAGAGGGTAGAAAGATGGGTTCGCGAGGACCTCGCACGGCAGCGGCTCTCGACTGGCTTTTTCTCGCGTGTCTTCGTAGCAAGTGGGCCGTTGTATTTGAGCAGTGAGAAGAACATTTGGGCGGACACGACGAGGCACCTGTTGATTCACTACCTCAGTCCCAAACACCTACAGAGAGACGAAGCTACGGGAAAGACTAAGCCTATACCGAAAGACCCGCCACAGACCGAAGAAATGTTCTCTCCGCGGCTCCGCTTCCGCCGCGCTTGGATCCCTACTCACTTTTTCAAGGTTGTCCTAGCGGTTCGCGATCCTGCTTCATCGTCTTCTAGACAAGATGATACTAGACGAGTGGAAATTCCAATTGAACAGCTGATCTCAGAAGCCTACAGTGGGCACCATCACGAGATACACAACAAGAAAAAAACGGAAACCACAACCACAACAGCTGGAACCCTGGAAATGGACGAGAACCAGTGCAAAACGATACGAGATGCGCATGTGGTCCAAAGTGTTGAGGAAGTAAGCCTGCAGAGGCTCAAATCGAAGCTCAGCTTAAGGCTATATTGATACCTAGTTCCTTTGACTTATGCTCGTCTCTTAGCACTGCTGCTTCCGGCCGCTTCACAGCTTAAGGGTGTATATCTACCAGTATCTCCATAAGCCCTAAATATTGATCGCATCATTCCCCATAGAGTTACAGTTAGAGAAGGGATGCTTCCCTGGTTTCATCCTCTTCTTTTTGAGCAGATCACACGTTGTTTCTGAAAGAAATTAGCTGATATATTTATATATAACAAGATACTTACTTCTATATCTTACCGTTGTTCTCTAATGTAAGACTACATGAGTAAATCGGGAGGCACCTTTTCCACATTTCTTGAGCACTCTATTGAAGGTGGCCGAGCCGTATCACCTGCAACGAGTCCTGGAGCGCCGGCTGCTGAAGGTAGGGAATCCACGACCTCTGATAGTGACGGTGATGTTGCGCCCAGTGCTTCTCCGAAATCTGAGTCAAAGGCGGGAGCTGCTACTAGCATATTTTACAACGCTGACAGGAGAAGGAGTGCGAGCAGAGGTAGCAGCCGCAGCTGGGAGACCTCGACTGAAGACCACGTCAGGGAAGAGCGCGATAGAACTAGATCTCCCTCACCATCATCGCCATCATCACCATCTTCCTTATGGCTAAGTACCTTTAAATATTCCATCTCTTTAGGGATTGTCCCTCAATCGCACATGAGCGACATTGACTCTTGTTCGGGGATCCTTAATACTACAGGGAAGGTGAACTCGGGGGAGCTCGTCTAACATCTTCAAGAACGACAAGTAGTAAATCAGCAGCAGGAGCTGCTCCGTCCTCAAGCTTCGCTACTAGAAGCAGCAAACCTGAGTACTGGATAGCGGGCTTCGTGTTTCCTCACCAGGAGATTGCCGTCGGTACGCCTCTGTGGAGTTTCCACGTGCCGGTCGATATAATCGAGGCTTTAGCCGGCGTCGAGCTCTTTCCGGCGTTGTTTAACAGCGAGGCACGCAAAGACCTGTTACATCGAGTGGGGATGGCACTCTACCAAACACCCGCAGCGTCGGGTCCGTCTTCCGTGGGGAAAAACGAGGCCTTTGAGCGAGATCTTTTCAAAGACTTTGGCGAAAAACTTATGACAAGGAAATAAAGCTTTAGCTTACTCATTGATTATACTCAAAAAATTAAGTTCTTGTAGGTAGAATGAAATGATAATTAGAAAAATTATTATTTTCCGTGTGAGTATGAGTATACTCAAATATTTATATAATATAGCTTAAATTTTTTCCTTTCATAAAACCCTACCCGAAAAGCCTCGCGGCTGCGCTAGAGCCAGCTCTGGTGACTGAGAAAACCGAGGAATGGAAAGCTAAAGAGAAAAAACACGCGGCAGCCTTGCCGACGCGTGTTGGCAAAGACGGGAGGGACTGGTTGGTCGGAGAGCGAGACGGACAGAGGAAAGATCTATTTGCCTCGATTAGCGAAGCGAAGTTGATTACGGCTACCGCTGAAGCATCCTCAACCTCATCCTTGCTTTCTTTTCTACTTGAATGAGAAGCCAAGGATGCTCTCAGGGATGCGAACGTGGTAGCTCTAAGGTGAATCTCTTACCGCTGTGCCATTTGGACCACTGCGGAGCGAAAGCGGCTCCTTGGGAAGACTCTTCCACTCATTATACTTAGATGTCGATGCAGTTTATGTTGTTGTACTTAGTTTAGCTCAAGAAAATGGAAAATCATGTAGTGAATGATATTTCTGGACTTGTTTAGAAAGTGAAAAATATGAAATGTTTTGTATTTTTGATTGCACTGACTCGGAGAAAGGAAGTAGAGCCAGGTGTTCACTAATTGTCGTTGATGATTATTTAAGGCAGAGAGTTTATACGCAACTGCACGTCCGTATTATTTTGAACCATAACTTGGGATCCATTAGAGTGTCGTTTCGGCGCGATAGTTTTTTTGTGTTTACTGTATGTTCCGCCGCGCATAGTGAGTATTATAGCATGATACATGAGCTCAGAGCCATAAACATAATCATGAATTATCAGCAACGTGGAAATAATTCCTACATAGAATAGATGTTACAGACACAGAAAAAATTAGACCTCCACATTGGTCAACGCAATAGTTCTACTTTTCCATGGTCGTTGTGCCTCTCGCTACTAGTGAAAGATGTAAAAGAAAGATTGACTTTGTATTCAGAAACTTTGTTAGACTCTTTCAAATGTTAATTGCTACTGCGCCAGCGCCACCAGTCAGATCACGTGCCACGAAGATTCGAAACGAGTTGTACCAAAAGGTGAAGCGACACACGCCCCTCCACCTTGTCGTGCATGGGTAAGGCAGAAGTGCATACCTACGAAGTTTGTCTGTGTTTGAAAGAAAGATCCTTGAATATGCTAGTGCTGCTCACGACGAATCATGATCATTTAGTGCTGAGGAACCCTGTGAAGATCAGAGGCAATCAGCATTAGCTCCACACGAAGATTCATTTTACAGAACTGAAGTTGATAGCCCACTACACTTTGCGATGGGTAGACATGGATCTTCACGCACGGTCGCATACAAAAGTTGCGCACATCCGCTTGAGTATGGAGGTAAAACTGTGGCTGGCGGATCAAATCCTATCCTGTCCTAAGTTGTACGCATTCACATGATCAAGACTCACAGAAAATAAAGTAGATCATTCTATTCGAAAGAACTGCATTGGAAGCAACAAAGATCTATTCTTGATCCTTTGATTTACTTGGAGAGAATGATCAACATGATCATCCCCTATCTCTTCGAAGCGAAGCCTCCTGTTCCCAATAAGAAGGTGAATGACAACCATCTGTTTTCCCTAACGCAACTTGTTACAGCTATTCCTATTCATTGAATAGGCCACTGACTACTTGTGATCTAGCACTTTCCGGTAGACCAGTGCTGGTGAATAGCGTGCTAGCTAGAAGGTAGGAATACAACCGGTTGTTGAATCGCTGTATGATAATGTTTATGTTGTAATCTGCTTTTGTGAGTTTGACAAAATGATTGGTTTCGCAGCCCTTACGACTTCTCTACCCTCCACTGGGAAAGAGTGGACTGGTAGGAGTAAAGGGATACAAATTTCACGCCGTGGACGTATTCAGGTCGAGAGGCGTGGTAACAATTCAGAGCATGTTTTCCGGCGTCGGGCGGAGGCATCCCTCTTGCCTCCGTGGATAGCCGAGTTGCAAAATGGTGGCACTAGTTCTAGCGATGGAGATGAAAGTAAAAGTTCCCAGTCTGCTCACGACCAAGGAGAGCTGGTGTTAATTCCGAGTGCCGAAGCGCTTGCCGAAGGAGCAGATTTTTTCGAGTCAATGAAGTTTCGAGAAGGAAAACAATATCGTCCTTCTACTTCAGATTCATCAACTGCCAGTTCCACGGCATCCACATCATCCCGCCCTTTACTGCTACTGTGTGGTACGGAGATGGAAGGCATGCTAAATCGTGTCGAAACCAGAGAGCAAAAGCGACGTCGCGAGGACACGCAGAAGAGGTATTTGCAGTTGGTAACGCGGCATCCCCACAGTGTAGCTGAATTCGCAAATGCCTTCTATGACTTGCAAATATCGTCGGAGGACTCTGCGGCCTCAACCACATCGGTTTCTAGAACAACAACAGCGAGTCTGCGTGAATCTGACGAAGCAACATCAGGGCCCGCCGGAGACTTGGATTTGCTTCGACGATATTACGCAAATGCCATGGGCGAGGATCTACAACTAGTTCAACAGTCAAGAGTAGAAGTGAACAAAAAGGATGCTGAGCAAGAGGATGAAGAAGCAAGATGCAAACCAAAACGCAGGAGGAAAGAGAAGAAAGATTCAGCTTCTTGTTCATCAGATGAGTCTAAAACTAAAAAACCCAGAGTGTGGTTACTGCGAACTGTCGAAGATCTGCGTAGTTTCTGCGAACTTTACCCTGACGTTGGCGACAGCGACAAGATCAAGCAATTAAACAGCTCAGGAGCCTCAGCAGGAGAATCTGGAGACGCCTTGAACAAGGACGGTTCTAGCATTGCACCAGGAGAACTGTTTGATGAGCATCTCGAGCAAGCGGATATAGCAGCAGGACTGCAGGACGGCTCTATTTTTCAGGGCGTCTTGCGTATGCAGATGCACACCTGCTTCGTTGCCAAAGTAGGGGAGAACGTGGAAATTCGTGGTGCGCGAAATTTGAACCGCGCCTGCGATGGCGACGTTGTGGCCTACCAAATCCTGCGACCGGAGGAACTGCAGATTGACGCTCCTGAGGGTTTAGTGGGAGCAGATGGTGACCGCGCTAAGGGAGAAGGTGACCTCGCTGGACCTGACCACAAAAAGAAAGACGAGAACGACGAGGAGCAAGGCGCATCAGCAACGGCATTGCCAGACGTCGCAGATGCAATCAAAGAGAATGAAGTAGAACAGTGTGTGGAAGCCGACCTGAATAAGACGCGTGAAGATCAGGCCTCATCTACCTCCTCTTCTTCATCAAAGATCCTCGGAGATGCTGTTTCTCAAAAAGAGCAGACACCAGCACCAACATCTCAGACGTTGGCAGGAGGTCAGCAGCAAGCACGTATCGTCGGCATTCTCAGGCGTAGTTGGCGTGAGGTTGCCGGTGCGTTACGCCCTCTCCCAGCGACCGGATTCAACTCAGGGGTGGCCGATGATGTTAATGACGCCGGATTTAGGAGTTCCAAGCTTACTGCGCGAGTCTTCGTGCCGATCGATCCACGTCTGCCGAACGTCCGTATCCAGACACGCCAGAGTGCGCATTTAGAAGGCAAGCGCCTTGTTGTGGCCTTAGACGAGTGGCCGCGGGACTCCCGATTACCTTTGGGCCACTACGTACGCGCGTTGGGCGCGTTGGGTGACAAAGGGACCGAAAGTTCCGTCATTCTACACGAGCATGGCGTCGCCACCGAGGAATTTAGTGATGAAGTGTACGCCTGTCTGCCTCCAGCGGACTTCACGGTTGACGTGACTGCAACGAAGAACGCCGATCCCCGACGGCTCGACTTGACCCACTTGCTCACCTGTTCCGTGGATCCACCGGGATGCAAGGACATTGACGATGCACTGAGCTGTGAATTCTTGGACGACGACTGGGCACGCGTGGGTGTCCACATTGCAGATGTCACGCATTTCGTCAAGCCAGACTCCGCGATCGACCTCGAGGCACAAAAGAGATGTACCACGGTCTATCTAGTGGAGCGAAGAACAGACATGTTGCCAGGTCTCTTGACTACGGATTTGTGCAGTTTGCGTGCTAACGTGGTCCGTCTCACCTTCAGCGTGCTCTGGGAAATCAACGTGCACACCGCGGAAATCCGAAAGGTATTCCAGCATACTTCCTTATATCAGAGTAGTTTATAGCACGCATGGTGCATGGAGTAGCATGGAGTGCATGGAGCGCAGAGCTTTAAGGGGCGCAAGAAGCTCCCCCTTTAGCTCCATGCTACTCCATGTGATCCATGCACTCCATGCCATGCGAGCCGTGAAACCTTATAAACTGCTCTGTTATATATACTATTAGATTAGTCTGATAAAAAATAGGTATTTGCATAAATATTTTTTAGCCTACCTCCGACCGCGTCGCGGAATGTTCGCCTCATAATTATACTTATCATGACACATCACTACGCGCCCTTACAGGTTTCCTTCCACAAAGCGATGATCCGTTCGTCCGCCGCTCTAGCCTATGCTGACGCGCAGAACCGTATTGATGACGCAAAAGACGATACTCCTCTGACTAAATCTCTGCGTATGCTGAACACTTTGGCGAAAAAGTTGCGCGCGAACCGTCGGGACCGTGGTGCACTGGAACTCGCAAGCCAAGAAGTGCGGTTCGAACTCGATAGCGAGACCCAAGACCCGTTGAGCGTGACGCGCTATGAGCTACGAGACACAAACCGGATGGTTGAAGAGTTCATGCTTCTAGCGAATTGCTCAGTTGCAGAGAAGATTCTAGACCATTTTCCGCACTGCAGTGTACTCCGAAGGCACCCAGCACCAAAATTGGATGCACTGGAAAACCTGAGGAAACTTCTGGCAACCTCAAAAGCCTGCACAAAGGCTTTGAACATCGAAGAGGAACCAAGTGCTGCTGAGGTGGAAGACGATAAAGGTGACAAGAAAAAGAGTAGAAAGCGGCAACGCAAGGACCAAAGTGCAGAAGAAGATCAACATCAAGAGCACACATCAGCTGCAGCAATCAGTAATTTGTTTCGCTTCAACTCGAATAAGGAACTAGCGGATAGTCTGGACCGCCTAGGTGCACTGCAGAAGGGTCAAAAACAAAGTGCGGCTGACCGTCAAGTGAATCAGCTTATTCGCGTACTAACGACTCGGTGCATGAATCAAGCAAGCTACTTCTGTACAGGCACCCTGGCAGATCGCAGCCTATACAAGCACTATGGACTTGCCATGGACCTCTACACACATTTCACGAGTCCGATTCGAAGGTATCAGATTTTCTTGTCCACTTGTTGACTCATGTGCTACTCCTATCCAAGAACGACGGAATCATTTTGAAACAGTAGATGATGATGCTGATGACAGACTGTGAGCAAATATATCAATCCTGTTTAGGAAAATCAAAACAAGATTTAAAATCAGCGTTGTATCATGATCCATCTATCTCAAATTTTGTTTCTTACAGGTACGCCGACGTCCTCGCGCACCGCTTGCTCGCGCATGCTATTGGGTACGAGGCCACTGCACCACCTCCGCAGTTGACTAAAGAGCGGGTGCAACGACAGTGCGAAGTGATCAATTTGCGACATCGTATGGCCCAGTGGTGCGGCAGGGCGAGCGCGAACCTTCACACCTTCTTGTTCTTCAAAAAGCGAGGGCCTCAAGATCAAGTGACAGCTGTGGTCACGCGGGTCATGCCCAAGCAAATCTTCGTCAACGTACCGAAGTTCGGAATTGAGGGTGCAGTGCGAATGGACAATAACCACGACCCTAAGATGCTGGAGGGTCGTGGTGAAGAGAATATGACTGAGGGTGGTGAAGAGAAGAAGACTGCTGCTGCTTGGAGATTTGATGAAACTCGTCAATGCTTTGTCTCGCAGGAAAATAGCGAAAGCAAGCAAGCGCGGAAGATCCAAGTTTTCGATGAAGTTCTTGTACGTATTGAGGCAGAAGAGAAGGACTTTCGAAATAAGACGCTTCTCACCTTTCAAGGCCTTAAGCTTAAGATGGTGAAGAGTGATGGTTCCCCAGGGGAAAGCCCAACGGCACTAGAGGCAACAGGTTTGCTAGGGAAAAAGGCCAGCAGGAAAGAGCAGCTTGAACGTGCGCGCATACGCAAGGAGATGTTTCCGGAGGAGATTGCGCGTGAAGCAAACTGATCAGATCGATGTCAAAATCTAGAGCTACTCTAAACCTTCCTTGTTCATCCCCAAGAACAGTCACTTGTTTAATATGGCATTGGCGTGCTTGTACAAACACTGTAAGAAGACTGCACAAGACGAACTATGAAGATTTTCCATATGATCAGAATGAGGACACGTCTCATGCTACAAAATTCATGTACAGCTACAGATTAAGCTAGCTTACGCTTACCTGCTTTGAGTCTCCGAGCACTAGATTGATTCTTAGTCTGCCTTGTTGTCCTCGGATGAAGGCCTCGGCATCCAGAACTGAGAACGAATCGCTGACGTATCCTTCTCGTAGTCGGTAAAGATCTGTCAACACTAGAGGACAAATCCATATTTTCTTTGATGATCGTTCGATGAGAGATTTGAAAAAGCAGAATCAAAGTCGAATCGAATTCGAATATAGCCTTTTGTGTTTGTTTGTCCCTGCACCCCAGCATAAAATAGAAAAATGCCCGCTCCACTACATCTATGCGACACGAGAGCAAGGTGACTTTTTCGGTTGATTAGTTGAGGCAAGATGAATGTAGTGAAAGTCACTTTTTGTTGGCAACCACCTTCTTTTTACAAGTCTTCAAATACGAAAAGAAGTAAGCCGATTATACTGTCACTGAGGCTAGCACCGCAGCTCGTGTTACAACATTTACATCGACTCCTATCGCTACCTATAATTGATTGTTCCTCTCGATTTTCCTTTCGTGCTCGTTCTCGTTTGTGTAAAAGGTCGTGACGGTGATGGCCGCGAGCATCGTGCTTGATGAAGTGGTCGAATGAGAACATGAAAATAACATAACTCGATGGAGGAGAACGTGAAGAGACATGATCATGCCTGCTACGAAAAATCCATACTGCGCCTTCGGCGAACATGATAGGACTAGGAGTAGCACCTTTTGTTCTAGTAGCAGTACCGACGAGGACACGCGAGATGTTGAAGTATTTAAACTGAGCGACTTCTACGGAACAGAAACTGCAGCAGCGTTGTCTATGAACTCATCTCCTCTGCAACGAGAACGACCCGGTGACGAAACCACTATTACTAGCGACGGGCCAACCGCAACCCTATCCCTAGCACCTGGAGCAAGAACTATTGCGAGCGCTCCTCCAGCACCAGCCTTCGCCTCGACCTCTCCTGGCACAACTTCTCGTACAAACGCAAGTTGCAAACCAGCTCCCACCCTCACACTGTCTACGGCACCAGATGACAATAACTCCGGAATATCGACGATCAGATTGATCAGCAGTACAACTAGTTGTGAAGATCATATTATCGATCCTAGAACAAGCTCAAGCAGACGCGCTGAAGAAAGTAGATCACATCCGACTCTTTGTGCCGTTAGAAGCGACGGGTCAAACGCGCAAAGACGGGAGCCGCCGCGGCAAGATCAACATGATGATACGTCGACATCGACGAAAACAACTAGTACAACAGCTCGTTTCATCGAGCTAACTACGTCTACAATCGCCACCACACAACTACAAGAGCAGCGTACTTCCACGACTTCAGAAGAACGAGGCTCCACTGAGTTTGCAGAACAACATCACAATAGGATGAACTCAGCACAAGAACAATCAACAACTCCGATCGTGAGCGCACCAGCCGCTGGCATTGCTCAACCGAAACCAACCTTTGACAGTGTTGAAGGTGATGTCGGTTTAGCACAGAAGATCACTGAAGATTCTCGCACTCGAGTGTCGCCTGAAGGAGGCGCTGGCACTAAAAAGAGCGTCACACCACAACTCTCTGAGTTACGGCAGCTGCCACGTTCAACGGATCGCCGTCCATCGCAGTCGCCATACTCTCAAGTATCTGAAAGTTCGCTTATTTACAGCAGCTTCAACCCTCCTGCAGGCGGAACGAAAGAGGGAACATCACTGGGATCGCTCTCCTGTTCAAGGGGTGGGAATAGTCAGAATATGAAAAGGAGGCACAATAATTAAAAGCAAACTTGAAGAGTATGAGTAACAACTCTCACCGTAGCCAGGTGGGTTAGTATGAATACTAATGTTTTTACTGTAGCACGCATGTAGAACATGAATAACAAGAGAAAGAAAGTGAGTGAATACTTGATGACTATGATTATGATTATTCTTTATTCTCATCCATGTTAAGTGAGTGTGCCTGAAGATCCAGAACAACTAAGACTCTCTCTCTACCTCTTTATCGTCATACTCTAATATGAAAGGCATGCAAGCGGCATCAGCATCTTCAAATTCGCCAGAAGCGTCTGCCTCTGGGAAGCGCTTATGCCCAGGCAGTAGCAAATCCAACAATACTGCTCACGCTGTTGCCGTATTGCAATCGAAACAAGAAGAAACAAACGAAGAAGGAGATGCGAACATCAACAGTTGTAAGAATCTTTTACACGGAGTCAGTGAAGCGAGCCAGTCAAACGTCGGCGAAGAAGCACCAGCGCACGACCCTGGGAGCCACTCTGATGTGTTGGTCATGATACAAGTGAAGTCTGAAGATGGAGACGGCTCTGTTCCTGTTTTCGACACCGCGCCGGATCATACCGCAAACCAAGTCAATGAAGTCAATGGCAATGAGGGACAAATCAATGAAGCAGGACCACAACCACATCCACATCCAGTAAACGATAAAAACGGCCAAGTAGAGAGGCACAGGGCTGATGTGTATCCCTCGCTTTCCGTTCCTACGACGCCGAATGACGGTTACGTTGCTGGAACCACGCCACCACTGAAAGAACGACCTGACGAAATAAAAGAGGCAGGCTCGGTGGCACCGAACATCAAGGTAGTAGTAAGTACATGTTTTTGTCACTGTGCTTAATTACTTGCAAATATATCTTCAGGGGTAGTCAAGGTTAACGTTGACATATAAAGGATGTATGTACAACGCTATGAGCATTGCCTACGCTAACAACCTCTTGGACACTCGCACCACCACCATTTTCTTCTTTGTAGGAGCAAGAATGTGCTGAGGATATCGGTATCGCGATTTCGCCATTAATGCCTGTCACTCTGGAAATTCTTCCCGAGGTAGATGAGCTCGGATGCTCTGCCTGCACTGCCGCAACTGACGCTTGCTCGGCTTCGGTACTGGTGATAAGAACTTTGTGGACTTAGATCCTCCACCAACGACTAGGCAGTGAAAAGAACTTCTAGCAACAACTGACGACCACTTAGTAGTTCTTAGACTTTCGAAAACTGACGCTGACTATGATGTATCTTAGATAATTTATTCTACTCACTCCATCTTCACGTTCACAACCTCGACAGGGTGAGCAATCGTCTTCGGTTTCCATTGATTTCAGCCTCGAGCAAGGGCAGCAGCGGGAAGCTGTCCCTGGAAAGTCTCCTGGTCCATCAATCGAGTCGCCGATTATTCCCGCATGTGGAAGTGTCCTGGAAGAGAAAGAGACGGCCCCCTCATCTGTCAGAAATCTCACCATCTCTTCCGAAGAGGGCAAGGGGACGGGCGGGGGAGGTAAAGATAACGCTTTTGAGATTGATTGTGGAGATTGATGAGTGTTTTAAACTTCGACTACATCCTATTATTTACAGCGTCCTTGCCCTCCATGTTAATGCTTTGTTCAACAAGAACATTGACCGGATTGACGCTTCTCTTTTCACTTTGCCCTTTTTTCACATGGCAGGTACCTCTAGACCAAGTTTTCCCAAGACCAATGAGGCCAGGAGCCCTGTGTCCGGCACACCTGCGTTCCCTCGAGTGGTACTAACGTACCAACAAGAGCCAGCATTTTCAGCGGCAGACGTGGCAGAGTCCGTCGCAGGCTCCAGCGTGCCACACGCGGAAAGTGTTTTCGGAGTACTCATTTTCAAGATTTTTGTTACGTTTTTATGTGCTCTCTTCCTGCTCTTAGTCTCTTCCTTACAACAGCGGCTGTCGTGTAGTATCCCAAGAACGTTTCGTTTATCTCCTACATTTAATGAAAGAACTCTAACTTCTACTTTTCTCCATTTATGTAAAGGCTACTCCAGCCAATTATGAGCCTTCTAAGTCGCTTAACTTTATTAAGCAACTAAACACAAAAAATCATCTGACAATAATTGAGTAACATCCTCCCATAGCAGGACTGTTAGAAGTTTTCCCCCTTTCTCTGAGGTGTCTGTGCTGCAAATCTAGATTGGCTTCTTCCTTTGCATAAGGTTGAGGCTTAGGTCCAGCGGCGCTCAAAGCACTAAATAAAACAACCGGCTAGTTTTTACCTCTAGCGTGTAGCCCTTCCAGTAATCCATTTATGTAAAGGCTACTGAGACAGTACTTAGTATCTTTCACAAGTCACAATCTTCGTGAATCTATCAGACGCCATTGACCGTGCCGGTGGATCCTAGCAGAGCACAGGTGGGCATGTCCTCGAACCTCGTGGAGATGACAACAATGCTAGTAGGCACACCGATGAGTGCGATGTCCGCGTGCGAGAGTCCCGCAATGGTCTCTGTCTTGTCCCCGATGTCGACGCCGGCTCTTGGAGGGTTCGTCTCTGCCGCTCAGACACCAATCGGCCACCGAGGTGGACGTCCTGAGGATTATTATTACAACTATCATGGTAGTGACAGCCAGCACTTGCACTTTCCAGGAGGACCAGGATGTGGAGGATCATCTTCATCTGGAGGATATGGACATTATCATGGGCACCATGGGCATGGGGGACCACATGGTCATGGTCATGGAGGTCCAGGACACATGCATCGTCCCGCACCAGGTGGAGGTGGACATGCGCACTACAGCAATCACGTCGCAGCAGGTGGTGGTGGAGCAGGACCTACTTCCTCATCTACTTCAACATCGGCCGCTTATCAGCAGGGCATACAAGCCGGATGGAAGGCGTCCGGAAGTAGAAAGGGAGGCAAAACCGCGGGCCAGCGATTATTCGGAACCTCCGCATCAGAAAGCATGTGGTCGATGATGCTAGGAATGGTCAGCGAACACGAGCCAAGCGTCTTTGGTGGGACACATGGAGGCAGTGGACCGATGGTTGACCTTCTGCATTTACGACCTAGTTGTAATCCCAAACTACGTCTGGTGCTAGGACTACGTCTTCGTCTATCACGTTGGTTGATGTAACACAAAGTTTTCTACTTCTATTAAGGGTAATTTTATTTGTGAACAATCACGACAACTCTAACAAGCTGCATTCAATACTCGTTGTAACAAAGAAAATGAACAAAAATGTCTGCTCTAATAACCGGCGGCGATGCCAGTGTGGAGTCGATGTTTCATCAATCCGGTGGCCCTTTCGGCTACGGAGGCACTAAGGGCTTTTCCGGTGGAGGGGGACCGTTGGGATCCGACGGACCGCATAAGGGCAAAGCAGGTTCGACTAGTTCCAGCACGATGAGCCTGCTACAACACCAACAACAGCACTATGGAGGCGCATCAGGATACCACACCCACGCATCGCACGGCGCAAGTGCCCCTGCACATTCCTACGGTCCTGGAGCTGCTGGAGGAATGCCGCAACATCCTGGAGGAGGAAAGTCTTCGAGTGCTGGAGGTAAGAACGCTCTGGCAGCTCTTCATGGTGCAAACGCAAAGGCTTCGAAAAGTTCTCCTCCCGTTATCGTAGCTGGACATAAAGGGAAAAGTGGCAATCAGGGTAGTGCACCTGCAGTACTTTCTCCTGAAGCGGTGGCCGCCGCGCAACATGGAGGTATACTCTTAGAATATGAAGCAGTGGCCGTCGCGCAGCATGGAGTTGTAGATGCTCGTAGATTATGATTTAAGTACGAAAATTCTATTTAGAAGGTACATCATGACTGAGTGACCTCACATCCACTTGACCACGTGGTAAACGAGGGCGCATGCCATGACATGAGTCAGAGAAGATGATGGAACTGCCAAGACAGATGGCGAAGAACGAGCGAGAGCTACTTGTCGCACCAGCAACATTTTTTCCTTCATACTCATACAATGCAATTCTTTCACCCTCAACTACATTTTCAGCTGCAACATCCGGAGCCACAGCGTCGGCTGCAGCACCTGCACACCCATCTAGTACTGGCGCCCTTTCGCAACAAGCGGTCGGAGTAGGTGCAAATGCCTTTTTCGATACGGCGCGCGCGCAGGTGGAACCCAAATTCGGAGACAGATTTTATGCAGTCTTAGAGGATCGCATGCGCGCTTATGAGGTGCGCTATGGTGTTCGCTGGGACCTCACTAGTATTCAGGACAAGCAACTACAGGAAAAGACCTTTCTCCACTTACTCTCCTTCGTCGTAAATTGCTGGTCGAGGGATGAGAAACAGTGCTACAACGCTGAGGTACTGAAATTTGAAGATGTTGTTTATAATCTTGTAAGTAAGTATGCTTTATTTGTTTATGATTTTGTTGGAGCTTGAATGACCCTTCTTTTGCATTGATTAGAAGATTGTCAGCAGATCGTTGACTGAGGTTCTTCCTTGTAGTTGTTCCCAAAATACACTCTCGTATCTATACCATAGATACACTCACTCTCACAACGCAAAGGCTCTTACTTGCCTCACCTGCGTCCTCAACAACGTAAGTAATTTATTACAACAGATCCTGTGGAAGATGGTGCTGAACGTGAATGCTATGCGGGCTTTCTACCACGTGAAGCCTTTCACGAAGTTTTTTTCCATGATCGTAGCCGCTTACGAGAAATTCGTTTGTAGGAGCGAGTTTGGAATGCGAAGGGAGGATTTCCACATCATAGACGCAATGTTCCGCCAGATCTGTCCAGAAGGATGCGGGCTACTCAATGCACATCTCGATTCTGCTTACGTACTTTATTTTAGTTTTAATACGACTAGACTTGTTCATGGAAGAGATAGAGGATGAAAATCCATTTCTTTTCACATGATGATGAAGATGATATTTTCTCACACAACCAAATCCGACCTACAGTGACTTTGACTCGTTATTTGTTGTATTACGACCATCTTCTCGCATCACTCAGGTTCGATTGTTGATGATATTCGGAGATTCGTTATCACCGGAGCGTGAGAGCGGGTATGACACAGCCTTCCATCTGATTATCAAGCGACGAAAGGAGTACAAGCCTCACTCGTACAATGCCCAGTACATGTTTTTGTTGTACCAGGCAGCCTTAGACTACGTCAAGGAGCGGGAGTATTTGGAGGAGTTTTCGGAGCACATCAACAAATGGGCAGATTCTGATGGAATGAACAAGCATTTAAACCGGGAAAAAACCACAAAATACCACATTTTCGGAACAGGCGGACAAGGCGGCTCGGCAGCGGGACAGAGTAACTCTAGTTCGAGTGCTTCAAGCAATACTTCTGGAGGTGGAGGTGCTAGTTCTGGAGAAAAAATGATCGGTGGAGAAAACTCATCTACTTCGGGAGGAGGCCGAGGAAACAAGACTAACAGTGCAGCCACTACTAGTGGAGGAACGAAAACGAGTCCGCCAGGTCCAGAAGCAAAAAAGGCTGCTATGGGTGGAGCAGATCAACATGCAAGGGCCAAAGACTATTCTACTTTTGAGAACCTTCAGAAGTTTATTCCCGCAGACCGAACAAGAGCGAGTACTTCGGTTGCTTCAACAAGCGCACCTACCAGAAGCAATTCGGCTGAAATTGCGACAACACATTATACAACTAGTACTTCCATCACATCCGCTCCTATTAGTTCATCTTGTATCAACACGTCGTCATTAAACGGAGGTGGACTAAGCAATGGCAAAGGTGGTGCATCTTCTGGCCCCTCTGCAGCTGCTTCTTCCCAGCAGCAGCATCCCAGTGGTCTCGACCAGAACATGCTAGAGCCAACGCTGAGTACAAGCAGTGTTGTGACAAGTGCGAGCAGTAGCAAACGAGACGGGCTGGGTGGCTCCTGTGGATCCTTTCCGGGCGACCCACAACTGCACACGACTGATGGGACAGACTGGCAAGCAGGGGTCCAAGCAACTAGGAGTTCCAGCACTGGAAGCGGCCGTACTCTTTCTGGAGCAGGCGGAGACAGGAAGAATCATGACCACGCTGGTCAACATTACAATCCACCATCTTCTACTGCAACTGGAGGTCGGCACCCTCACCACCAACAGCCGCAACTACATCATGGTCAACTACATGAAGGATCAGTTCAACATAAAAACCGGAGCGGAGGTGGTCCTGGTTGTGGTTCTCACCAGGAGAGGGAGTCTACTGGTTCGGGGTCTAACGTTTTGTTTTCACCGCCTGTAGCTGTGAGTAAGCCATTCGCTCTCGGTGGAAAACGAGGTTCGTCGCCACTCTACAACACCGACACAACTGGCACGACACCACCGCCAGGACTACAACTAAACTCAGGAGGTCGTCGGGGAAACACCACAACTTCAACGGGTCAACTAGAAAATGCAAACAGCAAAAATTTTGATTACGAAAGCGATATCTTTGCATCGCCTGCTGGCGGCGAAACGGAACCGGGAAGCGATCATATAGGCATAGGTGGAGGAGGTGGTGGTGTTGGTCATGGTCTTCAGCACGATTACGAAGTATTCCTGAATCATGCAGGAGCCCATCATGGACTACCAGGAGCAGGACCGAGCGGCTCGCACCTCCCTTATCATGACGACGGTGGCGAAGCAGCTTATCGAATGATGCAGCAGTTGCATCAGCACATGATGGCCTCATGGGGAAGTGGAACTAACCAGGGGAGTGCTAGTGCGTCTTCGAATACTACCCTAACATCAGCCAATACTAGCCACGGAGCTTACGGAGGTACAACAGGAGGACTGAAGGGAAAATCTGGCGCAGCTGCTCCGTCATCCACTTTCGGGGTCGCCGGGAAAGGAGGGGCACTCAATTGCAAAGGCGCACAAAGCGGATATCCTGCGTCGCATTCACAACATCTTCACACATCAGGAACAGCATCAGCCGCAGCTGCATACAACAAAACTGGAGGAAAATACAACGGGGGTTCGAATGCTGCAGCACTCAGCGGGAAATGCCATAAGGGATCATATATTTCTGCGGAAACAGCCTATCAGATGGCTGGACGATATAGTGGTAGCGACGCAGCCTTCGTCGAGAGCCTCTTCGGGAGCTATACCAATGGAGTTAAGGGCCGTCCTCCCAAGTCTACTATTCACTGATTGATGTAGAGGAAGTAGAACATGAACAACTCGATCGTAAGTTAACGAAATGATTAGGGTCCGCGCGCCTCGTTGAGGATGGCATATCACGCTGTCAAATCTCATTTTTGGTGATTAGCGAGAATTATCAATACTCGAAGATCCTCTACCTTTACCTCGTACCGCTATTTCACCGCTAAGAATCGCAGCAAAGGCGGTGCTGGTGGTGCAGCAAATTACCCCGGGTTCTACAATCCCACAACCGGCTCTCCACTTCTCAACCTGAACAAAGGCCCAGAATATCTCTACGGTTTTCTTAAAGGGCGACAGAAAGGCTCTGCCTTTTGGGAGGGCTTCGGACTAGGAGCTTCGATGGCTGTGTGAGAGAAGAGGGAAGACGTGTAGGTTGCGGGACCTGCTAATTTTAAAGTACAACGATCATGGTTTTGGGTCTCCTCATCATGTATTATTCACAACTTAAATAATGAGATTTGTCGTGAGATTTTATTGGATTTGGAGGACGACCACGACAGAGAATGTCAGACATTCAATGTCTTGAAAAATAGCGATTTTTCTTGTGATTTCCATAGAAGTTGTACTCGGTCGCACCACAAAAGCTAAATACGTAGAACTGACGAATTACAATCAGTAGATTTACGCAAGCATCATTCTTCGTATTGGTAAGCACATTTGAGTTTGTTACCTCCAATATTGCGCTCCTTCTTTTTCATCACAGACCACAGTTTATGAGAATTTAGGGTTATTAAAAAAGTGAGGCGATTAGTAGCATGGCCCTCTGTGAGTTACCCGTGTGGCTCGTGGGTGCCGGTCTGCCAATTGCCAATCATTCTTGCTCTATCCAGAAGTATTAGAAAAGTTAAGAAATACAGGTAGTAAAAACTACAAGCGTATGCAGTAACCTAGAGTTGTCGTGCGTGCGCTTGTGCCGTGTACAGATAGGCGAAACGAAATTTTGCGCATTTTCGAAGTGACTTACATATGAGCACGAAAAGAAGAACCACTATGGCTGTATGGGATAAGATGAATACTTTGCAATTTTGGTTGCAATATTCCTTGCCTCGCTCCTCTCCGACAGAAATTCGATAGATCGCATGATTTTTGTTCAGATTTTTAATGATTGCATTATCATTATTTCGTAATTCAAATTCAATACAATCTACTCCGATAGATATAGATGAGTTCGTTGACGGCTGGGAGTGTGTAATTCGCTTGAAATTCATTCTTAGATTCATGTTATTCCGCATCCGCTTGCGGTCGAATAAGTAACCTACAGTAGACGAGGCAACGCTGGGCCTGGGGTTATGGAAATTTTTTGGGAGGTAGGGCACGAACACGATTCGCGCGAAACAATCGCGGGAGAAAATCTGTGAAAAAGAATTTTCTGATTTTCTGTCTCGCTTTCGACGTTGAGAACGATTGGAATAACGGATTTCTCTAATTCATGCGTGTATGTGTATCGATCTTCATGTGAAGTAGAGCGTCGATAGTGTGTGTTTGTGTATTCTACAACTCACTGTAGTTGCTGCTGTACCCACCCGCCAATGAAGGATTATGATGGAAGATGAAACTCGGCCGCGTCCCGAGTCGCCATTTGTGTGTATTTCTTTTCTCCGTTGTAGTGGGTCTCGCCAGCTCCTGAAACGAATAAAACAAAGTCGACAACAGAAACAGATGAAAATTTATGAGCTGTTGTCCCCATTTAGTACTTTTTATGACAAATCCTTACAAATTATCTTGCACCATCTGATTCTTTCTTCACCAGGAGGTAGAAGCTGCCTCGTTTCGTAGTTATTATGTACGCTGAACAGCTTTGTTATTGTGGTAATGTTCCCAATAGCAAGTTTAACAATGTATGATGCCACTCATTGAGAACGAAGATATGGGAATGTCGTTCCTAACTCAGAAGGTAAAGGGGGAACGACATTCCCCTATGTATCGACATTCTCAATGAGTGGAAGCATTCCAACAAACTCGTCCTCGAGAGTCAATGTTTACTACAACTAGCAGAAGTCAGACTTGTTTACTAATCCATACTAGGTACTACCAGGTACTATGTCGTTTTGACTCCTTTCGCTCTCTCGTCAAAGAACATTTCCTTGCACAGATCTGATGAACATAGATAATGAACAATTTCAATTGAGGCAGCACCAGCTAGCATCTCATTTCGTCCGTAGGTTTAAGAATATCGCACATCGACATCTTCGAGAAGTTAGTTGTATGTAGTTGATAGGCTCTAGGCCTTGTTAGTCCGTAGGTTGTAAGTCGCATGTCTTTCTCATGATTTTTCTTATCGCGTTATAGTTTTCTAGTCGATGAAGAAGGTTAGTAAAAGCATGTCTATTTGATGTCGAAAACCTACAACATCATTTATTACGAATGTCTAAGTATAATGAGTATATTGACTTTGACGTTTCGTGGACCCAGCATCCTAACATTATTGCTAAATTCCGTAGTTGCCTCTTCCTCCTCGCATGTGAGCGATGGGTGGCCATCAAAAGTTATCTTGTCAGTCTATGAAATTTCTTTCGCTAGGACCACAGTTGATGTCTAGAAAAGCTATCTTGTTCACGAATGATTTCCATTATTATTTTCAACGACATTAACAAACAATAACATGAAGATTCAAGAACATCAATATCAACATGATCGCCTCCAATTTCTTGTTCAATTTATTACTTTATGCACACGCCAACGGCATTAACCGTGGCAACCTCAACATTTTTTCTAGAATGATAGAACCATATCCTGATCGAGCATGATTTAGGAAACCACCCTTCACGACGTCCACGAAGGAGGTTGTCGTGTCAACATGGCACCGTGCTATGTAGTGGAAGAGGAAGTAGTGAGGCAAAGTCGTGTTCGATGTGTTTAGAATGCGCCAGGAGGCCGTTCTGCTTCCTCCTCGTGGAAGCGAAGAGAGTACCACCGATGTAGTCGTCAGACCGCGAGCGCTGAAACTGTGGCGGAAAAAAGAATCGTGCTTGCTGTACACAACTTTCTTAATTACAAAGCGAACGAGGTAGCTGAAGGATGTACGAAATGTCGAGGTCATCGAGCGGGAAAAATGATTTTCATATAATGTTGGGACGATGAAAGTCGGCTAAGTACTTGGACACGAAAAGCAACTACCTACATACAAAGTTGTAAACATTTCGTTCACCTTTTTCTAGACCAAGCTGACATTCCGACAGATAGTGCAACAAGAACGACTTATTTGTCAGAAAATTCCGTTTCTTCCCAAGAACAAATAATGATGTTTGAACTTGTTCTGTATTAAGAAGTTGAACTTCCTCCTCGATCTTCATCTAGGGAGGTTCATCTTCATTTACTTAATATCCTCTTCTAAAAGATGAGTTCCATTGGTAACCCGTACGCGGCGTACGGGACAAGTGATCCCGATGCGCCGGATTATAACCCGTACCTTGTGGAGGAAAATCCTTATGCGGCCGGCGGCTCTTTGGCGGGAGAGGGGCTCCTCGCAGATCATGGCAGTGGAGGAGCAATGGCCTTGGTCCAAGACCTCATAGGTTAAGGGTAATGATGGTTCAGTCTCACAGAGTATACTGCATTCTCGCAGAGTACTTAAATAGTTCAGTCTCACCGTCACCGAGTTAGCATCTGTCCTCGTTTATTCCGGTTAGAAATGTAAAAAACCTCCTGCAACACAAAACCCTCCGCCTTTTCACCCTTTTGGTTGGACTTATTCCCCGAATGGGTAAACTACTTACTACGACTGCTAGGATCGGAAGAGGCCGCGAACCCAAACTCAGAATCTGAAGGTAATGTTTGTTTGGAGAAATGTAACATGATACTTTGGCATTCCTCGGCCCATCTCATTATTGTGAACTCTAAATAGGGGGCCGGGAACCACCAGCACCTCCAGTAGTCGTGCACCACGAAGGCGAGATGGGGGATCCTGTTGATGCTGGTTCTGACAATGTCTTAGAGGCAATCTTGCCATTGGAGGATGATAGTGGAGCAGTTATGAAGAATTTTGAGTCGATGTCTTTCACTCTCTTGTAGACCTAAACTACACAAGATAAAGCTGAAAGTCAACCTGTATTGTTGGTAAATTGAATTTCTACTCGCCAGAAATTATACATCACATCCGTTTTAACTGGGTATAGCATCGTTATCATATGTAACACTCACTGTGACAAACAAGAAGGTGAGTTGCTTATTCAGCTCGCCACCTTGACGTAAGTATTTGGGAAGGTGGTTCGTGTAGCCCATCTTCGCCATCTCTTCTAAACACAGCAACCTCCGGGGAGGAGGGAGTGCTGAAGGAGGAGTGGATGCTAGTAGTTATAACTCGCCACCCCCTGCTGCTTCTGGGAGCTACACTCCACCTCCAGCGCCAGCGTCGGGAACCAAGTCGCAACCGAACAAGGCCCCACAGGCGATTAGCATTCCTTTTACTGATCGAGAGGGAGGAAAAAAGCCAATCTTGAAAATTATGTTGATTTCATTTTGCTTGTTGATGCATAATTCTTTTCGGTGATATACAAAAAAACTCAATGAATATGAATATATCTTCCTGTCAGTCACCTGATATCTTGTCACATAGATGAGATGCAGATGTCCTCGATTCAGGTTTTGTCTAAGTTTCGGCCTTTTCTCAAACGGGGTGCGCGGAACCCTGTTTCTACTGAGAAGGATTTTTTAGAGAAAATCGATGCAAAAAAGGACGCCAATGGAGATGACGTTGAGGAACCAGTGCCAAAGAACAAGACGCCAGGGCGCAAGCGACCTTCATCGGTTTTTTCGGCTGCAGATAGAGGACAAATTATGAACCTAGGAAAACGAAAATCTAGAACATTTATTTTATCATCCGCTGATCATGTTGTAATAATGATCATTACCGATACCGAGGGCGAGGAAACGTTCATGTTTGTACATTTGATTGTTAGTTATATTTTATTATATCATGTCTTGTCTCTTTCATAACCAAGGAGCACGGAAGTGTCGGTAGCGGTACAGAGGCCGCGGGCCATCTGGATGGAGCTGGGGGTGGCGGCGGAGTCTCCACGAAGGACAGCACTAGCGACCAAGACGTACCAGTAAGAGCAACCAAGTCTGCTTCAGGTGGAGGACGGCCACCCGCTCCTCGGGAAACCGCGAAGACAATCGCATCTCGCAAGTTCTACGCCGAACGTTACGGAAGTAACGCTGGTGGAGGCAGTAGTCAAGCCAATCGGACATCCGCTTCCGCATCATCGGGAGGTGGCGGCCTATCCGCATCGTCGGGTGGCAACGTCCTAGGCGCGAGCTCCGGAGGGTTGCACTTAGCCGACACACCAGATGGAAACGTGTTGCGCGAAGAGAATCGGTATTCGAGTGTACGGGTACAGAGGGATGCAGGAATGGACGACCTTGATGTGGTCGACATGGACGAGAACGAGGCGCCAGTTTCTGCCTTCGTCAAAAAACATTTCTACGCATCTGCGGGTGGCCAGCATGCAACGACCGTCGAGAAGCACAGCCCGGATCTCGACCACCTGTCGGGAACTGCCGTAATGAACAAGCTGGGTGCTGCTGGAATCAACTACGTACATGCGAATCTCAACGCTGACGGGAACAAAGACCCAGAGGTGGAGCAGCAGGACGCCGTGGTAAAGGAAGAGCTAAATCGAAAATTGAAATTACTTGACGCCCAGATCGACCGGTTCAAGAGGGAAAATGAGCAGTGCAAAAAGCTTCGTCTGGAGCGTGAAGCACTGATGCGCAGTACAGAAGCCGAACGGAAAAAACTGAAGGAGGAAGTCGAAAGGGAGCGTGCAGCGATGATCGCAGAAATAGATGACGAAAGGGAGAAATTGCGGAAAGAGCGCTCACGCATACACGGAGAGCGAGAAAAGCATCGAAAACAGGTGGTATGGCGTTTTGTATACTAGAAGTGAAGTAGTGATTGGTGACATGATTATGTTCAGGATGAGAGAGAAGTTGAGCAACTAGTTCAATTACAATTTGATTCATATTCATCGTAGCTTGCAGGTGGTCAAAAGTAGGTTACTATCGTGTTTCACGACTGACAGTGACAGTAATTGTCCTTGTTAGAAGAAATGTGATCATTGTGAATGCTCTGCTCCTCTTCATATCCGGCGGAAACGAAAGCGGAGCTGAGTTCTGCCGAGCAGTTGAGTAAGCAGCTAAAAGAAGTGAAGGACGAGACGCAGCAGAAGGAAGCTCGCTATCGGCGGACTATTGAGCGACTACAGCGGCAAAACGAGGAACTGCTGAAAAAAAACAACGAATTAACGGAGGATTTGGCGTGGATGAATAAGCAGGTGGAAAAAATGTCACAACAGGGAACAAATGCCGCTGGGGGTGCGGGATCGGGCACGATCTCTGGAGCTAGTCACCAGCGCAATGCTGCTGCTCAAGATCACTACGATGGGAAAGATGCGGGCGGACATTCGGTGGAGTCGAATTTGTCGCGTAGCAGACCAGGCACCTCGCAGGGAGGCCAACACACAACGTCTCCAGGAATGTCAGCTTCGATTGCGGCAAACAACAAGACAGCATCGATTACAACTTCTACGGCGGAGACGATCCCAGCAGCGTCTCCCGCAGCGAGCCACCTGAACCAGACGTCCTCAACACAGGTGCAACAGCATTTGGTGACAAGCACGTCAACCCCAACCAATCAACATGTTGTAACTAGTACAGCAGGAGGAGGAGCAACTTCAGGAGCGTCGACTGCAGCCGGTCCGGCTGGAACGACCTACACTGGTGGATCGGTGCTGCTCCACCAGCACACTCCGACTTTGTCTAACGCGGCTTCTCAGTCGCAGTTGCTAGACCAGACAGGTGGCGCTCGTGCGCTTTCCGCGAGTTCTGCCATTCGACCGCTCTCCTTCACGAGCCTCAGTCTGTCAGGCACCCGTCCGCTCGTCGGGACTAGTGGCACACCACAACAGCAGCACCAAACAACGACTATTGGTGGGCACCATACGGTACATAATTTGACTGCATCGAGTGGCGCAGGAGTCTTGTCCGGTTCTGTGTTTGGAACAACAACCAGCTCTGGGTCCACCGCTATGTCTAGCTCGTCCACCACGCCGAAGATGGCGGGTGGCCTTTGGAAGCACCCTACGGCAACGCTGGGCGGCGGGACGCCTTCGAGCCACCTGGGTCGCACCGGTGCGCAAGGAAATCTGTTTGGAACGCAGATGCAGTTGAGTTCTAGTACTACAGGGACAAGTGCTACCCATCAATTACAACAAAGCAGAACTAATGCTAATGGAGCAGGTGGTCCTACTGGAGGGTCGAGTCACTCGGTAAATGGTGGTTTGAACTCGGTAAATGGTGGAAATTTTTACACCACAAGTAGTTCGACCACACAACAGCGCGGGTCTGTGCGAACGCCTGCAGCAGCGGTGTCTCAAGGCACCCCTGGCGCCGGTTTCAAATCCTCTGGAGACGCAGATGTCGCAAGCGACATTCTCTCCTGTTTACCGGTCTTAAACGAACACATTGCGGACCCGCATGAAATACCGACCGAGAAGCACGCCCAGGATGGCCGCCTCGAGCGGATTTACAAAGACGGGCGACGAGAGATCTTGTTCACGAACGGCTTGAAGATATGACTTTTTTTCTGTGAAATACAACGACACATAGAATTACAAATAACTTGCGTATGCTTGATCAGAAGATGGGCCTGACTGTCTGAACTTTTGCCTCCGCGTAGTTGAAAACTGGATCAAACGGTCTAGTAAATTTCGGTTTCCATAAATGAAACAAATAACGTTAACGAGCAAATTATGCTCATTCTAACCTGTAAAGTCCTCTGGCCTGACAATCGTTGCACTGTGCTGTTCACCAATGGGGATACCAAGCACTGTCTTTCCGATGGGACTGTGATCTATCGTTACGCGGAAACATCCGCGACTCAGACAACATTCAGCACAGGCATCGAAGTCTTCCAATTCGCGTCTGGTCAGATTGAAAGGCACTTCCCTACTGGCGAAAAGATATGGCAACAGGTAATATCAAAGAACAAGAGATCTTCATCTGGACTATGAAGATGTCTGCAACTTATCATTAGCACGCATGAAATTGAAATTGCTTCTTTGTTTTGTAGCTTGGCGGAGGCGGGTGGCTTCCGTCCCCCGCCGGGGGCTTGGGATAGTTTTACTGTTTTCTTTTAAGGGGTAGGGTGGATTTTTTGCAGGTCCTTCTTTGGCTCGGGATAGCCTCACTTTCCACCCTCCTCCCTTCCGTACTTACTCGCTCACTGCCCTCCTTGTCTAAGTCTTTTCAGTCCCTTCGCCTTGCATCATCTTGAATACTACTACTGCATCTCATACTAATCATTGTGTTCCTTCTTTGTTTTGCTCGTTTTCTGCCTTTTCTAAAAACCGAAATTCGATTTGCGAACGGGACAACGAAGAAAATTTTTGAGGATGGTCACGAGGAAATCCGGTTCCCAGATGGCGTGCTGAAGCACGTTCCTCCGAAAAATAAATGAGCAGTGGAGAAAGAAGGTCTAAAGACACCTCGCCCTTGTTGCATGTAGTTCAACGAGCGACGGACAAAGCAAGAACGAGTTTACCTGCTGGGGGTACATCGGAAGATCTTTCAGAGGTATCTGCGGATTAATATTACTTGCTCCGCATTGATTCCTCAGGTCGTCTGCAACTTCAACATGATATTTTCTCATGAAGCAAGAAGATACAGCTTTCATGCTAGACTCCTAAACCACTTCTAAACCCAGAAAGTGTGTTGCTTCACTTTCGGACGCTTTTTGTCGCTGCTTTTTTCTAGCTCTTCTTCGTGTTCACTTCGCAGTCTCTGTTCACGAGTATTGTTGCTGTTGGTGTTGTGGTCTGTGTCTTCCTCGTCCACCGATTTCGCTACAGTAATAGATTTGTTGATGATTCATTTTGGTCATCCGCTCTTCGCGTTAGCTGGTGTCTTTCACTAGCGTAGGGAAGTTGAATAAAAAGATGCGTAAATTTTCACTGCTATAATTTCTGAATACTACCCGACGCATAGAGAGAACATAGAGCAGAACGTCCAAATTCTCTCCTTTGAACATCCTTCAGTCATCCTTCTAGATGAAAAATTAAGTAAACGACTCACGCCCCCCTTCCTGAAGTAATAAAGCTAGTCGTATTTGGTTTAACAAATCGTATATATAAAGTAAAGAGTCTGGTGTTGAGCCAATATCCTTCACTTGTTGTCTCTTCACTCCAGCTGCGATAAAATGCCGTCCTCTACATCCAGCGACGTGATCACTGTTCACGGAATCAAGAATTGCGATACTGTGAAAAAAGCACTGAAATGGCTGGATGAGAAACATGTACTACTGCTTTCTTTTATTTCGTCCTCTTTCGCATTCCATTCTTTTGGAGATGATACAACTTCGACATCACTTATGTGACGTCGACGAATGCACAATAGAGGTTGCTGTTTAACTCCCAACATGCTGCACCCAAAATAGCCTGTCCGTTATTTCCGACTCTCCTCACTTCAGATCAAATACGAGTTTCGGGATTACAAGAAAAGCGGAGCAGACGCCGCGGTTTTGGAAACTGCTTGTAGGAAATTTGGGTGGGAGAAGGTGGTAAACCGTCAAGGAATGACGTGGCGAAAACTATCAGAAGCAGATAAATCCGCCATCACAGATGACGAATCGGCAATCACTTTAATGCACTCCAACACCTCTGTCATTAAACGTCCAATTATCACAAAAAGTAATGATCTCCAAAGTAAAAATATTCTTCTAGGGTTCGATACCAAAGAGTACGAATCCTATTTCAAAAAGGAGAAAATCTAGATATTTTCCCTAATCCTACTTCTTACTCCCTAATCCTAATTACTACTTGAATAAGTACCTTTTTTCGCGACGACCGTTCAGGTATACCTCTATTGAATCAACTTGTGACTGTACATTACTAAACCAGTGCCATCAACGTTCTCGCTATAATCTAGTCCATCTAATTTGTATTTGTAATCACTTGACGTAATCACAAATATTTCAGAATCAATGGACTGACCTCTAACTGTTAAACAGTTGCGAGGCAGCCTCATCGCAGAGGTGTTTGCTTGTACTTCATAGTACGTAGTTGCGTTCGTTCTCCTTATTATTTCTGTTTGCCATTCAACAGACGTGTGTTTTTCTAAGATTCTTTCTTCGATTTCTATCAAAATTCTTATGATTCCTTCTGTTGTCAACGGTCAATCAATGGGTTTTAGTTTTTGTTATATAACAATTTCAACAAATTAATAGGTACCTGTGCAAGTCTAAGGGTAAGGCTTCTCATATTGTGGTGAATCTTCTGAGACATTAAGCAAGTGGTCGCATACCATTATCGTATTTGAACGACAAGGGAGTATCTATTAGTACTTTGCTGACAAGAAGTGAAAAAGGTGACAATCAACATGATCAAGGAAACGACTCGTATGTCCCGGGACAAAATTGGTCACGGCTGGGCTGTCGCCGAATGGATGAATTTGCCAAGACCTGCGAGCGAGCGAGAGCAGACAGGTGGCTGCCAACGCGAAAACTCCTTGCTGACAAACAAGAAGACACGTGTTCGTTCATCTGTTCGAGGCTAGCCCGCTCTACGACTAGCTTGCGACACCACAGAGTACTGGAGGGAAGCCGCGAGAGATAGATGCTCAAGTGACGACCTTCCGAGGGTTGGGTTTTGTGAGGTAAATGATAATCATCATTTAAGTAGACACATCAGTTCGCATGTAGTAGATACCTGCTAAGGGTATCTCATCCATGTTTCCCAAAATGTTTACCTTGTTCACAACGATTTGAAAGAAAGAATGACCAAACCGTTAGCGACGTATCACGTGGCGAATATGCTTTGTCGCGACTAGTCGTTGATAAAGCGGTGCCAGCACTACCCCGTTGCCACGACCATGACCACGCCGACTCGCCTCGTGTGCAGCCTAGGAGGTCGTGCCCTCTTTCTCCTGGCACAACATTCTCTCCTATGGTTTTTACCATGTTGCGAGATCTCGGCTGTTGCTACGGAACGAAATTTCTTGAAGCGGAATGGTGGAGCGACGAAGAGGACCTCGACCAGCGTCCAGAAACAAGGTGAAATTTTTGGCGTGAAACGTGATCAGAGGTATGCGACCTGACAGTACGGCCCGTAGACCGTTGTTTATTTTATGCATCACTAAATCACGTGAGGACTTCCCACAACTTTACATCTCTATTGGTAATTCTCTCCTTCGACAGTAAAGTGTTTTTTCGTATTTCGATATTAGATTGTTTAAGAGGGACTCCGTCCTGATATTAGATATAGAGTGTGAGTAGTTTTTCTCCTTTTGTGTCATTCCCATAAATGTGGGGACTCAATGCGAATGCGTCCGTTGTTTAAAATCGTTTTAGAAGATTTAGAAGAGCATGTTGCTTCCTCTTCCTCTTTCATCTGTTTTGTGACGACGATGCGAGCAACTCGTTCATCGACGCACATCACGGTTTTCTGCAGCAGCAACATATTACTACCGGTCTGGGTCAGCAACAACATACAGCGGACAAAGTACAGCCTCAGTGTGCCTTTGACGATGCGCTATTTCGACTGTCGGCAGAGGACAAGGAAACCCTACTGGCTGAAATATCTGGCATGCGACCCGATGTAGACTTCGTGCAAACCGGAGGATCGCACGTCTGCGCCACTTGGGGTCAACCGTGTACCTGTTCTGGCGGTTACGTCATCTTTGGCGTTCCACACCTGGGCTTGTGGAGTCCAGCTCAGGCTGTGCCTGAAGTGGCGGACAATGCGGTAGGTGGAACTGGAAGCTTGACATGCGGAGCAGGAATGGGATTGAGCGCGCAATTTTTGTTATGAATCAGTGGGGGACCGAAAGTGAAAGTGACTCCTTATTTGAAAGTTCTACTGACCATTGCACAGGTCCTCGCTCGATAATCGCAAAGCCTAGGCTTTAAAGCGAAGATAATCTAGAAGTTTTGTCTGCTTGGCTACGGAAACTAATCAAAACAATCACACCTCCTTGACGTCTTCCATTAACCCCACATTCATACTTTGCTCAAGTCGAACCCTTCTCCGCTCTGTCCGAATGCCACTGCTATGGCCAGGCACCTGCGTCTTTTCACTTGCAGCGACGTCTGAACTCAGTGTCTACCCTTCAAGAGGCATGGATTTTTCTGCTGCGGCTATTGAACCGTCGAAAGTTACTTCCACTTGGCACGCGCGATTCGCTTTACCACGGTCTGGAAAACTGGAGCAAGCGCTCAACTGAAGTCGGCAGTGTACCCAGAGTCCCGGAGCACTACTATGTCAACAGGTACTTGTCTGTAGCTTACCATTACGGAAGATTTAGCTTTAGTCGTGCTTGTCGTTGCAGATACGAACGTGATGTACTACTCGATGTAGTGCTTTTGATTTTACATGCCACTTGCACTTCGACCACCCGAGAGTCCAACTTTTGTAGAAGTTACAGATGCAGTATGGGACCTCTTTACGACTTGTACTAGGTCGAGTACAAGTAGCTAGTGTAAAGATGCTGGTGGAAAGGAATGTCATTACCTAGGCTTCATCTTTCTTTCTATCCGCTACAACCATCAGATACATGGTTGCTTTGCGACATATGCCCCAGCTTTTTCAAGTCCGGCGTCCGCCGGCATTAGTAGAGACGAGAAAAACTGCGGGTCACAGTGAGCGCCGCGAGTCTATACGCTGTGGTGAGTGGGCCGAGCTCAACTACATCCACCTCTTTCGCAATGTCTGCGAGGAAAACATTGCGTTTAGGTATTCCCGTCGTTTCTGCCTAGATCTACACTTTCTGGCGCTCTGAGAATGGGCCTGCTGAAACTATGGAGCGACCGGGGAAAGGGTATGGGCGCCACGCATTTCGTCGCTGCAGTCACGCCCGAAGCAACCGCGGCAGCGCTGAAGGGATGCGCAGTAGGCTGCGCGTGTAATCAATTGCAAGGCGCGGCCACCCACTTCAAAAGCCACGGGGGCCCAGTGCTGCCGAAGCGGCTGCAACCTTGGCAAGAAAGGCCCAGGCGTGGCCTTGTTGCCTCCGCTTCTACAAGGGCAAGCTTGCTAGTTTATAGGTGCTAGCTGCGCGGTAGTGCACCTATCTGACTCGGGAACTCCGATAGTTTTCGGTAGATATGGCGGACGCCTTCAGCCTTCTTCTAAGTTGAAACCTGCGCACGTTTGCGAGGGCTCGGGGCTTGGGCCTCGGTCGCCGCTTTTCACGAATTCGGGCCCAGCATGCAGCTCGCTGCGCGAGCGCGGGCAACCCGTGCGCCACCGCGTGCAAAATTTGCCACAGCCGTGGGCAGCCAGCGAGTTCTGCAGCGCCGTCCGTGGACATATCGTGCGGCCTGCCTCTGGAGAATAAATCAGGCGGGGAAAAGGAAGGCGGGGCAGCTGGCTGGGTGAGGTTTTCCTTTGTTGATTGATATGGTGCGAAAAAAGATGGAGGACTGTGCCGTCTGTGTGAACTTGGACGGCCAACAACAGGCGGCCCAAGTCGCCTACTTCTTTCGTTGATGGCGTTGCGTGTGGCTCTTGTGTGTGAGAGGGTTGGGGCTCGCTTGGTGTTCGGATGAACGTGAAGCCGCCCGTCGTCAGGTTTCGGGGCTTGTTAGCTGCACTCGTGGGCGCTTAGCAGCTGCGCACTTTCTTGCATGGATGGAGAGTAGAGGGCGCATGACTGGAGGGAGAGCAGGGGGCGCCTGGCTGCGTTCGTATGCGGTTGTGAGAGATTGACGGAGGACCAGGACGCCCCGCGCGCATCCTCGCTCGCCCACGACTGACCGCCTTGTGCTAGGGAGTTCGGCGCTGGCTTATGAATAAACTGCCCGAGCGAGCCCGCGTGCGCGGGGGAAGGTTGGCCAGAGCCAGGGGCCACGCGCTCGGGGGCTGCGCACGGGGCTTGCGTCAAGTTATGGCTGACACTTGAAACCCTCCGACCCTCGTGCAGCCTTGCTTGGTTGTACCGCGGCCGTGGGCATTTATCTATTTCGCCTGGTCTTGGTTTGTTGTATGTGTTGTATGATGTCTTTTGGTTAGCTTCGATGATGTAGCACGTAGCGATGTGAGAAACACCGGACTAACAAACACGCACTAGCTCATGACGCACGGCTTTCTGTAATCCTTCAGGTATGAGCCGACTTTGCAGGGTGTCCCTCCGCATCTGGACTTGGTGTCGCACACTTTATGGCGCGTTTTGTGGTCAAGAATTGCGTTCAGTGGGACTCGGTTCAGATTCCATAGTCATGTTGTACAATACCGAGTTGACAGGTCGTGTCCAATGTTATTTCTGATGCCCTGACTTAAGTGCAAGAAGGTCTCCGCCCAAGGGTCGGAGTCGTACGAAGTTTCTCCCTTGTTAAATCGATTCGCAGCTTCTTCTGTTCCTGGTATGTGCTATACGCCAGCTACAGGCAACATTCAGACTTCTTCTAATGCTGCTTTACGGCGACATCTTGGACTACCCGCGATTGTTGCGCGAGAGTGGAGGACAGCCACTGGACCTGATCATCGCAACGCAAGTATGGGAACACCTTCCGCAACCTCAAGAAGCAGCTAAGGCTTTATTCCACTCCCTGCAGAGCGGTGGCCTCGTCTTTTTCAGTGTCCCGCAGCTAGCGCAATACCATCAGGTACCCGGCGACTATTTCCGCTATACGAAGTTATGACTCTGGGTTCTGTTGAGTAGTAAACCAACGTGTTGACCAGTCCTCGTGTAACAACTACAAAACGCTTTATATTGTCAACAGGCCTACGCTTAGCTTTTGCATCTGGATTTGCTTTAGCACTGAAGGTTTGAACTGGCAAATCATGGATGAAGGTAGACTGCTTGTTTTGTGCAGCAGCTTTTTTTTTTTCACAAGACGCAATAATTCGAAGCCTTGTGTCTTCTCTGTGAGTGAATAGGAAAAGATACGCTCTAATACCAGAAGGAGTTCATCTCCTTTTCAGTGCTGCAGGCTTCTGCGTCCCGAAGACACTGATGGCGTCGGGTGGCGACTACATCTGGGATATCGCCAGGGATGCTGGATTGCAAACATTAGGATTTAGAGTTTAGAGAACCTTTAACTTTATGCATCACTATGATTTTCACTTTTATTGTGCATGATGCATAACCTAGCCTCACCTAACCTAACCTAACCTAGCCTAACCTTATAGCATCACCCACCACCCCCTCCGCGACTTCTCTTTCATACGTGGCCGACTTCACGATGGATGAGATGGATGCGGCGTTTAAATGGGGCTACGACCAGATCTCGGATGGAGCGTCGACCATTTTTGCCGTGGCCATCAAGCCTCCGCACCCGCATCCAGAATGCAGCCTCGTTGTGCCGTAATGGTAATGAAAAGCAAGAGAAAGAACGCTTTATCTCAACATGCATAGAAAAGGAGCAGAAGCGCAGAAATGGAGAGGATTTTTTTGTTGTGCCGTATAAAGAGGGTGGCATGCAACGGCAGATGAGTATTTAAACGCTTGGTATGTAAGGATTTATTACTTCTAGTTTTTTCCAGACGGTAATGAATCAGTTCATTCTGATAGATGACACTGAAAACATGGCATCGAACGGGGTAGAGGTTCATCTTTCATGTTGTTCAACATTGTTTTTTCTAGTTATATAGGACGAGCTACATGTGGGTAAATGATATCATCAATGTTTAGATGAATGGGCATAGTGCTCCTGAAAAGTTTCCGTTCAATGAGAGTAATGCTCTGAGTCTATAAATTTTTACACACGACCTATCCCTTGCGGATTTTAGGTGATGGACCTACATCGAGAATCAGAGCTCGAATCAATACAGTGAGTTTTTCTACAATGCGTAGTGAATCATGGCTTTAGCGGACGAGCCTTTATCGCACCAGTCTCTATCCGCACTGAGTACAAGACTAACTTTGGTTCTTTCGCTTCTGTCGTGAGTGCCATACAGATCTCAATTTTGATATGTTGTCGAACTTGTCATCTTAGCGTTATTGAAGCGCCAGAGCTGTACGAATCTCATCTGTCTGAGTGGTGGTCCTCGTATGGAGGTCAGAGTTATCTGTTAAGAGGGATGTCGAAAGCATGATCATCGTTGTGGAGTTGATTTTGTCATTATGTATGAATAGAAATAGTGGCTGCGGATCAAACCTCATGCAGCTTCTATGGCTGTGTGCTCTCGTCTCAGCCTGGGTCCTCTTATCTTCCATTCTTTCATCAGAAATAAACCATTGTCTTGATTATGTATCTCCCTACTAAAACGAAAGGTTGAGGATCCTATTCTTCAATACCGATCGCACAGGTTCCTATTTCCTCTTTCTCTAAGTTAGGTCTATCCCTTCATGCAATACCAATCGCACAGGCCACTTGATGATGCAGCTACGAAATCCAACATCCTCGTGTTAATTCATGATGAATCCCTAATGATCATCCGAGTGTTTGTTAATGTCTATGGATTCGGAAGATTTCCGCAAAGAATCAGAATTTGTGATTGTTCATTCTCTAACTCTATCTCGTATTGTAATAAGTGGAAGCACTAGATGTAGAGTCATATATTATTATCGTGTGGAATTACAATTGTAGAGCATCACGCGTCGCAAAACTTTGGATCGGTCGGCGCCTGAAAAGATAGGAGACTGAGTTAGTTCATTCTTCCGACGCCACGCACCAGCAGTTTTGATGAACCTCTGATATATAATCTGAACCTGTCATTATATCTAATACGATTCTTTCGTTGACTCTGATTGTTTCTCGATATTGTTACTGAATAAATAGTTTGTCTTTTTCACAGAGTTTGACGTGGTCGTCGTCGTCGTGACTATAACTAGAACTACGCTGTTCAACCAAGAATCCCCACGACCCAAAAATGATCTATAGAGACTATCATAACTTGAAAGATGCGGACTTGGCAGGTCCTGCCTCTTCCGATATCGTTGCTCTAGCAGCACAGGCTGCTTCAGCTTCTGGCGCTGGTCCCTCGGTCATGTTTCAAGACGAAGTGACTGGGTTTTCCTTTTTGACCGCGAGTGGCCATACGCCTGCATCTGCAAGTGCTAGTTCTACACCTACTGCATCCAATAGAGCATCTGGAGGTAGTCAAAGTGCTCAAACTGGAGGAGGAAATATCTTTGCTGGACCAAGACCGGTAGGTGGAGCAGCAAGTGGTGGAGGTGTGAGCCCACCAGCACCTCCCGGAGGTGCACCGGTAGCACCACCAAACCAAGCTCAGTTTGCTAACGGCAGACGATTTGTGCTTCCAGTGCCAGCACGGGACGAAATTCTACGCGCCCACGAGAGAAATCTGCAAGCCTGCTTAGTCCTAGCTATCGGAACTCTGATAGCTTGGTACGGCATTACGCAAGCAGTGCGACAATACAAAATGACGCCAAGAGCCAGAGCTCTCATGTTATGGTTCGTCCCTTGCAGGATGTACTAGATGAAGTAGACTGACATTGTAAGTAGAAGATGTTGAATACACCCACACCGCGACCGCCTGTAGTAGTACAGACTTGTTTATCGGTTGAAGAGCAACAGCATGAATAAGTATCAATATAACTAAGTAGAGCAACGATCAGCAGCTTTCCGTAGGTTAGACTATGTACGTTGAGCGCAGTCATACGTAGTCATCAGCTTTCCATATTGGCCTAACAGTTGTTAACAGAAGATCTACTTCTCGCATCGTCTAATCCTTCGCCGTTTTGGCTTTTTCGAGTACGCTGAGAATGGAGCAACGAAAGAGGAGAAGGCGCGCTGCATGCGTTTGATCCTGAGTCACTCGACTAAGGATTTGTCGAGTATTATTGCGGACTTGCGACACGTTCCAGGGCAAATCCTTTGCGCCTGTATGCTCGTTGGCGCGATACTGATTACAACCGTGGACTTTCATCTGGTTAATTATTCCAAAGTGACGGATGGCACCGCGTTCTTAGACGTGGTTGTGAACACCTTGCGGAAACTCTCCCTACTGGCCTTAGTCCCGATTCTGTTTTTGCCGTTGCCGAAGAACACAGAGCTGTGGACCATGGAGCCAGAGAGCTGGCATCCGAAGCAGTTGACGCCTGCAGAGACGCGCGCAAACATCAGAGAAAAAAATGTGGAGGCCTTCGCGCAATGCAAGTTCCACACTCTAGCAGCCATGCTTTCTGCGTGCCTGACGCCCATGAATTTGCTTGTTCTGATCATGGACTTCGTCGAGTTCGGCACCGGTGCGCCAGCCTTCTATAAGAACGGACACCCACAGGCGGACAAGAAGGGATCCTTCCGCGCACTGATGACCGGCGATAATCTTCAGGCTGCGTCGTTCAATCGTCCAGACATCTGCCGCGTTTCCACGTGGACGATTTATGAGCCGCTGAAGCTGTGGAGCAACGTATTGTTCTGCTGGATCCCGAGTCCGTGGGTTTGGTTTGCGATCTCCGTTGTGCGCTTGGTGATCGTATTGTTGAATTGCCACACGGCGCAGCGCGTCATGTTCCACATGACGAGGGCAAGGGTCGGCCACGTTGCGACGATGAAGAGTTTCCGAGCTGAGATCTGCTTTTTCAAAACGAACCTGCGGGACTGCGTTCTCGCAGCGATTGCCGGCCTATTTGCGCCCTACGCGAGCTACGACTCCTATGCGTACAACTACTACGTTCAGCACGAGAAGATGAAGTTGACGGTCGAGAGCCAGAGAAGTTCGATTGGCAGCTTTCAGGTGGTGCGGCAACCGACGGAAGCAACTGGGCAATTCGCTTTGGATGCTAGTAGTGCCGATCCCGTGCCCGGGATGAATCTTGGAGGTGGGGGTAACAACCCTGCTCAGGGAGCGCCGGCGGAGTGGGTGATTACGGGGTCCCGCGGCCGCTTTGCCTTTCTACTACGCTGGAACATGATTCAGAACCTGATCACGCGCACCTTGATTCTGGTTATTGCTGCTGTGGCATTGTTCTGCACTGTCGGACCTTGGTTGATCCGGCGATTGTGTATGGCGTGGAACGATTTTAATTATACTGACGAGGAATTGGTGGAGCTCTTTGACAAAAGTTGGGTGCCTAACGAAGAAAATTTGGAGAAAATGATTCTCACAGAATTTGCAGACCACATGGGAGGCGAAGGGGACGTTGATGCAGGAACTAGTGAAGCAGGCTTAGCTAGCGACGACGGACGCATCACAGGTGAGGAAAACACGACCAACACTTCAACTTCTCCCGATCACGCGGGTGGTGCCTCGACTAGTGCAGGACGAGCCCGTCGTCAAGGGGAAGCAACGCCAGGTCAAGGTGCTATAGGCGAAGACTACGATGACGCGGTAACAACGCCTTTTGTTGTGCGCGGAGCATCTCTCCGACGTCGCGAAACCAGTGGCCGCGCAAGTGGAAGGAGTGTCATCAGTGACGATGGCGCTGCTCTGGATGTCATGGAAAGCGAGAATCAGGCCAATCTCCTGAACCGCCAAACGGCCCGACGTGAGAGTCAGATGTCCAGCAGGCGCGAACAACCTCGACACTTTTAGAGAAAAATAGAATAGGTGGCAGCAGCTGAACGGGTTTACGTAGTAGAGGTGGATGAACATGAAGGATGTCAAGTACCTTCTTACAGGTGCACCGGCGGAAAGATTTTTACTTAGAGAAAAACCCAGCTGAACACCAAAACACTTGGAATGTAACAGTCGCATTTTTGGAGCGCAGAGGGAAGAAAAAACCGCTGGTATTAAGCAATTCGCACGAGTTGTAAGATAGGTGAATGCTACCGGCGCTGTTGCACGTGAAGGTCTTTATTTTACGACATCAAGATAAACTTGTTGATGCTTCTACGGATAATAGTAGTTGCTGCGACGCAATCACGTTCTTGAGATGCTACGGTGGTCAACAAATGCACATAGTGGTTGACGCTATATCACCCGGGAAATAAGCAAACGAGTTGATGCAAACAGCTACCTGCTGTTTCTTAATTAAAGTATCTATAGATATTGATGTCTCTGGTGAATATCAACAACAAACGAAAACAAGAGACCAAGTGGACTACCACACCAAGCATTCCCTTTCGCCTAACATAGATGTAGACTACCACATTATGCGTTCCCTTGCATCTAAGATGTATGACTTAGCACTATCCGTTGGCATCTTGAATGAACCAGGAAGATCCACCAGCACTTGCTGCGTTCTGCAAACTGGGTATTGGCAGGCGGAGACTACACTAAAGTGCACAAATACATCGCACAGGGCAGCCCTTGTGCTTGTGGTTCGCTGTTTGCCAGTCTTCGGTTGGACATTGCGTAACCCCCCTATAAGTAACCAAAATGAAAATTGTATTTCCAAACTCCACCTTTATAGTAGTGTTATCTATTACATGATCTACATAACAGCACACTCTTAGGCAGACTTCCGAATAGATTCACATCACCAACAACACACTCACACAGATAACAATTCCACTTGGAAACTTCTTCTGTCATATTCAGTATGAAGATATTCCTCGGTAGCCAACTTTATGTCTACTGCAGAAAGGTTAATGTGACAGATAATTTCTATCGAAGCGCCCCATCACAGAAGACACGAACAAACGCTGGTTTACTTGTGGAGTCATTGCAAAAAAGACTAGACGACCATATTCAAATGTACAACGCCGCACATAATTATTGGTGATAGAAGTTGTACCAGGGATCCGTACAGCCGACGCAACATGGCAGCCCTCGTTTTTCTTCATCTTTTAATGCCTCGTTGCCTTCGGCGCTAGCTACACAGCAAGTGGTACGACTGAAACAGATTTCGGCCCCCAGGTAACAACAGTCTGCATGTCTCATGATATTTGTTGAGTCAACTCCTTTTCCTTTTACGATTCCTGGTGGTTGAAGGACTCACAAATATCGGGATGACAAAAAGAATCAAACTTGTGAAAGTTGTGCGAGATATCTTCACTCTGTCTGGTCGAGCTCGAGAGAACGAGAAGAGCAGAGCGAAGATGGAGGAGAGGACCAAGGAGAGCTGACAACGAAAAAGAGTACTGCTTAGCTTGAGCCCTATCCACCACCCGGAAAAAGCTCACGTAGTGCACTAAAAAGCTCTTGAATTTTTACCTACTTATAGCCTAGTCCCCACAAGAACCTCGCTGAATATCCGTTTCTTTGGTGATGCACCCAGCAATACATGTTTCCATTAAATGTGATGTGATTCTTTTTTGACGTATCTACTAGTAGCACAGCTTAGTTGCCGTACCGCTACCTACTAGCAGCACAGCTTGGTTCCCGTTGTCCTTGTTTGTTCCGTACTATGCTAATTCTTCCAAAAGCGACCGAGTAGTTGTTACTTAGATTTGATCTTTCTTCCTGTATCAGTTGGACAGGGGTTGTTGCGGCTAAAGCTAGAGTCTCGTGATATCGAGTCGAGGGGTCTGAGGCAATCCTACTTTTGTTGTTGTAACTAAGTGTGAACTTACCCTAATGGACCCTTCGAGTTCTACAACGAATAGCATCCGACAACCCAGTGGACTCTAGCTTCCGCGCGCAGGCGGTGAGGAAGACTGCGAAGTAGAGTCCACTGGCAGCGTTGGGCGGTGAGGAAGACTGCGAAGTAGGCAGATCGCACTAGCTGTAGAATATTAGAGGCGCAAATAAACGCAGATCAACACAAAAAAAAAGAACGAGTATGAAGACGTAGACGACTGTCGCTTGATGCAGGGTCGCGCCACGCAGTGCAGGACGCGAAGTGTCATGCGGGTCATCAGTGTCATCGCAGGTCAGTTGGCATGAGACGTTTTATGAGTGAATAATGCTGGATTTCCACATCTGGGAAAACGAACAAAGCCTTCCACTTCGACTTCCCGGGAAAAAAACTTCGACTTCGACTTTCCGTTTGCCACCGGCACGCTGAGGCACAGTGACGCGTGTTGCGAGCGAGAAGAGTATAGCAGCTTCGTCGCGAACTTAAGGCACGTACTAGGTGAAGCCCGAACAGACGCGCACTAGCAATTTTGCCGATCTTGTCGTGGGACGACAAAAATCAGGACTATCGTCTTCGCCGAATCGGAAGCTGGAGCTGCAACAAGCAGAAGTTACCAACGAGAACGACATCAGATAGCGAGAAAGTAAGAACGATAGCGATCATGCGTGTTTTTCATCCTACAACTCCGCCGCCGCAGGAGAAGCAGTGCGGAACGAGCTTCTAGAAGTTGCTAGAAGAAGACGTGCTGTGGTCCACTCTTTTTGTTAGCACCGCGTCGTGTGGTTCTTGGAGGAAAGATGAAGATGGCATACTATATTAGGTACAAAAAATAGCTGCACCTTTTCCGCTCCACTTGAGCGGCAAATCCGCTACCGGCTGCTTCAGCATGACGATATACAACAAGAAGAGGTGCAACTGCAGGTACTATCTATCTTTCTCCATAGCCTCTTTAGCTGACGAGCGGCAAGGAATCGCTTTTACCTGCTCTTAAATAGCGTAAGCAGCAGAGCGTTCCAGGGACGAGGTAGAAAACGAAGCAAGTCCTACGACGCAGGGAGGAAACGAAGCAACGAAACAGGCTTTCATAGATCACTCTGCAGCAAGCAGAAAAATCTAAATCTTCGAAGACGAGACTGCTACATCAACGACAACTACGAGGAACTACCAGTACAAACTTTATCGAACCACCGCGACCATCTGCAGCAATTTTGGAAGAAGTAGAAGTACGCGGACTGTGCAAGACGAGGTAAGTATAAGTAATAAAGCTGAGGAGATTTTCCTGGGAAATCTTAGATCATATCCGAGTCGACTAAGATCGTCAATAACTACGCAGAGGAGCGCGGCGCTGATAGCAGGCGCGTTAGATCGGGAAAATGTCGTCTGCCAATGTCTGTGGGATTTTCGCTGCGAGCGGTGAAAACCCATGGAAGGAAATAATGTCATCAGACCCGGATCGCCCATGGAGACGGAACATAACTAGTGCGGACATGGCGTACTACTACTATCTGTTATTTGTATTTTGTTACAACTCCTCGTAGGCATATCTAGTAAGTTGCGATAAAGCAGCATCCCCATAATTAGAGTTAGAAGATCGATGAAGAGAAAGATACAAAAGATGTAAGACGCTTGCTTATTTTGTTTCTCTAACGACGATGGAAAACACTGATCTTCTTGACCACGTCGGTTTCATTTCCACTCACAATCCCAACCTTGCTTATGCTTTCCACCTTTTACCTACCTAGGCGCTTATCCTTGAACAAGAGGCGGCTGTTAGACAAGAGCGATCCGAGGTACGCAATCCAGTATATGAGGTTAAAGTTGCACTCGCGGCAAGCGCGAAGCTCGAGGTCCGTAGATTCAGCTCAAAGTAGTCTTTACGACGCCGACGAGCATGATATAGAGTGGTACAGAGACCCTGCGCACAGGTGGAGTCGGAAACGATACTGCTCTTTCTGGCCGCACCAACACAACATACGGCTGGAGCATCATGCGAATACGTAACAATAAATACATTCACTCGTAGTTCCAGTACAACTTCGACTTCGTTTTTTTTTTCTGGTGGAAATAAACAAACATCACCACGACAAGTACTAAGTCCAAAACCTCCAGTTTAAGATCCACAACATCAATTAGACGATGAACAGGGTCATTGTAGTCTTCTCATTTCTCCAGTAACCTCAATTTCAAATCCAATGTAGTATGCCAACTGAAATTTTTTCTTAACAAGTATTCTCATCAAAAATCAAAAACTCCAATTCTAGACTCCGCTTTCCCGAAGCAAATAAGCCGAGTCATCTAGACGATAGTATGTCACCTGAGGACTTTTCTCCACGTGACGCGACATTTGACGGCTCCGGGTGGCAACGGCGGTCTATAACAAGAGGCGGCGAATATTCGCCGAATTCAAGAACTGGTATTCTACTGCATGAATTTATCTCGATTGGTTTTTCTTCTTCTTCGAGGATTAGTTTCACCTAAGTAGGATACCAACTTGCAAGTGTTGATAGATGTAGTCACGATCCTCATCGAGCTCGTTGTAATTCCGGATAAAAAATCTACTACTCCCATGTCTTCCTCTAACCAACTACAGGTCGCCTAGAGACGTCCACCTCTTCGAAAAACGCATCCGTGGATTTCTCGTCAATGTTTGATAGTTCGTGCTACAACGAAGATGACGATTTTAGTGTCGGACTTGCGACTTCTATAGTACTAACTATGAGTTGAGTAACTAACGTGACTATGTTGAGTTAGATAAAGATATGTTGTAGACATTTTCGTAAGTAGACAATGTTAGTGCGTCGTGTCAGACTTGGACTTGCTTTGGTGATACTGACTACTCCTACTACTTGTTACTCTCATCATTCTTGTACCTCGTCACTGTCTGATGATGAATCCATCGAACATCGTTTAATGATGAATCCGAACATCGTTTTTCAGCGCGGTTCAAGAGGCTACCGATTACGGGAAGGAGTTTTGCCGCCACAAACAGCACCAAGTGCGACTAGTGGACGTACCCTCCGAGTCTCGAGAAACGTTCACTTCCGAGGAAGCTATGTCAACAATAGGACGAGGTAAGGATTATACTTAAGGAAGACATAGCTATAGCATTAGCATTACAGAATATTTACTAGTATAATGTATTTTTTTACTGATGAAATAGAAAAGCTGGACATGATTGTCATGATCACACTGCCAGTTCCAACACTAACATCTACTTGTTTACCTCCCAGATACTTATTTACTTGTGTATACACGACATGCATAAGAGCCCCATCAGATGTTACATTTTTTCATAACAGACCAACAGCATCGCGTTTTAACGCGCCAGGGTTCGATTTTGGTAGGGCGTATGATAATGCGGGGATTCTAGGATACAGAGCAGGAGCCTATCCAAGTCCACGTAAGGCTGACGGATCGCCAACCCATGTGCCGCGCGACGAGACATCGAGTTCGAGCATAAAGAATAAGAATGTGGTACTTGTTGTTACTTCGGACGAGAATTTATCATTTCTTGATAGAAATACAGTGAAGTGAAGACGACGAGCTGGAGGTCGTGACTAAAGACTAATGTACTTAGCTGCTACTATCGGTGGTAAAAACGTAAACGAAAATGACACCAGCTCTAGTGCTACAACACGTTGATAATTTGGATCTTCTTTCTCAACGTCTTATCTGTACTTATTCCTATGCCTAATAAATATCCACAAACAACACAGTCCGGACACGAATGGCGGAGAAAGAGGGGAAACTTTTTCGAGCGGCGGACAAACGTGGTCGATCATAGTTATAACGGATTCTGGCCAGAGGTATTGCTTTTGCTTCATCTAGGGTCGTCCATATCGATATCTGTGAGACATTGACATTCTCATTTCGATTATCATCAGACACGGGGACTGCAAGTACGCTGTGGTAGTGGAGATCAGAGATGATGCATCGAATCAAATTAGACTTCTATATATCGTTCTGGGACAACCTCAACTACTGGTGAGTGATGTTACAACATCGAAGACGATGGAGATCGAATTTTCTTGATCTTTATCTTGTTGATCTTCATCTTCTTTCTATTCCTAACTCCCCCTCGTCTCACTCTTCAGGATTGGTCACCTGTCGGGAAGATAGCACGACTACAAAAAGTTCGAAAGGAGTTGGCATTTAGACAGGAGGAGAGGCGGCGAGCCGATCAGGCCCTGTGGGAGAAAACCCTACGACGACTCCAAGAAACGCGAACCTACGACGACTTCCACTCATCGAAGTTTTATTCGAGACCAAATGAGTACTAGCTTTTTAGATACTAGTGTGTGTCTGTGTGAAGATTTTTTATTTTTGCTTGTGAGTCGTACTTGTACCTCTTCGTCAATCCCCTCCATCTTCGAGAGATAGTTTCTTAGAATTCATCGAATTCTTGGCATCAAATACGATGATCGATAAATATAGTACGTAAACAACACTAGCTCGCTGGCACAAAAGCAACGAAAATAGACAATTCTACTTCAGGCCCATCGCTGCGCAAAAAACTCTACACCGGCAATTGACGGAGCCAGCACGTCTTGCGAAAGAGCCCCTCTTCACTGCAGAGTATGAGAATTGATGTCGTTCTTGTTCCCCAGGCCCACGAATCCTTCTATTATATAACCCCAATACAACCTCAACCTCTATCTCTCCTCCTAGAAGGTAATCCGCCCTTCCAAAAAGAGTTCCTCATTGAAAGCAGCATTAGTTTTAGCCGCAAATTACTCGTAATTTGGTGCTTTTCTTTGGGCTTGAAATATCACTTTTTTCGATTATTTCGTTACCATTCTTCGACAAACGGTATTGTAGAATTTGTTCTACACATCCAAACGCCATTAGTTCATTCATCACATCAAGTGCCTACAACATAAAGCGCCCTTGTTTCGATCACTCACTCTGTCAACGCTGCTAGCATCTTCAAGCGGTGAAAATCGCAGAAGCCTTCTGCTTCTGAAGAGGGGCATAACAAGTAATTATGAGGGAGCAGTCTTCGTCGAGGCACGCGCCTCGATATAGATGCGGCATCTCAATATCTAGTATGCTAATTTTGGCGGGAATCTTTTCTTTGAGAAGATACCTAAATTCACTCATGAGTGTCAATGTCATATTCACCATAACCAGATTTAGATTTTGAGAATATACCAAAGTATTATCCGTGTGTCGTACGTGGTCGTGGTGGTCGTCACTACAACCGTCGACAACAAGATAATAAAACATACCAGTGAAGAACATCAACATTAAGCTTGCGCGTTACTATCATAGCATTTAGCACAATATTTCAAAGTAGATCTAGATACATAGTTGTATCAGTTTGACGAGAGTAGTAAGAATCTAATGCAAGAAAAACATTCGCTTGGTTAATGTTGCACAGAGCATGAAGGTTTTCGTTGAGCTCATTGTCATTTCGAAATTAAATTTTATGTTTATCGGAAGTTAGTCTTAACTTTTCTATGTATTGCATCAACAATCATGAGAATAAACTAGATGATCCATTCAGTTTAACCAAATGAACACAATGTCATCGACATTATGCCTATTCATTGTCTTATTCGGTTCATCAACATCATTGTCTTATTCTAGCAAAGTAATGTCTCGCACGGTAGGAGGGTGTCGGATTTAGTTAATCTGGTTCATCGACCCACTCTCTCACAGTTCATCACTTCGAATGGTCGAGGTCAACATTTAGCTCTAGGTGGGATGATATTCAGAAAGAGAAACACACAGCAAGGTTGTAGAGGCGTGCATCCTGTAATTTTTAGGTACCCGGGTGTCGCCTATTTTTAAATGAAGCATCCCGTGTTAGCCTAAATTAACAGCTAGTTTACTTTTTCTTCTTTTAACCTCGCCTCTTCTTCTTCGCTGAACGAGTGTTGAGCGTGAGAGAGCACACTACAGCTGTCGCCCGCAACCTCTTGGTTCTGGACTTGCTCAAAGATTACGGACATCGACGGACAACATTCTCTCTTATATATGCAGTACGTCTACGGGGGAAAAGAAGAAGTAGACGTTGGACGCTTGATCGGCTTGCTTTGCAGATAGCGGACTTCCTTGTGGTGGGTGCGCTGTCCTCGACGAGCGCTTGGCGGAAGCGGCTTCTGCTGGTCTCTCGTTGCGCCGCTTTCTCGCGTCGTGGCCAGCGAGGTACGCGCCCATCACGGCAACTGAGGGCCGGCCCGGAGAACTTCGATGCAGTGCGTCTACTTCTTCTTTTCCCACCAGCATGCGATCGGTATGCAGCCGGAGTAGCCATCATTTGGAAAAGGTACCAAAGGAAACGCAGTATGGTGAGAGTAGAGAATAAGACTCCGATGTTCTTCTTGCAGGTCCACCAGGTTCTTGTGGGCACTGATCATTTTATAGGAGTCCACTTGCTTATTTGTCAAAAGAGTGAGTAAGAGTGACTAGATGAAGAGCGAAGATAACGCATCAGTAAAGAGTAGGAGAACTTACCCTCTTCTCCTGGGCTGGCGAATGATAGTTACCAGATTTAAAGCTTTTTATCCCACCCGAGCTTCTCACCCTGCCTCAATAGTGATTCTACCGAGCAGTGTGCGCAGTCCCATCCCTTCTTGTTGTGGTGATCTTTAAATCCTAGTAAGGGTCTGTAATATCTAAGATCCTTGGTCTCCAGCTCCTTGTGAGAGATGGTCTCTGTGTGAACTGTGTTAGCACTCCTTGTGACCTAACTGGTGTAGAACACTTCGTTATATGCGGAATAGGTGTATCTGTGATGAAGAAGAAGCTCTTACTTATATAAATACGTAAAAAGATTAAAATGGAGCGCTTGTTTCCTGTGGTGCGCAAAACGCAGAGTGGGCCTGTGGTCTACATGCGTTATAGTCATGATGAGAAACTATCATCAACGGGCTACTACAAGCAGCACGGTGCGGCTCGCCAGCACACGACTGCATCAAATGGACGAGATGCCGCAGGTGGAGGAATCACTAACCAGTACCAGACTACAGCTGGTGGAGATGTTGCTAATGGAGGACCATCTGAAGAGTTTGTCGGTAACGAAGATGATCTTGTCGATAACGAAGATGATCTTCAAATCGTTTGGTTTTTAGGTTGGGCCTTCTCGAAGCCTGAACCAGTGTCGCATTACGCACGACTGGCGTTTCTGGATACCACAGAAGACCAGCAGTACGGTTATGGGGCGCCACGCAAGTCGATTTCCAGTAGCTTTGATGCAGGGCGGGATGGTTCTACTTCTACCTGCACTATGTTGGAAGGTACTAGTACAGCGCCATCGTCCTCTGAGCAACAACAGGTTGTAAAAGAACTAGTTCGGGAGCAACAGCAAACAGATCAAAATCAGGACGAGGATTTAGCTCCTGCACCAGCACCTGTATTTACCACCAGCACGACACCTACACCCAGTTCATCATCATCGTCCCCTTCCAGCAGCGCGAGACCGCGCCCTCGACGTCGCTTAGTGGTGCAGACTTCAAGCGGTGGTCGCGAGTTGATGTCAGCCAAACGTAGAGCAGTCTTCGCCCGTGAGGTTATAGACGTCGTGCAGGACTATGCACACACGCGTGCGGGAGTCGATTTAACGACCAAGAAACGAAAGGAGAGACTTGGAGGAAGTTCTTCAGCAAGTCCTACATCTTCTTCTTCGCATATAGACGGAACAGAGCCTGAACCACCTGGAGGCTCACCACGGACAGGCGGTGTCGCTGTTGCTTCGCAAACTACTCCTTCGTCGTCTTCTTCAGGACAAAAAAAGGGCGATTCGAAAAGAGCTGTCCAGCCACCTCGACTAGCATTGGGGAATCATATTTTTTTCTGCTTCTCCAATAACGGTACTTTTCTGCTCCTTACTTAAGGCTGGGATGTACTATTTCACGACTGTCGTCGCGCTTTTATGTCGTACTATGAATGTGGTACCAAATAGCTGTTTCGTGTGTCTGACAAAGTCAACATACAGGTCGTCACAGACACAGAGTTATCAGGAGTACAACAGTATACATATTAAGTATGTAGGAACTCCAATTACAACCTACTTTAACTTCCGATGCGAGAGCTCAACTTGGTGAATCCCTGTGCAGTAGTTCTCGACTGCGCTCCGGGCGAACTTTATGAAATGAGAATGAATAATATTAGACTTAGACGAGGCTCAGATGATTACCTCAATAACAGTTCTCTTGAACGATCTCACGAAGAAGAATCGTCCGAGAGTTTATGTATGTACTACTCAGATCTGATAGATGCGCAAGGACTCGTCCGAGACTGAATAACAAGTTGTAATTCTTATTCTCCCCTCTTCTTCCTTGTTCATGCAGAAACGTGGCGCAATATAGGTCGCGTCTTTAGCCATGCTTTGCCACCGAGGCTCGCCTCATTCTTTCGACCGGAATCGTCTATCGTTTCTCCAGGATCAGCGAAAAGCATACGAGAGTCTGGCATATCGGCACGAGGTGAAAGTGCACTTCAAGACGAACAACAGCATGGTGATCATGATAAGAAAGAAGAACTACTAGAGACGAGGTCGTCGACAACAAAACTTAAGGGTTTCTTTCTACATCGCGTTCTGCCCTATTAACATCCCTGACTCCTTTCCCAGTAAGAGGAAAGAGTCCAGGGATGTTCTGAAGAACAATGCAATCTTGGAGCCTTTAAAAAAGAACCAGTCGTAGATACGTCGAACAGAAAGTTTCTTAAGCAAGTCGCGCGATTGTGTGGTCCAGACTGCCGCATGTACTTCTTCTATTCGAAAGGGGACACACTTTGTGAAGCATGGTTCATCCGTGAGTGCATTCGGAGACGCGCTGCTCACGTGGAACAGGAGGGGACCACATCAAGAAGCAACTCCTCGAAAGGTCCGATACATCTAAAACACAGGACCTTCGAGTACGTCTTCGGGAGATCCGAACACTGCGCGAATCTACTCGTCTATCCTTTATGCGCAGGCATTAGATGAGGTCCGTCATTCTACTCCTGTCAATCTGAATCCCGTTGAGTCTCGTTAAGAATAGCAAGTTCTGCTTTCAAAGAATTGGCATCACTACTTAAACTTATTCAAACAGCATGAGCATATGCCGGGTGATTTAAATGAATGAGACAGAACACGGCCACGCCTGTGCATTAATGTACTAAAGTTCACACATTTGCGCATACATCTTTGGACGTCTCCCCTTTCATGTTGACGAGAGTACAAAAGCTTGGTGGCGCATGTGCTTGCGTGGGAGAGTGCGGCTGACATCGCTGACGCCGAGGACCAGGCAGAAGATCTGGCGTGCCCGCAACCGGCGATGTGGGCTTATAACACGAATGCGAACAATCCTGAAATTGGATCTGGAGCTCGAACGAAAGAGCAGAGGAGTCGACTGTGATGCGTAGTTAAAAATGTTCGGTGCAGGAGTTTGAGCTCATCAGGGCTTGCTGGTGAGGTGGAAATCTAGTCACTGGGCTAGTTATTACGCAAGGTTTTCCATATCTTCGATGCTCGTAGCATTTGTTTTTTTATAACTCTGTTCATTTTCCTCGTTCTACTTGTTCTTTATTCATCTCTTCATTTGATTTTAAATAGCCATTTGGCTTCTCTTCCAAATCCTTTTCTTTTTTCCTTTCTGTCTACACACGTGCCGTATACAAGAAGATGAAGAAAAACATCTTCTGGTTGCGCATATACAGTTCGTTGCTTCAGAATTTCGAGAATAGCATGCATACCACTTGCATTACTTGCGCACGTTTACAACAAAGAGAACAACAACGACTCTCCAGTACCTCTGATGAATGAGGCTCGCCTCGAGAAAGAGGACGCTTGAACGAGAAAAGATGTTTATCCCCAACTCCCATTAAAAAAAAGTGCGAAGTCGCCTGACCTCAAAACTCAAAAATTGACACCGCAAATGGAAGATGGGCAAATGGAGGAACAGTCGTCGTTGTACACAAAACAAAAGAACAGCTGAGGCATTCTTTTGTATGAAAGATCAGAAATTCTTAGTCAAGTAAAAATGTATAACACACTGACACTCCGTTCGAGGAGTTCGTTTCGGCACCAACACCAAACTCGAAGATAACGATAAGATGATGGGTCGTCTGGGCCTAACACTTGGATGGCCCTTGGGCGCAGTCTTGTTGGCGGTCTTTGTCTCGTGCGAGGCTCGAAATCAGGAGGATTACGGACATGGATATTCGTAGTCAAAATTCACATTTGGATTTGGTATTAGGTGAATGAAGTAGTCAAAATTCACATCAACAGAGAATGAAGTTGTATTTATGACCACTAAGCAGCAGAGCCCGTGTACGTGTAGTATTTATATATAGGATCTCGTGCTTGTTTCAGTTCCCACATTCACTATCCATTAAGAAAAAGAACCACTTTGCTGATGCAGACTCGTGTCTTCTAATTCCAAAACGTGCAGCTGGACGCCGGCGATCGGGCTCCGACGCCCAAGACAGAGGCGCACAATCGTCGCAGGGCTTCTATGCATGTGAAAACGACGACGCCCGTCCCATACGAGTGGAGTGACGAAAGCGTAGAATTTCCCATTATGGACAAAGAGTGTTATTCTTGTACTTGTGTGATCCTTAATATTTGGTGAGCTGACTAAGTAGTTGTTGTAAGTATTTCTATTTTCTTTATTGACGAAGTGAGTCTAAGGTCTACAACTAGGGCGTCAGCGTCAGCTTTTGTATTCTTTTTTGTTTCATGAAGCTGGAGCAGGTGCAGGTCGGTCGCTTTCACGAAAGTAGTCGAACGAGCTCGACTAGGACGACGACGAGGAATGTTGCCAATGTTGAGGTTCTAGCCAGTGGGGATGTAGCGAACGCAGTAGACGTGAACGAGAACTATGCAGAAAGTAGAGCCACATCTTCGAGAAGAAATTACAAGCACGTGTACAACGATTATAGTGGTCACCACTCAGTTAGGACCAACAAGAACAACATGACAAGCACTTCTGCACCGAAGGGGACGGCCACTTCGTCTGGGCTGTCAAATGGTGGCACCACAGAAGAAGCAGAGCCTCCGAGTGGCGGAGATGCGACTCCTGTGTCGACTTCCTTTGTACAACGATCTTCAGGACGAGGGCCAGGTCCATCAATAGCAGAGACACAAGTTGTTCATGACGAATCCATTGAGGAAGCTGCTGATGCAGAGGGAGTAATAACACCACGAAACCAAGCGCAAGCCCTGTTATTTACAACCAGTGCAGGAAAGCGAGGATTTTTGCTTCCAGTGCCAACATTAAGGCTACTGCTGACGCATCCTCAACGCCATCCTTGGCTTCTTTTTCAAGGGGAAAAGGGGCTCAGGGATGGGCTCAAGGATGCGACGCGGTCGGTCTAACAGCACGTGATGAAATTCTTACGGCACATGAGAGAAACCTCCAAGCCTGCCTAATCCTCGCCATAGGAACTATGATCGCTTGGTATGGGATCACGCAAGCAGTGCGAGCATACAAAATGACGGACAAGTGCAGAGAACTCATGTTATGTAGAGTTGGATACTACTACAATATTCACGGATAAGTGCAGAGAAGAACTCATGCTATGTGCCTACTAGTACATGATCTACATGCTTAAGTAGATTGTAACTACTGCAGAGAGCTCAGGTTATGTACCGTGGCTGTGGCTTACTAAAACTCAACATCAACATCTACATGCTCTACGACATTTGAGATGTAGTCTCCTTATTTTCCAAATATAATACGAGTCGATACAACGTTTCATCTGTCGCAATCATCTTCCCTAGTTTCTATCGTACCCCATCACCACCGCTTTCTAAGATCCCGTCGATTTGGGTTTTTCGAGTACGCTGAGAATGGAGCAACGAAAGAGGAGAAGGCGCGATGTATGCGCTTGATTCTGAGTCACTCGAGTAAAGATTTGTCGAGCATTGTTGCGGACTTGCGACACGTTCCAGGGCAAGTCCTTTGCGCTTCTATTCTGGTCGGCGCGTTGCTGATTACAACGGTGGACTTCCGTGTTGTGAACTACTCGAAAGTAGTGGATGGCACGACGATACTGGATGTGATCGTGAATACGTTGAGGAAACTATCTTTGCTGGCGTTAGTGGCGATCCTGTTCGTGCCTCTGCCGAAAAACACGGAACTCTGGACCATGGACCCAGACAGCTGGCATCCGAAACAGCTGACGCCGACAGAGACACGCGCGGGCATCAGGGAACGCAATGTAGTTAAGGGAATATCTAATTAGGGAAAAATGCATCTCGTGCGAAGTTGTCTGTCATGATCTGCAAGCTCAATAAGTCAAGGTCTTCTAGAAGAAGAAATCCGCAAGAAATGAATTTTGATTCGAACAAAGAAATGACTTTTTTTCCTAGACCTCTTCGCTTCTAATACAGAGGCCTTCACGCAGCATCAGTTCCACTGCACGGCGGCAATGCTCTCAGCATTTCTGACACCTATGAATTTGCTGGTCCTCATTGTGGATTTCGTCGAGTTCGGAACCGGTGCGCCAAACTTCTATAAGAACGGACACCCGCAAGCGGACAAGAGAGGCTCCTTTCGCGCACTGATGATCGAACAAGATGATGATAATCTTCATGCTATTGCTAGTACTAGTAGTAGTGCATCGTGGTCATCTTCAACGACGTTCAGTCGTCCAGACATCTGTCGCGTGGCGACGTGGACGATTTCTCAGCCAGGAAAATTATGGAGCGACATCCTGTTCTGCTGGGTCCCGACCCCTTGGGTGTGGTTTGCGATATCCGTTGTACGAGTCATTGTCGTATTGCTCAATTTTCACACGGCGCACCGAGTAATGTTCCATATAGGGCAGGCGCGTGTCGGCCACGCCGCGACGATGAGGAGCTTCAGATCCGAGATCTGTTTCTTCAAAACGAACCTGCGGGACTGCATTCTAGCGGCCATTGTTAAGGCTACCGCTGCTGGAGCATCGCCTCAACACCATCATCCTTGGTTCATCTTTCGCTACTTATAATGATGGAGCCAAGGAGGCAGTCAGGGATGCGAGGACCACGGTAGCGCTAAGATTGCCGGCCTCTTTGCACCCTACGCCAGCTACGACTCCTATGCCTACAACTACTACGTCCAGCACGAGAAGATGAAAATGGTGGATCATTTCCTCGACACTACCAGAAGTAGTACTAGTGGCGATGCTTCATCAACAGCGGACAACATGATTATCGAAAGCAGCACTTTTACCTCTTCAGCAGATCATCCACCGGCAACTTCGTCTTCGCAGTGGATGATTACGGGGTCGCGCGGCCGCTTCTCCTTTCTACTGCATTGGAACATGTTGCAGAATTTGATCACACGAACCGTGATTCTGATTATTGCCGCTTTCGCCCTGATCGACACGATTGCGTTTTGGTTGTCCCGACGATTCTCCATGGCCCGGAACGACTTTGATTACACAGACGAGGAATTGGCAAACCTCTTTGACGAAAGTTGGGTCCCCAATGAAGAGAAGATGGAAAAAATGATATTCACAGAGTTTGCGAACAAAGAAAGCACTTCGATGACGCAAGAAGATGAAGAAGACTTAATATTCAATACTAGACAAGAAGGTGGAGATGCAACTGGTGAAGATGAATCTGAAGCAACAGGTGAGGAAGGTCAAGATGGCCACGACAACATTCAGGCAGTGAGAAGGCCTTTGGTCATCAACAGAACTACAGGACCTCGCGAGACACGCGGAAGTAGTAGACTTAAGGCTTGCCCTGCTTGCTCACCACGTAGTTTACATTGGGTTCTTGTAGAGGCATCTTTTTTGGCTTCTTTCCTCTACAAAAGGGGAGAAATCACGTCAGAGTCAGAGACGAGACTTTCTAGGTGGGCACTTTAGTAAGATGAATTAGGTCGTAAAGACGAGTTTCAACATGAATGTAGGAGTAAGCTCTAATCGACGCATCATAATGGATGACGAAGGGGATGCTTTGGATGCCCTTGAGAGCGAGAATCAGGCCAATCTCCTGCAGCGACAGACGCTCCGACGCGAGAGCGAGATGTTCAGCGGAGGCGAACATCGGATCAGCGGCAGCCTAGTAGAGAACTAGTCGTGAAACCTCCCGTGCAGTTGTAGTTCTCCTCCACTGACTGCACTCTGGACGAACGCGAATTCTACGACATGCGAAACTTCTACGACGAGAATGAGTGCTGTAATACTCTAACGGCTCTCATACGTAAGTATCAAAAAGGCTCACTGCTCCACGAGTCTGAGTAAGTACCTTGTGACACTCTTGCTTCCTCTTCCTTCGATTTAATCGACGTGGCGCCATATGGGGTGCGTGCCGAGTCAAATTCTACCGTCGAGGGTTGCCTTCGTTTTCAGTCCAGAATTGTCGGTCTGTCGTCTCACCAGGTTGATCAGCGAAGAACATACAACGGCCTGCCGAATCAGAGCGAGACGCCACAGAAGCGTCGCCACACTAGCGATCTACGATCAAAACGAAAATACCCCCTAAGATTTTGGAGCTCGTAGAACGAAGAAGCCATGCCCATGCAGTTGCTTGTGATGCTCCAGCGTCGAAGTTTGAGCTTAACAGTCTGAGTTTGAGCCTAATAGGGCTTGTTGGTGTTGAGGTCAAAAAAGGCTAACCAAGGGGTTAGTTGTTAAGTTTGTCCCCATTTTGATTGTGATTTTGTCATAATTTTTTTTCCATCTGCCAGCCTGACTGTTCTTCCTTCAAATTGATTTATGTATTTTCGTTTCCGTTCAACACTACCTAGTACACGACGACACAAGGACGACTTTGCGACATCCCGCACGACTCGGTGGTCAGGACTATGAACCACGCTATATTTTTTAGACTTTTTCCGCATCGAAGATGAAAAGAAGCTGGAACGCTGACATTTTTGGCAGTACGAGTAAAAAGCACAGGCATAGCCTGCCTACTCCGAGAAGAACTCCTTACCTCAAGCACAGGTATCTCCATTCGGCCCAATGTTGTGGAAGATGAGTCTCGGATCATTCAACACACCACGTCCCCGTAAAAGAAGATTCAAACTTGTCGAACCCCGCCGCCTACAATAATTAGAAAACACCAACGAAGAACGTAGAAGAACAAGCTCTTTATGCCCGGCACCGGGATAAGCAAGTCGGCCAAGACTTAGAAAAAAGATTGTATCAAATGCAAACCATTCCTCTACAAGCGATCTGGATTCCTAATCCCCTAAATTTGCTACTTCAACAAGTACTAAGATGTGTTTTCGTTTCTGGGTTGTCTGTTCCCAACAAGATCATGGTCGCTCTCGTGGCGGTTTTCGTAACGCAGAGGATCCGGGATGAGGCTCAGACGCCACGCGATCGGAACGGACGGCCTGGAAACAATAACAGACTTCCTCTTCTAAGAACAAACACTAAAGCCACCAAGTGGCCGACGTAGAATCACAATCATAGAACTACTTAAACGTTTTTTGAGCAACGAACAACAAGTGATTTTTCTGCTGCTGTATTTCAAGGGGATACGACCTGCAGGCGCATATTCAGGTCGAGAAATTATGATTACAAGGGGAGGAAACAAAGTGATGATCGAGGCATTGCGACGAGAGATGGAGGTGCACTTCGCAGTCGCACACGATGATAGAAGGCCTTCGCGGAGGTTTCTCGATCTCGTGACCGCTAGAAGTGAACTCTGCATCAATACAACTAGACGAATTACTAGTACGACAAGTAGAACACAAAGGAATAGTTGTAGGAGAACAAGTAGAAGCCCCAGAAGAGCAACGCGTACGCGGGAGAGGAGACGACGCGGGAAGTCGAGGGCTGCGACAATGATGTTTCTGCCGCCGGATAGTAGAGAAAAAAACACGTGCAAGAGCAAGTCCGCGTTGAGCGGTCTGGACGAACCTCGGAGGACTCCCACGACCTCCATCGAAAATTACTACATCTTCAACATGATCAGGTATATTAGTAGTTTCAACTTTCATGATTTGAGAAAGTGTTGTACTCGCAGGACCACAGCGACGAAACCACGACCCAGATGCAGCACTTCCATGTGGTCCCTCTTCTTTTATCCACTCGTAGTACCTTTGATGAGTTTCTGCGTTCTTTGCACCGAAGCACGGCTCGTCTCGACGTCGAGGACCACTCAAGCACATGCACAGAGGACTCAAGCACATGCGGAGGCAAAGGGTATTCATGAAATTTTAGCTTGGCCCAGTGGATTTCGATGGGCGGCTATGGGCACTCGAACAGAGCAGTTGGAACTCAAAAAGAGCATGGCCACCACGAGTTCAGTCCTTGGCAACTATTCGACTTTCAATGGTCCACAAAATGCGGCCGATGGGGTACTTAAATAAGAAAGTTTTCATCGGGTCGTAGGATTTGCTACTTCTTAAGATCATCCCGTGTGATTTCCATTTCGTTTCGTCTTTCGTTTGTATCTATTTCTCCTTATCTGATTCGATATAATGGTAATGTTTTTGTTGAACATATTGTCAAAAATGAATTAAGACGGAATATTTTCATCAAGCTTCTCACTTCTGCTTCTCACGTCGACCACATCGAGGAAAGAATAGTGACATCAACAAGCCAATGAAAGTGTTTGACTCCATCAGGTCTTATATCAAGCTGGTGGAATCCAAAATTTTTTAGTGCAGAGCAACGGTCCAGATAATCCTGTTCGAAGTGCTCGGACCCGGAGGGAGTATTTTCCATACCTCCAAATAGACCTGGGCAAGAACATGGTGATAGAAAGCGTGGAACTTTACTTACGGGTACCGCCAGCCCACCTTTTGCCGCATTTTTTAGCCGTTTCCCACTCGGAAAATGCTAAAGGATCTTTAACTAGATGGGTAGTTGTCGGTGCCTCTAATTCACTCCCGTGACAAGAAGTGCGCCAGTCGCTTCTTCTACACTGCAGGAGGAACTGACGCGCCCGAACTACCTTAAGACGAGCATCTTGATCTTCGTTGATGATTATCATTGTTTCTACAAGTAATCGTGGTACTAGTACTTCTCTGTAGAGGTTCTCCATGCGGAGGAAGGCTATTACCAGGGGTGGAGAACAAGATGAAAGCTTGTTCTTCTAACATTCCGAAACAGCCTCTGAAAATACCACAGCGAACGGCACAAACAACGTGACGACAGCGGCGCCGCGCACTATGATGGTATGAAAGTAGCTGTTTTTAGAGTGCAGTGTTTCAGTGTTTTAGTCATGGCACTTTTCGAACGCATAAAAGTTCACAACTTCACAAACTTTCATATTGATTCTTTGAGAGGTCATCTCCTGAGAGGTCATCTCCCTGTGGAGGTAGAACTCACGATCCCATTTGAGTATGAGTACTCGATACTTTTTCAATGTTGCTGAAATAAACATTGGAATTGGCTTCCCTCGCTCTCTCACCCCACGACACTTTTCATGTAAAGTGGATGAAGATGCAGATTGTGTTGTCGACTGGGAAGCCAATGCAGCTACTGTAGTCGGTCTTTCCAATACGCCATGTCTCCCAAGCATCGCTTCAGATGAGGAGCCGTCACCCTACGAGGCACGAGGGTGTCAAGGGTAACTAAGTTCTTATTCCAGTTGTGTTGATTCATGTTGATGTTGCTATTCTAGTTCTACTAGTTATAATAGTAGAAATTCCTCGGCTTGGGAGTCCTCGGATCCACTGCTTTCTGTTTCCAGTAGTTGTTGACGTGGTGGGAAAAAGAGTCGGGTAACAACGCGGTAAAGATCGTTCTCTAACTCTAAAATGTTTGTACTAATTCCCCGACCACCAGGTATGTCGCGGTACTTCCAGAGGATGAGGTTGGTCCGACGAATGTAGGTTCATCCATAATGCAGAGTCATAATTTAAGGCTTCCCACATTGCATTCTGCACGTGCGTCATTGACTTTTCGAGAGAAGAAAAGACGTCGCGGATGTTCTAAAGAATGCAATGCTCAAGTAGTCTCTAAAGAAAGCTAGTGGAAATTCTTCAAATTCTACTAACACTTCCGCCGGCATCGTTTTCCAAGTGATTCAGCAGCAACTGGCGTTGAATCAAGCGAAAACGCGGGTCCTAGGACCATCTAAATGGCATCCCGTAGACGTAAAAGCGGCATCACGAGGACTGGAGGAAGGCGGATCGACAGAGAGAGCTGGAGCCAGTTCTGCTAGCGGTAGCGCGAGCGCAGTGCCTGATCTTGTCGTGAATCTTAACGAGAAGCATCAAAGCTCTGTACTGAATCGACCATCGGACTCCGTGAGCCGTCATGGGTACCCCAGACGCCGGAGAGGCGGGGACGCAGACGTAGCTTTCGTAGGACGCAAGCGAAAAATGAAAAAAGACCTTGCAAAACGAAGGAAGCAGGTGAAAATGAGCCCATCGCTATTCGAATTGGACTACTCTCCATCTTACATGCCGCAATATCCCCCCTACAATTATGGTCGGATTTTATCCATCTTTCTCGGCATCTTGGTGCCCTTTTTCCCTGTAGTCCCATGAAATACAAGGGCAACGGGATCAAGATGGGACGAGGAGCAAGATGAATAAAGGCCGACTCTAATACAACTTGTCCAGTTTCGTCAGCGATATCCCAGTCCCAGGGTCCATCTTCGCGGAACGTGTTGGAAATTTTCGGGTCACCAAACACAACAATTACCTCTGCGAGCGGGCTTTTATACATTTATGAATGTTGAAGATCTGCGTGTGAAAATTACACAATGTGAATAGCACCCTACCCCTAGTCTGTTCCTACTCCTCAAGGATGAAAGATGAAGAGTTTAGCAGTGACTTTGACTTTTGGTGAATAAGTTTAGCTCAATTTTTTACTTTCATCGATCTTGGTCGTTAGAGTTAGTCAGTTGTCACTGTACTACTAAAAAGATAGATCATCACTTTCAACACTGGCTTCAGTAAACCGTTTTTGCACTTCTACGTATGATCCAGCAGTTATTGTTTTCAACGTCATACAGCCTCTCCTGGGTAAACCATGATCACTGTGAAACGCCTAAGAACCCCATTCATGACACTCAAACTCGACCCGGCTCGAAATGCAAGGCACAGCAAGGGACTCTTTCGTCAAGTTCTCCGTTTTTTGTGACTACCACGTTGGTCGATACCTCTGGGTAGAGCTGCCTCCGTCAAAGGGACCTTTCAATAGCCACAGTTAAGTACCAGTGTATCTAATGCCTATAATATTTTGTTTCTACTAGGAGTAGGACTACGACTTGGTGGAAGATCCTGAGACAATGACGAATAAGAGACGGCTTAAAAAAGGATCAGGATGAATTTTTAACTGTCTTCATGGAGATTTCTAATAGAGCGGGAAGCGAGAGTTGGGAATAAGAGAAGTGAAAGTCAACGGTTACGACTTTTTCAATAGTGCAGCAGTGGCAGACGCACTCGAAGCTGTGGTTATGCTTTTGGATTCGTTGTAATTCTGACTGGCCTAATACAGTGGATCTGCATGATGGGCGTAAACGAGGTCGTACCATAACATAAAGTAAGTAAAGCAACCGGTTCGTTTTTACCTCTAGCGTGTAACCCTTCCAACAACATAAAGTAAGTAAAGCAGAGAGGCACTTCCTTACTCTAAGTTGCGCAATCTGCTCAACAGCGTGGATGTCCTGGACTATGCACCGTCCAATGGCACAAACAGCAAGGGAGGTCTAACTCGGCAAGATTTCTGCAGGCTGTATTCGGCAGAGGGCTGTCAGGCATTGAAAGATGCTCTGATAAAGTTATGGTGGACTTGGTGAGGTCGATCTCAAGTATACTATAAGAACATGTAGTATATTGGAGATTGATATAGGAGATAACCTAACCTAACCTAGGAGGTAGTCGGTGATAGGGATAGACGATCCAAGCTCACGCTTTCTCGTCGAGGGCGGAAACTTCTGATAGACAGGTTCTTCACACGAGATTCCATACAGAGCAAAGAGTTTTTGCCATGAAAGACCTTCTAACCGGTTGTTAACTTTCTCCTCGTCGTGGGTCTAGGACTAGGTACTCCCATCATCAGGCATTTCTCCCATCTAACATGCACACTCTCCAAGGGTTCGGGTGGCTATATGCTCAACTCCGCATTAGTGGATATAGCTGGATCATTTCAGCACATAGTGAATGGAGCTAATGTGACCTTAAGAGCTATATTAAGGAGTTACTTAAACTTAATTTAGATGAACAATTGCAATAATTTCGACCTCAGTTGATCAGAACGGTTAGGGTCGTAACGCTAACTGGTAGGTGCTGTTCCTCTAGTATGCTTTTCGTGATCAATGACAGGAGTGATATTATTATTATAATAATATCACTTTTTGTATTTCACAATTTATATTTCGCAATTTTTTGTACTTCACAACTAGCCTCCACAAGCTTCGCCCGGCTTCAAATTAATCGGCACTTTTCTGCCTCCCACGGGCTACCGCTAGAGTAGAGACAGCCCGCGGCAGAGCTAGAGTAGTATTTTTTTTGTAATGTTTTAGCACTATCAACTTAAAACAATTTCTATTATTTTCGGAATACTGATCTGGGCATCATACCATACCATGTGATTTTTGGGCTGTCCTCGTCACCATCCTCAAAAAAGTTACTCACTTCTAGTTCTAATTTCGGGCGCGGATGGTATGACCAGCGAGCAAAAAGAGGTTTCCGATGCCCTGCAAAAAGTGGATCGAGTTTTGTCTTTTCTTGACACCGTTAACGTTTGTTATGAAGCGAGCAGTGTCTGTACTATTTCTCAGGATCGGACTCAGTCTCCAATCTAACTTCGTTCGCACGAAATTAGGTACATACCAGCTCCTGTCCATAATTTCAATTTGTTCCTCATCCACGTGTAAAGACGATATTATATTTATTATATACAACCTTCAAAAATCTATGAATTTCATCTTTCGGCCACGGAATCAGGCAGCTTAGGTTGCCACGTGGTTCGTCAGGAGCAGCGAGGGAATGAATTAAGTACTTATTACTTCTCCTCTTCTAATCACCTTCGACGAAGTATATTGGTACCTATTACTGCTCATACAATGGTCCCAAGTGGGGCAACGGAATGGCGGATAACGACATGGCCGACTTCGTTACTCATGTGGAATCAGAAGGCGGTTTCGCTCAACTGCAAAGCACTTTTCGGGTTGTCTTAAGGGTCAGTGGAAGTGTATCTATATAGGTACGTGCGTAGTATCACTTCTTGGTAATGGTAGCTTACACTAGATTTTACTAAAAAGACTTATGTTTTTTCACGCAAGAAATAGCAATACTAGAATTAAAAAGTGAAAGATGGTTCGGATGTATCTCCCAGTCCCTATTCGCAATAGAATTACTTAGTTTAAAAAGATCAAGTTCGGACGATAATCCTGATTCTCAACCTTCACACGAGGCAGATTTTCTCTCAGGGAAGATGAGTGGGAATGCTTATAATGCGCTAATAATCGAACAGTTCATGTCACCGATTACAGGAGCAAACGTAACTGCGAACAAGACGATCTATTACTAGATCACGCACTCTGTTTCGCATACTTCAGCAAGAGGGGATTTACGGTACGACTAGGTCAAGGTCCACTGAAGATGGCGTCCGGTACTGGTCCTCTGGGTCGTTCTATTTGTAATGTTCGAAATCTTCGAGTAATCCTGGTGTTGTTACAAGAAATACCATCAAGAAATCTCATTTTTGTTTCGTCTGGTCAGTTGCATCGAAGACTTTCTAGCAAATGAATCACTTACGTGTACTACTTAGCAGTTTAATCATTTAGCAACTCCAAAAATTCCTTCGAGAGACGTGCTCAATCAGAGTTTCCCCTATGAATTTACCATTCCAGTCTTTTTCGTTTTCTGAGTTTCTTACGCTTTTCTGCAATGAATTTCGATACAAGATAGAAGTCCTCTCGATTGATACCTCATGGACCTAATGTTGATATTCAATGCGCATTTAATGTCATGTACTTAGTGAGTCCGACGCTGGGGCAAAAAAGAGTAAAGTCGTGTCCCCTCCTCCACTCGTACCTAATGTACGTTACTTTCTTTGGAAGGTTTGGTTTCATTTGTTTTTGTTCTGTTTCCTAGATAAAAGATCTCTTCGGCCATATTGTTCCGCCTGTACAGACGGAACACAAAATACTTATGCATCGTGAAGTCGTTCGATTATATGTTGCATAGACGTTATCGAATATGTCGTGTATAGAAATAGACAGCGACTAAATACACGACAGGGCGTCTGATATGATAAGACTCCACCGGCAGTTATGGAACACAAGTGATCAGGGAGATTGACCATAACCACGCAAAGAATGGCATCTACCTAGTTTATCTCACAAGTAGTAGACTCCCATCCAATTCCTCATGCACAGATTGCTTCTGATATTTCGTACATCGTTGTATCGGACAGCGAACCAAATCCTATCTTACCCGTTGCACATCGATGTCTATATCAATATCATAATGTGAATCCAGATTTGTCGTCTATTAGTTTCTTTTGACTTTCCATCCTGTGCCCGAACGGGGGGTTTTACAATATCAAGTACAACCACGATCGGGAAACTTCCTACCGCGTCGTCGCTGAATGGAAAAACAACCGGTCACTTTTCCCTGTATTCTTAGGCTTATCCTACCACGCCAAGTATGGCACTGACTATATTCGGCAGCTTGCCTGTCCTGCAAGTCGGAAGAGCGAGTCTGTCCGATGAAATTCACGGTTGGTCCAAAATCCTTTTATATGTGTAGTAGAGCTAGTAACTGAGAGACGAGTGAACAAAATCGTTAATAACATTCACAAAGAGACGAGGACCTGGAATCGGTTGTTGAGGGATTTCGATATGATTTTGAAAGATCTGCAGAAGGATCACCAGACTGCAAGAATTTACGCAGTGAGCAGAGACCACAGGAGAACTCTGTCGACTTTGAATTCTATCGTTTCTAGATAATGGTATATATAATATATTTATAAGACGCTTAAAGGGAATAACTCCGCACCCAATCGTTCGGTTGTTGAATGATTTCGATATGATTTTGAAAGATCTGCGTGATTTTCTCACCACATGCAGAGTTATGAGTATGCGAAGGAAGGCTGGATCCGGAGACGCAGCGGACATCGACGAGAGGTAGTTGGAAGGGATCGCCATTGGCCTGGCTGGGCATTCCTGGTGGGAGTTGGCCTCGTGTCGGCTGCCAATCTGTGGTCTCTACGGTGACCAAGAAGGGTCATAACAGACGCACTTACAGGACGGAGAGGGAGATGAAGCAGGCGGAGGTGATGTTGCCAGGAGGAGGTGAAGGCGGTTGGAGAACACAACCGGGCACCGCAATGGTTAATCTAAAATCTAGAGATCGGACACAAATGACCTGACAAAATCTAGGGATCCTTGTAAGTATATATTTAGAGCTGAGTGACTGAACAAAACCGGTAAGAAGGACATTTCTATTTTATTTATTAGAATGAAAGAGTATAGAATAAACTAGATCTCCTCTCGTAATATTTCCCGGCTCTTCTCTCACGCTTACCAGTTATTAATTTATTAGAAACACCAGAATTGATGAAATATAATAGACTTGAGTCGGATACTGATTATTTCCTTCTACATACTTCTGAGGCACCATAAAAAACTGCAGAATATGCTCAGATTGATCGCAGCACAGTGAGAGACCACAGAGCCCAGACATGATCAATGTCGTTCTTCATTTCTGTTTTGTGAGTGACCATGATCCTAGTTGAGGAACCATCACAAACAGCAAATAATAATGACCTCGAGGAAAGATGAAATTAGAGAGCCTCACCGCACAACCGCGAGCTTCTGTCTAAAATCAAGGTATCAATCTGTCCTCCAGCAGTCGAAAAAGAGAAACTTCAGATTTCTGTCATGATCAACAACATTGAGGTTGAGAGAGTAGGCGTCAATGGATGTTACATATATTTCCTGGCTTCAGGTCGCTTCAGGTTTTCTACCTCTAGATGTCGATTTATCTCATTTCAAGCACTTCAAAGCATATTTTCTGGCCAAAGCATTGAGTGTGTAGTTTCACTATTTTTCGAATCTCTTCTATTCTACAGGTCTCATTTTGAGTTTGGAACTTTTTGTTGTTTGCTCTACTCGAAATATAGATACTTGACTCTCTCCTTGACCCGGTTCCCGAATGCTTCATATGCCATCCTTTCCCCAGAATTGAATCCTGAATAATCCTCCTTTCTGACCCTCCCCTTTTGCTGCTGATAGTCTTGAAACCCTTTCGAACATCACCTAGCGTGTTTTTATATATGCTAGGCTCTAAACAGTTAGGAATTACTATAGTGCACATTAATGATAATATTCTAGGTAATTAGGAGGTTTTTCAGAGGCGTATCTAGGAGTGATTATATGCAAAATGTATCAAGATCAACCCAAGTATTCCTAGTGATTTAAATAGTACTTCTAATCTAAGTTGTAAGTATGCAAGTACCTACGTCTTCCTAGGACAAGATGCCAGGCATAGTGTGTTGTCAGCGGCGTTACCCCATTGCGGGTGACGAGTACTGGGCTACTTTGCCTCTCCGGTTCATCATGTACGCTGTCCTGGGGCTCTTCTTCTGGGGCTTTCGTTGGTATGCGATGGGATCAACCGCTGCTGCAGTATTCACGCCCGCGAGCAAGAAGATCACGATCACATCAAGTTCTCCTAGCACTTCTGCTGGTAGTGGAGGTGGCGGTGGAACGGTCGATATTTTCGTATGGAAAGCACTGCGGGAACATGCTACTTTTGAGTGGGATTGGCAAGCAGTGAGAAGCAGTGCGGATGATTTTTGGATGGTCTGGATGTGGAGTTTAGTCGCATTGGATATTTCTCTAGCACTCTTCACCATGTTTGGCATACCTCTGCAGCAACAGATTTTGTTTCGAACGGCGTTACTACCGGCTGACGAAAAAGGAGAGACGATGAATGCTCCTGGTGACGAAAATAAGGAAGAGACGAGCAGTGTGATGAACGATTACCGCAGCAACCACAGCACAACGAGAAAAAGCAAGATGCGTCGGCTTCGTCTTGCTTACGCGCCTGATGGAGCTGAGGGACTTGTTGCACGCGGTATTCAGTCTGGTACGGCTACGGGTGACGGTCAAGGAAGCGATAGAGAAGGAGCTACCGATACTTCTGATTCACAAAGAGATGAACAAATGGCTACTTACCTGACACCACGAAACTGGGGCTCTGTTTTCTCATCCTCTTCCGATGCTGACAGAAGGATGAGTATAAGCATGATGAAGGCTAGGCAAAATACAGATAAGGACCAGAAGCAGGGCAAAACAAGAACATCAAGAAGAACGTGCTGCGGGTCTCGTTGTTGTTCTCGCATTGGTTTCGCGGAGTTTGCTTTTTGTTTTCGGATTTGGTTTTTTGACAGCCTGACGGTCTTACTTTTGGCACTGACGTCCTTTGGAATGCATGATATAAGGGTGTGGCAATCGCCTAGCGCGTCGACCATGCCCTTCTTTCAGGACCTGCACTATCGCGCGTGCACGCACTACGCTTCGTGGGATTACGTCACAGCAATTTACTCTGACAAGCCTGCGAAGGCGCAGGAAAAATTCCAGAACCAAATCGCACATGTAGGATCCTTAGATGCCTACGTAAAGAAAGAGTGCGAGCACCTACGAACAGAAAATCTTCTAGCTAGCCCCGGAGCGACTGGCGCGGCTTCGCAACCTCCGCCAACTACAAGTCCTACACCTACAAGCGGAACGCAACAACAACTGCAACAGTCCTTCCTACAGAATCACCATGAAGATGGGCTATCCTTGGATCATTCTATTGATGAAAGTGTAGTGGCTACTACCAATGCTGATGGCGCGATTCTATTCGAACACGCGCAAGAAAATGAATACGAGGAAACTATGTCTCTGCCTCTGGTGCCTCTGCCTCAGAGACAGAATCTTCAACACATATTAATGTCGGGGACATCAAATGCGTTTGTCGAACTCTCTTCAAATTCAGCTGCTACAGGTGGACCAGCAGCTTCTCCTACTTCTTCATCTCAACAGCCTGTTGCAGAGCACCGCGAGCTGGGTCCACTTTTCGCTAGACCCTTCTTACTCGAAAACGCCAAGACATCTCTGCCACTTTCGATGAGAATGCGGCTCTTCATGCTGGGCACATCTCGTGACTTCATGATGTACTTCGTGTCTTTTTTGTTGAATGTTGTGGCCCTGTTTCAGCTCTGGTCGCTAGGTATACGCTTGGGGAAAGTGGAGATGGTCGAAAGTTATCGAAATCGTGACTCGGTTGCAACGTCCTCAGCATCGGACGCAGATTCGGCTCCAGTGGAAAGATTACCTTCGGTGATCAATAGAGGGGCTAGCGCTCGTAGTGAAGTTGCATCCCTTGAAGACGGAACAGCACCGCCAGCTGGTAATAATGGCGGGCCTCGTCCTCGCCAGCTTGCCGAAGGAGAGGCCACTACGAAGTCTACAACTTCTGTCCGGCCATTATATACGACCTTGGACGAGCCGCACTCTCCACGAGGGAGGGCCGGGACTGGGAGTGTCGCTTTTGAACGCAGCAAGGGCATTCATACAGAGCGTTACTACATGCAACGACCCGCAGAGTCGCAAATAGTTTGTTGGTCATGCTTCATGTGCTGCTGCCAGCCCTGCGAGAGACAGGCGGAGGCGGCGATGGTTTTCACCAGTTTGCGTCTGAACATTCCGCTCACAATCGGCGACGCGCTTGCCGGCTTTCATCTAGTACCTCCACGTGTAGAAGATGATCCAATAGTTGTGTCCAGGGCTATCAGGGCTGGGAAGGAACAACAAACAAGTGCTTTTAGGACTCAAGACAGACTAAAAAACCAGCACACCACAGAGATGGTACATCAAAGTGAAAATGTAAATCTCGTCCAAAATACACCAAAATTCAAGAACATGGATATGATTGATGCATTGATGCTGCAGAAACGAGCAAATGGACAATCATCTCAACGTTTGCTGGAACTAACGGAACTCGTGGACAACCACCAACAGTATTCTATGTTTGCCTATGGTCATGCGGCAGCCGGGATATTTATGAGGATCTTTGACGATTTTCGTTGTGCGGATGTTTGGGGTCTCTGTTGCGCGTTCACTTGCTGTCCGTTGTGCTGGTTGCCATTAGACGGTGGCCGGCGTTGTTCGTGCCTCTGTGCCGGCTGCTGCCCAGACTATCCAGGATCTAAGGTGAAAGTTGTCCATGACGATTGCTGTCGCAGACAAGCGCGTTGGTGGGCCCTAGTTCGTCGTGGCCGTGCGCAAAGCACCACTGAGCGGTCGGGTCGCACAGACAATGCGTGGTTAGGCTTCTTGGCACCGAGAAAATGGAAAATCATTCTCCAAGAAGCAAGATCATCTGCCACGGCCATGATGACTGGGCGTGCTGCTGCCACGCAGACACCAGACGACATCAAAAAGACCGCGAAGAACGACGGAGCGGGATGGGACTACACCGTTGTAGGGCCTGCTGTCCGTGCAATTGACCGGTCCAAGAGGCAACCTGGTCAACTTGGAAAAGCGTTGCCAGATACTACAAATGAACAACATGACGACGACTTGCATGAACAAGCTACTAATTTGGATGACGTTACACGATTTGTTTCCTTCCGCGGCACCAGTCAGCGAGCTCCCGTCACTGCAGTTGAGACTTCGCAAGCAACCAAAACCATGAATGGAGAGTCCTCTCCCTCCGCAGCCGCTGTATCTTTTGAGAAGTCATTCGCCACCACGACCACCTCTGCTGGTACTGGTAGTGCAACCACCACCACCACAGCAGGACCAGAAGCAGCAGGGGGATCAACATCCTCAGTAGAACAAGTTGTAAAGTCGCCTTTAGAAGTTGTGCATTGGGATGTTTCAAACAAAGACCATCCTACATGGGGTGTTCTGCTGGACCACCGTATAAAAAGCTGGATGATAGTGTTGCGAGGAACGATGAGTCCCTCAGACCTGTTGCGCGACGCCGATGCTGGGTTTATGAAGATCGATGAAGATGATCCGGACGACCAATACCTACACTCCGGTGGCCTGGATGCCGCCTGGTCTATACTGGAAAAACTAGAGGAGAACAACCTGTTGCAAGGACTGGATCTCGAAGCAGGAGTGTTTGTACAACACAAGAACAAAGACGAGAAGGGCCCAGATAGTTTACTCTCCGGTTCTTCCGCGGGGGCAAGAACATACTCCGAAAACCAGATCGTTAAAGGTCGCAAAGTAGAGGGCCACGAGGTGGAGAGGGAGACCTCTACTACTCGCTATAGGGTCATCGTGCAAGGCCATTCGCTAGGTTCCCTTGTCGGTTTACCACTGAGCATTCTGCTAAAACGGAAGTACGGGATGCGGCATCTGCGTTGTTTGCTGACGGGTCCCGTGATCGCAGCTGTGTCGCCAAGACTAGCGCAGCTCTGTGAACCTTTCACTGTCTGTTATGTCTATGAAGATGATGTGGTCAGTCGCTTGACCGTGAAAGCAACCATTTGCGCGCAAGACCGCATGTTACGCCACATGATCAACCGAGGCGCCGAAACGACGAAGTTCCGTGTCGTTTGCTGCGGTGCCAAACCAGCGATAGAGGTTCCTGCTTTTCATTCCAGAAAGCATAAGGACGCTGATGAAGAAGGTCTTGAAGACTACGACGATATCCCTAACCGTTCTGCAGATGAGAGCGTCCCCTTATTTTTGAAGAATTCTACTAGCACACAGAGTAGTTCTTCCAAACATGGCCCCAGAGGACCACCCGTTCTGCTCTATGACCGCTCCTTAGTAGAACTAAACCACCTCCCACCAAAACTGCGTGTCGACAGCGCTCTTGCCGGAGTCGTGCTGCATCTTCAAAAATCCTCTAGTGGTACTGAAGATGAGAGGTATCAGATGAACGTGGTGGATCGGGCAGCAGAAGCTGGATTCTGCGATGAACTTGTGGTTAGCTTTAAAGCTTTTGCAGATCACATGCCGTCCGCCCAGCAGATAGCCTGGGACACGTGGTTCAAAAACGCCTTGATTCCAGCATTGACAGAACTAGGAATGGTAGAAGAGGTAAGTGCGAAGATGAAGAGGGCATAATGATGAAGTATGAGTAGTTTGAGTAAGTACTGCTACTGTGTAAAAGATGAAGATGTAGAAGAAGTAGATGATGAAAGCTTATAGAGGATCGACAAGCATAAGGAGAAGTATAACTAAGTAAGTACAACAGCGTGAAGAAGAAGACATAGTACCAGTAGAAATAAGTCGTCGATGATGAATTACATTTACACGCAATCGCAAAGTGAGACTGATAGTGAAAGTTATGAAATCGATGATATGGGAGAGCAGGGAGCCATGATACAACATCAACTTCTGATTGCTCTACAATTTTCGAAATGAACTCAAGTTTGTGCTGAACGAAGTAAGATAGAAGGGTCTTGATAGTAGAGGACCAGAAACATCATGTAATGGATTTCAATTTCATTTTTTGGAAATGCGCGTTTTGATGTTGATTTTCCTGTGCTTCGTGTTCATGATGTTGAGAAGCGCTTTGTCGGTGTAAAAGCAAAATTGTTGTGCCACATTCTGATGACCTACCGCCAAAGCCGCACAGGAGTGTTCTTCATCGGAGATTTTGATTTCATCTCCTCTGACATTTTTGCACAAAAAAATATCGATGGTTGGCATTCGTCGTCTTATTATTATTTGTAAGTACCTGCTTGGGCGTGTCTGACATTCTGGAACTTCCTGCGTTGCATTGAAATATTCGGACGAGCAATAGGAATAGCTAAGTACTCTAGTAGTTGGCTGTGATAGAGAAACTAACTGAAAAACGAATCCGTTGATGGTTATTTTGCTAGATTGGCGAGCAGCTTCCCTTTAGGCGATGTTTCGAGTCCGACATGCATGTATCCTACAAAATTCAAGTTTTTTTTTGGTGAGCACTCGCAGTGAGTAGGAGGAAAACGATTCATCGAAAGATTCAGAGGATTTCTACTTGAGAGGATGTTGATTTTATACATAGTGAAGGCCACGATAGAGTACAGTGGAATTAGTATGAAAAGACTTCGTAGGAGATCTAGATTTTAACGATTTATGAGACGACAATTTTTAGAAAGAACCAGGATGACAACAAGTATTCTACATCATACAATCTGAGTCTTGAGTATTGCAAGCTTCGTCAAAATAACTTAGTGAGTTTGTGACTTCAATCATTGTATCATTGTTACCAAAGTCGAAAAAAACTGTCACCACGCGTAATCATCATGATGAAGAGGGTTGCTTTGCGGCTGTGTATTGGTTTGGGCTTGCTTGCTAGCCCTTGCTCAGCCGCGGCCACCGTTTTTAGAGCATATTATAGGCATAGTGGCGAACTTGTGGGCGATTACCACATGCCATCGACAGTGCCTGTAGGTTCCGGTAAAGGTGGAAAGCAGAATGGCTTCACTGACATCGATGTGGAAACTCTTACAGGGGAGACGCATCATCAAGATCAAGACAAAACTACTAGTAAGGCGCACGGAGGTGCTACGGATCGTCTTTTCGTCGATACCGACCTAGGGGTAGCGCAACAAGGAGAGCAACGATTAAAGACAGTGAAAGACTTGATAGGGTATCTGTTGCCGACGTATAAAGGCTTCGAAAGCGGTGTAAAGCTAGTGCTCGTCTGGTCCATGTCACGCGGAGTCGCCCATAGAAGAACTGATGTAAAAAGTGTTCACCAAGATAATGCGGAGAAAGATACCAGAGAAGAGTCCGCCTCCCCCAGCAGGCCACGATCACCGCTCTTACCTTGCGCCGACGAGTCAGATAGAGATACGCAACAGCTTCTTAGCACCATTGGAAGCGGAGAAGGAGAACAACTTCCCAAGACGAGAACATTAACTACAAGTAGTAGCACGGCTTCCGTTTCCTCTAGTGGTCTGCTACGACAGCCGTCCGAGACTTCAGATAATTCCTTTCCCAGCTTGACCTTCCCTCATCTTCATAGGATCGCATCTTTCGGAGCTTCAACAATATGCTCCGGCTCTCCCAGAAACGCTGGCTCGAGGAAAGAATCTGGTGGTACGGATGAGGCTATGGATGAAGGTATGGAGCAGGAGCAGGAGGAGGACGGACAAAGGGAAGCATTGGGCACTGCATCTCCGCACGATGAAGCCACTTCTGTGCCTGCACGAGGTTTTCTACATCTTCCACTTCCTGTCCGACAGCACCAGGATAACCAGACTCCCCTGCCTGCTTCGTCCACCGAACAACCAGTAGCTGCTTTAGCGAGCAAGGTTGCCAGCCTTCGACTCGAAGAGAACGATGGAGTTGACAAATCTACACGCACAGGAGTTCGAGCTCTCAAGGTTGACGATTGTGGTCAAAACCAAGAAGGCATGGAAGCAGCTCTACCTCCTACCGTCGCCAACCTGCGCATTGGTGAGCCTTTGCTTCTTCACACCCTACTCTCAGACATTCAGGCAGCTGTACATCACATGCATGAAAAGGATCGGGATGGTGGTAACCCGCAACCTATCCCTAACCCTAATACAGGTCGTGCTTCACGGGTTTCGTCATGTTCTGTTTCCTCTACTGTTTGTGGCACAACAACAGGAACTCGTGGCCTTAGTCCAGCATCAAATGCAGCAGCCGGACCAGGGAATCATTACAGCTTCTTCGATAGTAAACCACGAAATGCGCAAGCGCATCATGACGAAAAAGATGTAATCTCATTTCATTTGACTATCTGTGAAACGCCAGAAGCCATGCGTGATGCTCGGCAAAGGGCTTTTCAGGTTTTGGAGAACACTGCTCCATTCTTGCCTCCGGCTCACCGCTTCCAGGGTATGTTTCTTTTTGGTCCCGACGGCCGTCGAACATTCGACGGACCTCCATTTTCGAGGGTCAGGTATGAGCAAGTTGCGACTTTGTTAGCGCAGAATCGCGCACGCTCAGTACTACTAGGAGTGCAGATTCATGCCATGGCAGAGAGAAGCGGTCTGCCAATCGGCCAGTGGCCGCTCTTGCTGCGTGACATTTTCTTCTTAAGGCTTCTTTGACACTAAATAGAATTATTGGTGACCAGTACTAAAGCCTAACATTATTCGCAAATAGCTGAAATTATGGAACGGAGACTTATAGATACATAGAAGATAGCAGAAGCGGCATTAGCTCGACAGATGAACAACAATTATATCTAGAAGCAGATATTGCAAATTATGCGAAGTTCTTAAGAATTCTAATCGATGATGGTGGAGATGCTGATCGTAACGAGGATATGAAGCTAGTAGAACAGGAGGAGCAAACTGCTGTTGCTGGTAATCAAGGTGATGGAGGAAATAGAGGGACCCCATCCCCGCCCAGTGCCCTGCCTCCCGCACTACGAGATCGGCAACTCGTCTATGATCTCGTTTCTGAAATTTCCGGCTGGACGTTACTTCATGCTAAGTTCAAGATGAACCCAAGAGGACAAAAGATAAGAAATTCACGTGAGGCTGCAGCTTTACATCCAGAACAAGCAGATGATCACGAACCAATGCCCTACGCTGATGATTACGAGATCATCAAGGCAGCAGCGAGATCGTCCCCCTTTGTTTAAGGCTTTCCCCGCTAATCCATGATCTCTGAAACCTCTTGTTAGGTAAATGAATGAGTGATTGAGTGACGAAGCAGCTTTCATATCTAGGACTGTCCCATACCCATACGTGGGAAGCGGCTTCAAGATGCATCTCAAGATGGATGATCATGATTAGGCTGAGCTCTAACTTGTGCTTCAATATGCCAGCCCTCGCCTTCGACAAGACAAATCTTTGGCCTTACAGGTCATTGAAGGAGCTCGTGATGGCGACGTGATAGAACGCATTAGTCCAGATCTCTTAGCAGATTTATGGACGATGTAGTATGAATCAGATGATTCAGTTTTAGAAGTAGTAGTTATAATGAGATTGTCCTCATGATAGACATAGTACCGAAAATATCTGTCTTCAGATCGCGAGATACTATAGAGTATGAGTGTCGAAACTTGCCGAAAAATTCCCTTTTTCCTTTGTTTTGTGAGGTGTTTACACATTTCTTCAACAGGCTTTGTAACATTCAGACCACTGCAGATTTTTCTGCTTTTCATACATGCCAGATGTGGTGATGCAGGCGATTACGAAGCGACCACTTCCCTACACCACTCCCGGACTCAGAGAGTGGAAGTCATCAACGGCAGCAAATTACGATTTTGACGTGATCACTCCACCTCCGTCTGCTACAGCTAGTACCTTGTCTTCTGAGCAGCCTGTAGTTGCTCGGGTAGCACGTACATCAAGAGCATCGACATCAACAGAAACTTCAACGAGTATGAGTAACACAGCCAGCTCTTATAGGTCTCGTCTTTCGATTCCAAAACTGCGTTTGGACGATTTACCCAGATGGGTCTGCAGTGACGGTGAGGTCCAGAAGTACGCCTTGAAGACAGGGATAGGAAGGTCACCTAACTCCAACATAGAGGAGGAAGAAGAAAACGACCCAGATTATTGCAGCTCGACGTCTGGCGGATCTACTGGCTCGCTTTCTCCATGTAGACGTACTACAACAAGCAGAACCTCTGCTTCTCCGGCTCATGATAGTAGTTCTTGTGCTCAAGACGGCTTTAATGTGCTTACGCGATGTGATCAAGTCACTGCTGATGGTGAAGGGCCTCTTCAACAGCGGAATCCAATGCGTACAACTGTTCTATCTTACCCAGCATCACTGCAAGGAGACCAAGTTCCAGTAGTACGTGTAAATAAGTCCACTAATATTTCTTCTAAGACACTGCAACTAGCACAACATGCACAATGTTCAAACGAACGACATCAACAAGATAAAATTGTGACATCAAGAACACCGACGGAATCGCGTGTGAGGTATCGCTTGCTCCCGAGAGAGGATCCCCAGACCTCGCATGCTTTTTCTGAGGAAGAAGGCGCTCGTGGTCGAACGACATGGGAGAAGTATCACTATAGGATGGCAGACACTGATGTCCACATTGCCCGCATTGAAGAGAGAACTCGTCTACGAGAGCGACCCTGTAAAAGTACGCTTAAGGAAGACAGGAGAAGACTGGAAGTAAAGTCAGAGTCTGACTCAAGCGACTCAGTACTATCTCATGAACAAAAAGCGTGCGAGGATATGGAAGTGCTTGACCAGCAAATTACCACGGCATCAGTACCTCGACAGTCATGTGGAAACGCATATAAACGTTTAAGGGAATTTGCAGGACTATCATTGAGGCAAGATCGGGATATGATACTAATTGCAGCACAGTTGGACGAAACGCTACCAACTTTGCGACACGCAACTGAAGTGGTGGAGTACCTTGCTCTCCCGGAACCGCTGACTCACGATGCCGAACTGATCTTGCAACTGATAATTATGGCTTTCTATTTCTTAGACAGTGGAAAATGTTATCTCAAAATATGTTCTTGTGGCAAAGGCAATCATTTGCCACAAGTACAATCATAAAGAGTTCGAGACCACAATCATTTGCCACAAGCTCATCAAAGAACATCAGATCTCACACTTCTTAAGTACTCCTCTTGTTTCTTCTATTCGTCCACTACGAACCTGCCAAACGTGAACGTCCGAGCACACTCTGAGGTCATGTCTCTAATCCCCGACTTGTGAATCCTGCGATTTTTCACACGGCAAGCAATCAACTGCAGCAAAATGAGGACTTCGCACTCAAAGCGGTGCAAGCGAACTCGCACGTGGTTCATTGGTTGCCAATCACATTGCGACTCTCCTCAACATTCAAGAAGAGGGCCCTGAGCTTAGACGCCTCCCTTATTCACGCCCTTAAGTGACACTATTTGCATACTTAGATGAGTACACAATTGGGCACATTAATGCTGCTTCTCCTACTACGCAGTAGGAGGATGTCTTTGATGCCGTGTAAGAAAGGAAAGCAGGAATTAGTCAACAAGGTACTTTCTCCTCTGAGATTTGAACAGGTGATTCTTATCCTCTACCTTGATTTAAGTACTCGCATAAAAAACTGATCATAGTGGAAATAAAAAATAATATGAATATGTCACTATTGGAGACGCTTCAGAAGTGCAAATCCATTTTTTCTATCTTGGTTTCTACACGTAGACGTACACATTCGGATCATCTGCCTGATCATACAGCAAGCCTGAACCATGTGTGAGTGTTTATTCCAAATTGCAAAACTTACGATAAACATGAAGAAGGTGAAGGGTTCTTCTAGAAGATTTTTTTTAAAGATCTCGCAGACGTATAAGCCAATCACTATAAGTACATACTTTTTGCCTTTCTTAGCGACCGTTTTTTTACAATGATCAGCCTCGCCCCATCTGAGAACAAAGCTTGCATTTGCTGAGTATTTCGTGTCATATAAAATAGTTAGACGAGCGCATATTATTAGAACTAGAACTGAGTAAAAAAAAGCAGAAGCAGCACATATAGGACAACAGAAGAAGTCAAAATCGTTCTCATTGCTCTTCGTTGAATGGGCTGGCCCTCTTACCCACGGAGATGTCATCTAGGCATGACATTTCAAGTCTTTCCACATTAGATTTCGCAACAAGATGAGGCTGACCTCACTACCACGTATCTTAGCCTCTTAGGTGCGACGTTGCATTTGTGTGATCAAAGTGACTTGTTGCCTCGTCTCGTCCGTCTTTTTAAATAAATGCAAAAATAAATCGTTTGGACAACGTCTTCGCGATCATTAGAGATGGTCTTTTGTCTTATTGCCTGCATTCTTTTGAAATTATTTTTCCCATCGCACGCAGAGAAAAAGTGGTTTCTTCAACTGACCACGGCAAGTCGAGATGGTAGACCATCGATGTCGTTTTCGGTTCAAATTACCACTGGACGGTCCTACATGGAGGTTGAACGAAGTCACGTGAAAGGTTCTGGCAGAGTATTTGTCGTATCAGAACAAGCAGCATTCAATATCGTGAGCGCGCAATTTTTACAGCCATTTATTATTCGTCGCGAAGATAACATTAAGTTTAAGATGATATCTAAAACGTCAAAAGATCTGTGATTGTTGGCTTCCACCAATGTCTCCCGATCCCTTGAACCGAAATTCCCCTCCATACGATCAGAAGTGATCTCTGCTTGCTAATGCATGTTGCTTACTTAAGCTGCACCGAATTTGAATCACCACCGCGGTTGTACAATACTGACTGAGATGGCTCGTCCTCTGGCGCACGACTACTTTTTAGTACTTACAACGCCACATCTGCCACAATCTTGAGCTTTTTACGTCGTTTCCTGACAACTGGCTAGCTAGGCTCTTAGGCAAAGAAACGGCAAAGTGTTGGTAATTCTCGATCTGAGGAATGAGATTCTCATTTCTGCTAATTATATCTAGTGAAATGGATTTGTCTTAAGCAGACTCGTCACCTCACTTTACTTAGGTGTAGATCATGATTATGTTGGAAGTGCAAGTGAGAAAATTCTGCTGATGATTGATGTATCGTGAGAGGCTCCCACACCTACTCCTGGTCGACATAGAGATAGAAAGAAGCACGACGGGCGGGTAGCTTGAAAAAAATGTCGTTTCGTAACTTGAATACGCAACATCCTCGCGAAGGGGATTTTGACCACACCTTGCTAGGATCGACGCAAGGGCACACAACAGGATTCCCTGCACCACCGCAAAACCCTAATTTTTCGGCAGGGGCAATACCAAGTGTTGCGTCTTCTCAACATCATGTTGGCACCAGTGGTCATCAGTTTAATGCGGGTGGGTCCTCCGGGTATAAGAATCAACATGGAATGATGAACCAGCATGGTGCCGCGAGCAGAAGCAGTCCTTGGGGAGCTCCTCCAGCAGGAGGTGGAGCATTTTCCTCTACAACAGGCGGAGCACATACTAGAGAACAATACGGGAATAGCAGTTCTAGCACCGGTTCGCCGGCGCCATCACAAGCTGGCGCTGAGTCCGACCGATGCGAACAGAACATCAAAAGCATCATAGAACGTCTTCAGGAAGAGGCCCGACTAGCACTCGAGGAACTGCTAGTGTCATCCACTAATATGCATGTCCTCTACCATGGTGAGTATCGCGAACGCGATGGTGCGTACCGAGATTTCCTCAAAAATTCGAAAGGCCTAGTGGACGACGGCCGAAGTCTTTTTCGCGACTGGCAAGTTTTATGAAAGGGAATCTTTCTTTTTGCTGACGGTAAGTTACTATTTTGTTCTCGTACCTCTACAACTAGATACTACAACAACTACTAGCCTTGTTGACCTTGACGACCTGTCAAGAATGGCATGATATGAGGCGAAGGCAATGGTGTCAGAAAGTCCCTCTGGTGTAGCTTATTTATGTTCTTGTAGTTTCAATCAGAATTTCATACTATCATCACATGTTGTTCCACCTTGCTCCTCTGTTCTCCCTGACTTCATGCTCTGTGCTTGCGGGAGAACGACACCGGAAAAAGCTAGCCTATGCCAAATTGGAGCAAGCGTTTGAGAGCGAGGTCAGCAACATCTCTAGCGTACAGCGTCAAGTGGAGAATGCTTTAGATGACTTTGAAGCCAAAAAACAAAGACTCCTAGATCGCGGCGCAGGAGGTCTGGCAACAGGAGCTGGCGGCTCCTCAGGTCCACACAAAGGGGGAGCAGGAGGAGGTATGCCTGGTGCAACTGGCGGTGGGAAGGGGAGTCACAACAGTAGTGGGAAAAATTCTATGATGGCGCAGCATGGAGCCGGATCATCAAGTGGTAGTGGATCTTCTGTTGGACAGGGTGGATTGAACGGCAGTCGACCAACAGTAATGGAGCTTTCACCCCGTTCCTATCGACTCGCACACGAAGACTACTCCTCGTCCCTCCGACACCGCGACGGGGGTGGGCACACTGCCCAGCAGAACAATCACGAGCTGGAGCTTCTTGGCCCGAACGACCTCGATTTCTGGGAGCCATCTGCAGGACAGGGTGGCGCCGGACCTCATCACCATAGCGACGTCCACGCCATGCAGCAGCAAATGCAGGAAGAGCAAGACGCGCAGATGGCAGCAAGAGTAGCATCCGAGCGGCAACAGGGAATTCAAAGGATCGTAGGTCAAGTAGGCGAAGTGCAGAAGATATTCCAGGATCTAGCGACTGTAGTACAGAGTCAGGGCGAACAGATAATGAACATCGAACAATTCACGCAAGGTGCGGCTGATCACATTGGAGCAGGGGCAAACGAACTCCGAACTGTCGCAGAGCGCAAGAAATTATGGGATGAGTTTTTAAGTTCTTGTAATAGCAGAATGAATTAGAGCTGTATACATTGACGTTTTTATCCCAAGGCCTGGGTGTCTCCTTGGCAGCTTTCTTTACTACGCACACTGATTTTTGGTCGCACATGCATACTTAAATTGAAATGCTTACTTGTAGTACAACTAGTTACCTATGTACTGTTATAAATCACAAAAGCTGGTGGTGCCGCTGCGCCGCTACCATTATGTTCTTGAGGAGGACATCTCACCTCCTTTTCTCCCTTCCCCGTGCCCCAAGGCACCTCTTGTTTCTCCCTTCATGCTTGCAGCGACAGAACAAGATGGTTGTAATGGTATTGGTTGCAGCCCTTCTTTTCCTCTGTTTCCTTCTGTGGGTAGCAAGTTTTGTCGGAAGTTCCGCACCACCTCACCAGTCTTCGTCCGCATCACCTGCATCAGTCGCCGAAATCGAGGAGAGACAAGCTATGAGAAATGCAAATCGGAGACGTACTTCTAGGTGACCATATTAGACCACTCGTTGTTACAAGTACATGACCAGCAGCACAGACCCGTTGATGTGACAAGTACAAGATGACTAGCACAGACGCGTTGATGTTGCTAGTTTGAGTTTCTAATTCTATGTGCATATCATGAGGGGTCTCTTCAACTCGTGTGAGTGGTACTTGTCGTGGCTTTGGTTTTCAATGTGAAAGAGCTCCTGCCTTTTGACCTGATCCCCTAGTACTGATCCCCCCTTTGTCCTGGGAAACAATACATAAGTACACTTTTATACAACTAGGACCCTCCCAATGGATCTCCTTCCACTTATTTTCGCCCAAAACTAGTACATATTCGCATTCTCTGAATATTTATTTACACACGCCCATAACTTCCAGTAAACCAGCACAGCCACAGCAACCACAGGGCAAACAACGCTTCAGATAGTTGGTATCAACGTGTTTCTTCAAGCAAGAGCATAACTTGAAATCAATCTTTGAGTTGGTAACTACATCATGAAAGTGAGCAACTTGGTTTCTATTGGCAAACAAATCTGATTCGAAACTTGAACTTGATGGCGTGCGCGACTGTGTTCTTTTATTTTATTTATACGCAAGGATCATCTGAGAAGTCAGTTTATCTCGCTTCTACGAAAGAGATCCTACTTCGTCATTCGGGCCGACAGTGTTTGAGTGGAGGCACAAGAACAGATCAAAAAGAGATGATGGCATTGGGAGCATCTTACCTTAGAAAAAGGTCGTTGGGATCATTCTTGGGGGAAGGGGACGGGGTTTTCATACTACATGATCATGACTACTAGAAGCTTGAATATTGATTTGTTTTCCTTCGGCCCCTCATCCTTGAGGAAGTTTCCCCACCCATGAAAATGTTTAAAACTTTCAAATCATTTTTCAAATCTAATTAGTAGCAAGGACTTTTTATGTACTATATGTTACAAGGTAGAAGGTGGGTTAGCGGCGCGGGTGTAAAGTTGTTTTCACAGCACTGCATTGAAGATCAGAAGTATTGTTTGAACAACGTTGTGACCATTGAAGATGCGTTTTAGTAGTGAATCTTACCTCTCTAAAACACCGCACCACTCTAGGATTCTTTTTTAAAAACTGTAGAATGATGTTTCTTTTCTTTTCCTTGTAGTTTCGACTTTTTTCATGTAGGTACTTCTTTAGGTAGATTATGGTAGATCACAGTCCTCGTTTCTTTGTCTAGTATCCCCACCTCGAAAAGATGGCGAAAGCCTCGACCCCACCCCGGGAATAATGGTCAGAATATGTATGTAAATTTTGATGTCTTATTAATGACCACTCGGTATTTGTACTACTAGTACTACTATATTCAAAAAATATTATGTAGTCCTTGCACAAGTACTTGTACTACTTAATAAATATCATGACATTCACCATCACCTACAATGGCAACTTGTTTCATAGATAAAAAAGCATCATCCTAGTACGGCATCGTCTTTTGGGAGTAAGTAGTCAAGATGCTGTCTGCTCTAGGAGGCATGTTCATCAAGACGCTCGCGCCGACCCCGAGGACGGCCGCCGAGCAGAGCAAATCAGAGCAAAACAAATCTTCGGGTTCGGGAACGCCGCCACCTTATGAACAAGATACATTGAATTTGAAAAAATAAAAAGGTAAGAATTATTTTTACTCTGTATTCTTGTTGGGTGCTGGCATAATTCAGTCTGCGCGTGGTATGAATGTAGTCTTTCTATACGAAGGCGCAGTACAAAAAAGGGTACTCATCATGGACCCCCTTCAGTCAGTAGCAGTACTCCCGTGTTAGGACTACCTGAGACACATGATAAGGATTTATTGATGTAGACATTCTTGTTCATAACGAGCAGCAAAATCACCAAACGCCGAATGTGGGACGCAAGAATCGGAACCAAGTGTCGACCGGCGCGAAACGAACCCTGCCTCAGCGCGCCAATTCTACGCCGTCGTCAAGTGATGATGAGGTATTCTTTCTTTGAGTTTGTTTTCTTCGAAAAGAGAGTTTACCACAGGCCCAGCACTTCTAAGGTTGAACAATTACATTCACTACCTTCAGCAACGGCACTTCCTCCAGTCTACGTACTGTTCCTATTTTTCAACCGCAAACCTAAAACCAACAGGATGAAGACCTCCTTGATGAAGCCGAGGAGCTTAAGATACTTTCGCGCAGAGCAAAAGGGTCGTCCACCAAGCAAACCACCCAACGACCATCATCAGCCACGTCGTCATCGACTACCACGACGCAAGCGTCGTCCACCACTGCTTCAAGTCAATTATGCATAGGAGTTAGTATATGGAATATTAAGAGTAACAGCAACTTCTTCCCTTTCGCTTTGTTATTTACATCGTATAATATCATAATCATCTGCGCATCATCCATGCACATCAACCTTGTTCTCTGCTAACTTCCAAAAAGAAAGAGCGCAATGGAGGTAGTGGCACTAGTACCTCCACATCAGTATCAACCTCGTCAGCTGCGAACGGCGCCAGTGGAGGCCCTGCGAAAACAGTGACTCCCTTTTCTTTAGCGGGTTCGCCTCCAGCTGCGACCAGTGCGTCTACCCCAGCAAATGTTCGTCGCCAAACTTCTTCTACAGTAGAACAGAATGATAGTTCCTTGGCAGTCTTGAGTAACGCATTTGAAACGGTCAAGAAAAAGAAAGCACGGTCAGCGACGGCAAAACTAGCAGTAGAGGGTTCTCATCAGGCGGCGCAAGTTTCAGAATTATGGAGAAGCGTTGTAGTTGTTTTCACAAAATATTCCACTATAAATATTTTTCTTCCATCTATCATCTGAGTATCAATTAGGGCTTATTTATTAAAAGAGTTATAATGGTCAAAAGATTTGGGAGAGGTTTTTCGAGGGATTATCGGGGGGAGAGGGGGGG